TGGATACAACCCAAAAAATGACAGAATGATCTCAATTCGAGTACAAGGAAAGCCTTTCAACATTACAGTGATCCAAATATACGCCCCAACCACAGCTGCTGAAGAAGCAGAAGTAGATCAGTTCTATGAGGATCTGCAGGACCTACTGGATAATACACCAAAAAGAGACATTATTTTCATTACAGGAGACTGGAATGCCAAGGTGGGAAGTCAAATGACAACTGGGATCACAGGCAAGCATGGTCGGGGAGAACAAAATGAAGCGGGACGCAGGCTGATAGAATTTTGCCAGGAAAACTCGCTGTGTATAACGAATACTCTCTTCCAACAACCTAAAAGACGGCTTTATACATGGACCTCACCAGATGGTCAACACCGAAATCAGATTGACTACATCCTTTGCAGCCATAGGTGGCGGACATCCATCCAGTCGGTGAAAACAAGACCTGGGGCTGACTGTAGCTCAGATCACGAACTTCTTATTGCCCAATTTAGAATAAAACTAAAGAGATCAGGGAAAATACACAGACCAGTTAGATATGATCTCACTAACATTCCTAGAGAATATACAGTGGAAGTGAAGAACAGATTTGAAGGACTAGATTTAGTAAACAGAGTCCCAGAAGAACTATGGACAGAAGTCCGCGACATTGTTCAGGAGGCGGCAACAAAGTACGTCCCAAAGAAAAAGAAAACCAAGAAGGCAAAATGGTTGTCTGCTGAGACACTGGAAGTAGCCCAAGAAAGGAGGAAAGCAAAAGAAAACAGTGATAAGGGGAGATATGCCCAGTTAAATGCGCAATTCCAGAGGTTAGCCAGAAGAGATAAGGAACTATTTTTAAATAAGCAATGCATGGAAGTGGAAGAAGACAACAGAATAGGAAGGACAAGAGACCTCTTCCAGAAAATTAGAAACATTGGAGGTAAATTAAGGCAAAAATTGGTATGATAAGAAACAAAGATGGCAGGGACCTAACAGAAGCTGAAGAGATCAAGAGAAGGTGGCGAGACTATACAGAAGATCTGTATAGGAAGGATAATAATATTGAGGATAGTTTTGACGGTGTGGTGAATGAATAGAACCAGACATCCTGAGGAGTGAGGTTGAATGGGCCTTAAGAAGCATTGCTAACAACAAGGCAGCAGGAGACGACGGGATCCCAGCTGAACTGTTTAAAATCTTAAAAGATGATGCTGTCAAGGTGATGCATGTCATTTGCCAGCAAATATGGAAAACACAAGAATGGCCATCAGACTGGAAAAAATCAACTTATATCCCCATACCAAGAAAGGGAAATGCGAAAGACTGCTCAAACTTCCGTACAGTGGCCCTTATTTCTCATGCCAGTAAGGTAATGCTCAAGATCCTGCAAGGAAGACTCCAGCAATACATGGAGCGAGAGTTGCCAGATGTCAAGCTGGGTTTAGAAAAGGTAGAGGAACGAGAGACCAAATTGCCAATATCCGCTGGATAATGGAGAAAGGCAGGGAGTTTCAGAAAAACATCTACTTCTGCTTCATTGACTATTCTAAAGCCTTTGACTGTGTGGATCATAATAAAATGTGGCAAGTTCTTAGTGGGATGGGCATCCCAAGCCACGTTGTCTCTCTCCTGAGGAATCTGTACAAGGACCAAAAGTAGCAACAGTAAGAACTGACCATGGAACAACAGACTGGTTCAAGATTGGGAAAGGCGTACGGCAAGGCTGCATCCTCTCACCCAACCTTTTTAACTGTATGCAGAACACATCATGCGATGTGCGGGGCTGGATGAATGCAAAGCTGGGGTGAAAATTGCTGGAAGAAACATTAACATCAGATATGCAGATGACACCACTCTGATGGCCGAAAGCGAGGAGGAGCTGAGGAGTGTTCTCACCAAGGTGAAAGAAGAAAGCGCAAAAGCCGGGTTGCAGTTAAACATCAAAAAAACCAAGATTATGGCAACAAGAATGATTGACAACTGGAAATAGAGGGAGAAAATGTGGAGGCCGTGACAGACTTTGTATTTCTAGGTGCAAAGATTACTGCAGATGCAGACTGTAGCCAGGAAATCAGAAGACGCTTCCTTCTTGGGAGGAGAGCAATGTCCAGTCTCGATAAAATAGTAAAGAGTAGAGACATCACACTGGCAACAAAGATCCGCATAGTCAAAGCCATGGTATTCCCTGTAGTAACCTACGGATGTGAGAGCTGGACCTTAGGGAAGGCTGAGCGAAGGAAGATAGATGCTTTTGAGCTGTGGTGTTGGAGGAAAGTTCTGAGAGTGCCTTGGACTGCGAGAAGATCCAACCAGTCCATCTCCAGGAAATAAAGCCCGACTGCTCATTGGAGGGAAGGATACTAGAGACAAAGTTGAAGTACTTTGGCCACATCATGAGGAGACAGCAAAGCCTAGAGAAGACACTTATGCTGGGGAAAGTGGAAGGCAAAAGGAAGAGGGGCCGACCAAGGGCAAGATGGATGGATGGCATCCTTGAAGTGACTGGACTGACCTTGAGGGAGCTGGGGGTGGTAACGGCCGACAGGGAGCTCTGGCGTGGGCTGGTCCATGAGGTCACGAAGAGTCGGAGACGACTGAACGAATGAACAACAACATCAAGGACAGTATGAATAGGAGAGTGGGGGACCACATGGGTGATAACAGTACACTTCAGTACGATTGATAATGGTAAGGAGTAGTAAACGTTCAGCCGCGACAATAGGATAGTACATAAAGTGCAAGAATTTTAAAGTGCAACAATAATAAACTCCACAGCTGCGTGCCCCTAGGGCAATTCATAAAGTGCAACGGTCTTAAAGTGCAACAGAATACCTAGATCTAGCTCTCCCCATTAACTAAAGTGCGGCAAGGAGGGATCGGGATCGGGAAGGGGGCGCAAGTACAAATATGGTTTAGCAGCAGAGGCAGGCGCCTTAAAGTGCTATATTCCGTTCTTAATACCACTTAGTAGAACACTAGACAAGGAACAGTAACGTACAATTGCCTCATATGTAAACCCAATGTTTCAGGGTTTAGCAGTTGGTAAAAAATGCTATGGATTTACCCAATCTACCCAAGAGTACTGGTACCTCATCAAACTAATACATAATTCCATAGCATTTATCCATGGCAGTTAAAGTGCTGTAAAACGGCATCAATTATACTGTGCAGAGGAACCTTCAGAACATTTTCTGTCAACTCCTCCTACAATCAGAGGCTTTTTATACTATTTTCTCAAATTGATTTAGGAACAAATTCTGGGGTATTTCAATAAATTTGGGGCCCTTCCAAACAGCCCTATATCCCAGAATATCAAGGCAGAAAATCCCACAGTATCTGCTTTGAACTGGGTTATTTGAGTCTACACTCATGGCCCTTCCACACAGTCATATAACCCAGAATCTCAAGGCAGAAAATTCCACAGTATCTGCTTTGAACTGGAATATATGGCAGAGTGGACTCATGTAACCTAGTTCAAAGCAGATATTGTGGGATTTTCAGCCTTGATATTCTAGGATATAGGGCTGCGTGGAAGGCCCCCTAGATATGCTCATGAAATGAGGCATAATATTGTAAATATTCTTTGGGGGGTGGGAAACAGACAGACCAGAGGACACCATACAATTTTTGATCCTGCCCCCCGTTTCCACAGGCGATTGCCTTACGATTGCTAAAGTAAGTGTAAGAAACATGTAAAAAAAAAATTTTTTCTCCCTCTATAGAAGAAACATCCACCTACAACAGGGGCTGATCAAAGAAACCAAAACTGCTCACTGCCCCTCAACCCCACCTCCTTTACAAACCCCATTCTGGGGTTTCTCTGTTGCTACAATGCTATGAAGCTGTAGTATGATAACATATTCATTTTCACTCTGACACACATACCTTGTAGGCCTGTTTGATCAAGAAAAAATTTGTTTCTAAAATCGATTTGTAATTGGGGTGTTTTTTTGTTTCGATATTTAAAATATTTACAAAACTTTCCAAAAAAAAGTTTTGTTATTTACGAAATTTTGTAAATATTAACGAATTTTTAGAATATTTTTTGTATTTTTTAAGAATAATATTAAAATAATATTAAAAAATATTTTAAAATGGAAAATTAACCAAAAAATGGCCCAAATGTGGACCAAACACAGGCAGGAGACAGCAAATGAGAGAAAACACCAACAGAAGAGTCTTTTCTTTTTTAGAATATTTTTTAAGAATAATATTAAAATAATATTAAAAAAATAATATTAAAATAATATTAAAAAATATTTTAAAATGGAAAATTAACCAAAAAATGGCCCAAATGTGGACCAAACACAGGCAGGAGACAGCAAATGAGAGCACACACCAACAGAAGAGTCTTTTCTTTTTTAGAATATTTTTTAAGAATAATATTAAAAAATATTAAAAAAATATTAAAAAATAATATTAAAAAATAATATTAAAAAATAATATTAAAAAATATTTTAAAATGGAAAATTAACCAAAAAATGGCCCAAATGTGGACCAAACACAGGCGGGAGACAGCAAATGAAGCAAGCAGCACTCACAGCAGCAAGGAATGAATCCAATCCAGTTGCTAGCCATTAGCCAAGCCAAACCAATGCAAACTCCCTCGCCCTCTGCAGCAATGAGCTACGGCCGCGCGGAGCCGCTTTGAAAGGGCTCGCCGGCCAATCAAAAACAAACAGCCACGGACCCACAGTGCACTGCTTGGGAGCGCCTGATTGGCTCCCAGGCACCAGCACTCCAGCAGCCTCCACCCCATTAACGAAACGAGCGGAAGCTCGTTAAATCTATGGGGGCTGCCGGTTCGATATTTTAAAACCCTTCCGGGTTTGGAAAACTGTTTTGATATCGCTTCAAAAATGCCAAAAATAACGAATTAATAACGAATTAACGAACGAAACCGGACAGGCCTAATACCTTGATATGTAAAAGGAAAAAAGCAACGTCTTACAGTTTCAAAAAAGAATTTATTTCATTGACCCCCACCCCCCCCCCTTGCTCTTTCCTCCTTCGGACATGCTAATAAGGTTTATGCACAAACAATGTTAGAAAGATTCTCAAGGTGTGATAGGGAAGAGCCCCAGTTGCAGAGTATTTTTGAAAACGGCCGTTTCTGCAGGAGAGAACCATTGTGCATAAGGGAGTGGAATGCACCATAGGTTCGTGTTTTTGTTTGTTTGTTTTGTTTTGTTTTTTGAGAAAACAAAAACCTTGCCAAAGTGATCTAGAAAGGAAGAAAAAGAACTGATTATACGACAGAACAGAAGGAAAGAACCAATTATACATCAGAATCTACATTCTCACTGAATTCTGGCTAGCCCTTTCATACTGCTCTTTTTAATAGGATACAGACTTACCTTTCTGAGCGTATACCAATGCCATTGAGATATACCCAATATCCAATAAAAAGAGGGGGGTTTTGGTGAGGACTACAGCAAGGGCTATGTTCTACTGCACCTCCAAGTTTTATCTCCCTACCCCATTATCCTGCTCCTCCCTCAAACACTTTAATTCACTAACTAAAATCAACATTGTGTCTCATTTGGGTTTCAGTTACCTATGAACTTCCTGTTAACGTTATATGAGTAGGATGGGGAAAATAGATACAAATTGTTATTTTTCGTGATGGACTGTGTAATATATAATCCTCCATTATATGTTTGATAATAGTATACAAGGACAGCACTAATAATGCAGATTTCAGAAACATTTCAGTTTGGGCATATTTCCAATTCAGCAACATCCTGAATTCCACCCCAATTCAGTCTCAAGAAAAATCTAAGGTCAATCTTAGTTAACAAAAAATGAGTTTAAATAAGCCATAAATACATGAATTGATTTAAAGAGAAAATGACTTACTTAGATTTGATGCTTTCTTCTTCTAAGTCTTAGAAGACTCTAAGTTCAGACATCCTGGGTTTCTGTGAAGTTCAAGAGATGGAGATATTATATATATCCAGCATGATAGCTGCCACATCCTGACAACGTTGAACTTCCTCAACTGATAAGGCAAAGACGTTGAAGGAATCAAGACCTCAATACAATAAAAGGTAAAGGTTTTCCCTTGACATTAAGTCTAGTCATGTCCGACTTTGGAGAGTGGTGCTCATCTCCATTTCTAAGCTGAAGAGCCAGCGTTGTCCATAGACACCTCCAAGGTAATATGGCCAGCATGACTTCATGGAGCGCTGTTACCTTCCCACAGATTTTAAGACACAGCTGAAGACCCATGTCTTCTGGCAGGCCTACCCAGTCAACTTTGAAACATGAGTTTTGGATTTGCATTGTATTGCCACTGTATTTCGATCTTTTACTATGTATTTTGGTGCATATATTTTATAGTGCTATATTTTGATATATGTATTTTGTTGTATATATTTTATGTTGATATGCTTTGACTGTGTTGTACCCCGCCTACAGAACCAGCCAACAAAGAGCAGCTGAACATCAGACTTGAAAACTAAAGCATCTCTCTACTCACCAGAGGAATCAGCCTTTACGCCAAACACTTGAACTTCACACAGGGTGAGGTACTGAACTCTGGGGATAGTAACTGTAACATATCGCCCCTTCATTCCTTTGCAATCAAAATTTTCAGTTTCTCCAGGACCAATTGCGGTGATCACAGCACACCTTGAAAGAAATCAGTTCAGAGATATTAATAAGGTGATTGACAGCAACTTATTTCCTACTAAAAAAAGAAAACAAACAAATCAAGAAGAGAAAACCAATCACAATTGGTGCTCATGTCAGTAAATGAGTGAGGTATTTTTTTATCCTTTCCATTTCATTTTCATTTCTGAAACACCAAGCCAATAATTACCTGGGATTTATCAAGCCTCCATTCTCCTCTGAATTTCCAATCCGGATTTCAGCTACATTTAATCGATCTGCACAGCAGTCTTCCCGGTTGCTAATACTAACACTTGTCACATTAAATTCTGCCCCCAGATCCACCATCCACCAAGGATTCGCTTCAAGTTCTGTGTGAGTGCAGGATCCACGATAATAGTCAACTGCAGTGGATCCATCAATGGCATGTTCTGCAAGACCTAGTTTGTGGTAGAGACTGGACTGGAAGGCCTTCCCTTTAAGAGCCACGTTGGGTACTACAAGAAGCAAAACACTCTGTGTAAACCACTCAAGAGCAAAAACTTTTAACTTGGAAATTAATTGAAAAATCTATCTACATACCTGGGGGAATTATGCGCTCCGCAAAGACTTGTACTTCACACACAGTTAGATAAGAGTTTGTATCTGGGATGGTGATAGTCACATATTGTCCGGGCATTTCACCACACTCAAATTTGTGAGTTTCACCTGGACCCAGTGAGGTAATTGTGGCACATCTTGAAAGCAGAACAGATCATATTGATTAGTGTTGCATTGACATGTTGAAGGGGGAATGATTTTTCAAGGCCTTGTGAAAGTGTGCTTTTGAGAAGTTACTACTAAAATGGTCAAACTGATTTGAGTCTGGCTACCTATAATTTTGTGAATGGAAGCTGTTGCCCCCCCCCCCCATTTTCAAAATACGTTCACTGGAATCTGGCATAATAACCAACAGTGCATCTGCATTACAAATTAGTAGCATTCTGATATCATGTTAATGGCCATGGTTCTATCATATGAAACCCAGAAATGTAGTTTACTAAGTGTCCTTGGAATTTTCTACTGTCATTCAAAGGAATACACAATATATTCTCATCCAGCAATCTAACAGTACCTAGGATTTGTAATGCCTCCTCTTTCTTTTGAGTCTCCAATTCGGATTTCAGCACCTTCTATCCGCTCCTCACAGCAATCTCCTCTGTTGGTGACAGCAACACTGAGTACTCGAAATCTGGCCCTCAGGTCCACCATCCACCATGGATTAACTTCTAGCTTTGTGTGGGTGCAATGCCCACGTAAATAATATGCATCTGTAGAACCATCAATGGCATGTTCAGGGGCTGACAGTGAATCGTAGGAGCTGGACTCGTATGCCTTTCCATCATAGGCTACATTGCGGACTACGGGAAGGAGCAACCAAGACATATATTAGAGGAACAAAGAGAAACCTTTATCGCTCTTCTGTATTCAATCTTCTGAAAAGCAATGAATATTAACAATATGGATAAAGTATTCTCACATACTGTTTGGTGCTAAAATAATGGTATATTCCATGTTGCTATTAAAGTTTGTCATATTGAGGGAATTAAAAGACATACATCTGATTCTTAATGATTGCCATGACCATTTATCATGGTAAACTCTAGTGGTTTGTTGCATGGTGTCCATCTACAGGATGCCTTTCAGAACTATGTATGCAATAATGAAATTGCAACTTTAAATGAATAATGAAATTGCAAAATGATAATTATTCATTTAAAGTTGTGTGAGCCGAGGCCCTGTCCCAAAGGAAGGAGAAGGCCAGCTGGTTCCAGGGAAGCCGCGGGCGACGCGGCCTCAGAGGAGGACTCACCCTTCTCCACACCCCGCGGGCCAGATAAATGCCCTTGGGGGGCCGGGGCTGGCCCGCGGGCCGTAGTTTGAGGACCCCTGATGTAGATGTTAAAAAGCATGGGAGACAGAATCTTGCGGGACCCCACAGGTAAAAGGCCAGGGGTCCGAGCAGGCGTCTCCCAGCTTCACCATCTGGGATCGGCCTTCCAGGAAGGACCGGAGCCACGACAGAGCCAAACCTCCAAAGCCCATCTCGGAGAGGCATTACAGAAGGATACCATGATCGATGGTATCGAAAGCCACTGAGATGTCCAAGAGAACCAACAGGGTCACACTCCCCCTGTCCAGCTCCCTGCGGAGATCATCCACCAAGGTGACCAAAGCCGTCTCAGTGCCATGGCCAGGCCTGAAGCCAGACTGTGACTGGTCCAGGTAGTTGATGTCATCAAGGAAGCCTTGGAGCTGAGCAGCAATCACCCGCTCCAGCACCTTGCCCAGAAAAGGGAGGTTTGAGATTGGTCTATAGTTGTTTAAGATCGTGGAATCAAGGGAAGTCTTTTTCAGGAGTGGTCTAACCACAGCCTGCTTTAAGCCTGATGGAAAAATTCCTTGCTCCAACGATGTGTTAATGATTAACATAAACCAATCAATCAAACCATCCCTGGCCGATTTAATTAGCCAAGATGGGCAAGGGTCTAGAGGTGATGTAGTAGCTCTCACTGCCCCAAGGGCCACCTCCACGTCCTCAGGACAAACAAGTTGGAAGGAATCCCACAAAACAGGAGAAGCAGATGCCTCGGTCACCTCTCTTGGAACTGTGATCAAACTGGAGTCCAGCTCACGACGTATCTGAGCAACTTTGTCTGCAAAGTGCTGCGCAAATTCGCAGCACCGAGTTTTTGGGTCGTCGAAGGTCTCCTCCACCTCAGGGGGGTGAAGAAGTTCCCCAACAGAAGCTCTATTAGATGCAGACGCTATACGGGCAGTCGTGAAGGTTTCCCTGGCTACCCGTATAGCCCCAGAATAGGCCCTAAGTGAGGCCGTAGCCCGTGCTTGGTCAGACACATCCTGAGATTTCCTCCATTTGCACTCCAGCCTCCTTCTCGTGTGCTTCATCACAGCCAGCTCCTTGGTGAACCAATGAGACGGTGTGTCTCTGCGCAACGATAGGGGGCATTTGGGAGCGATCAAGCCTATCACCCTGGCCATCTCACTATTATAGCAATCAACCAGAGTGTCAACATGATCACCAGGCTCCACAGCAGGAAGAGCCCCAAGATTCCTCAGGAATCCTTCCGGATCCATCAGTCTCCTGGGGCGGATCATCTTAGTGGATCCTCCACCCCTGCGAAGGTTTGTGGTTGCAGTAAGTCTAACGCTAATCAGATGATGATCAGACCATGACAATGGAAAGATGTTTTGCTCTTCCACTCTGACCAATCCGCCATCCGCCACAAAAACCAAGTTGAGTGTATGTCCAGCCTGATGGGTGGGCCCAGATATAACTTGTGATAGCCCCATGGTCATCATGGCGACCATGAAATCCTAAGCTGCCACTGTTAAGGAGGTCTCACTGTGGATGCTGAAGTCTCCCAACACAATCAAGCGCTGGGAGACCAAGGCCGAATTGGAGACCATGTCTGCTAGCTCAGGCAGGGAGACTGCTGAGTCACAGGGTGGGCGGTACACCAGCAGAATCCCGAAACTATCACGGTTTCCCACCCTCAGGTGAACACACTCAAACCTGGGTGATTGCGGAACAGCACATCTGATTACAGCGATGGACTGCCGAAAGACTACTGCGACCCCACCTCCCCGTCCCCTGGACCTGGCCTGCTAGTGCACCCCAAAACCAGGTGGGCACAGCTGGGAGAGATTTACCCCCCCCCCAGCTCGTCTAACCAAGTCTCAGTGATGCACGCCAGGTCCGCCTTCTCATCCAGGATCAAGTCCTGAATGGCAACGGTCTTACCATTGATGGACCTGGCATTTAAGAGCAGGACATTAAATCCGGGGGAGCTGCCATGGAGACTACCACATCCTACCTTCTCCAGGGTCGCAAGAACTCTGTTGCGCTTCTCCCTGGGATGTTTGTGACTATTTGTTCCTGTTTCTTTTTAATCATTTGGATTACCTTTTACTGTGGATTGCTTTTTATTACTTTGGCTTTTATTACCCTCAATAAACTGCTTGCTTTTTTAACCCATCTGTGTGGTGTTTAAAGTCAGAGGTGATTCTGCTCTGGTGTGCAACATTAAATTCTGTTTATTTTACACTATATACTCATGTATAGGTCTAAAAAATTTAGTCAACAAAACTCAAAACACCTGGGTCTCACTTCCTGTTGTCTAACACCCATTCTTAACTATGAGTCATTTGTAAGTCAGATGTTTGTAACTTGGTGACTGCCTGTATATACATAAAATTTGTTGAGTTGCTTTGAGTGCTATTATTTGGAGAAAGATGGATGTAGATGAATAATATCATCTTAATCCTTATTGTCCTGGACCAGTCTTTCTCCCTGAACAACACCAAAAATATTCAGAGACTGAATTTTTTCCTAGTGTCAGTCAATGGGCATTATTGTCTCATTAGGCACATACACAAAGATCCACATCTACATTAACATCCATGTGTTGGAAACAACGGAAAAGTGGTTACTATGGGTTCCTTACCTGTGCAGCTATATCAAATCTACTTTTGTGAATGGAGCATAGTGGAATGCTCAAAACTGTTTCTTCAAAAATGTTGACACACACACACACAATCTATTCCAAAGTGTAGAAAGTGAATTGTAATTCCTCTTGCAGCTTGCAATAAGGCTAGGAAATAAAGACGCACCCACTTGTATGGCATTTGTTGATTAGTCCTTTTTTTGGATTGAAGTAGTGCTTTGTAACCACTATGGGCAATTTTCAACTGCATCTTAATTCAAAAATGAGATGGGTCCACAAATATTGCTCAGACAATTGAATTTATTCCAGAAGAGGAAAGAAATGTTTCCACTCTGAAATAAATTAGGAAAGTTATATACATACCTGGAGGAATTATCCGCTGACCATAAACCTGTACTTCACACAAGGAAAGATATTCTAATCTCTGTGGGATGGTGATAGTCACATATTGTCCAGGCATTTCGTCACACTCATATTTCCCAGTTTCACCCAAACCCAGTGAGGTGATTATGGCACACCTTGAAAACAAACCAAATTACATTGATTAGTATTGCAACAACATATTAAAATGGGATGATTTCTCAAGAATCCCCTAACTGTGTGAAAATGATTGCGACATGAGGCTACTAAAAGAATTGCTGTATCTATTCAATATAACATCAGTAATACCATTTAATTGCTGTGGTTCTATCACATGGAACCCAGTGTAATGTCATTTCTTAATGATGCTCTGCTGGCATTGGGAGGTGTATACTATAAATCCCATGATTCCATACAAAGAAGCCATGATTACTGAAGTGACATCAAATGGCTTCAACTCCACAGTGCAGATTCACTCCATGAAAGTTGGAATGTTAGCATCCCATGTATACTAAACATGGATAATGGGAATCTAGATGGTATTAGCTAGATTCATATTGCTTCCCAGCCCATTATTTATCAATGTTCTGATCTTGCAAATGCATGAGCAGGTTAGTGGTACCTGGGATTTGAAGTGCCTCCTCTAGCTTTTGAATCTCCGATTCGAATTTCAGCACCTTTTATCCGCTCCTCACAGCAATCTCCTCTGTTAGTGACAACAATACTGAGGACTCGAAATCTTCCCCTCAGGTCCACCATCCACCATGGATTGTTGGATAGCTTTGTGTGGGTACAATGCCCAAGTAAAAAATTTGAATCTGTAGACCCATCGATGGCATGTTCAGGGGATGATAGGGAATTGTAGGAGGTGGACTGGGATGCCTGTCCATTAATGGCCACATTGCGGACTACAGGAATAGGTAACAGAGAGGAATATTATTGAAATAGGGAGAAAATGTTATAGCGACTCTATATTTAAACTTCTGGAAAGCACTGGAAAAATTGCAACACAGAAAAGTATTCCCATATTATATTTCAATGGCATGCACAAAATATACCATTTATTCTGGCACCAATGACTATACTATGACAGTATTAAAGTATGTTATATAAAGTAATCAGAAAACATAAATCAGATCCAAAATAATTTCTATTTAGTAAATACAGCTAATAATTCACCATAATAAACTCTGGTTATCGTTACATGTTATCAGTGTATATTAAGCCTTTCAGAACTATATATATGTTATCTTGACAGGTTCCTGGCTCCAAAGTGTTTCCAATCCTTAAAAATACCGTCCAACTGAGCTGTTTCAAGTGGTCAGAGGGCTATTACATACTGGTCCTCAAGGAGAAATCCCTGACCATTCAGCAGCTCATTGTGATGAATTTGCCCTGCACTTTGCAACTTCCCAAAGCATTTAGGACTCTGTGATGTATTTTCAAATGATGCATGCAGATCCAAGGAAGGTGGCCTTTTGCACTTGACAGTTCATGATTTTGTCAATGTTTATTGTTTCCAAATGCCGGCTGAGATCTTTTGGCACGGCACCCAGTATGCTGATGATGACTGGGACCACCTCTACTGCTTTATGCCAGAGCCTTTGCAATTCGATTTTGAGCTCCTGATAACGGCTGAGTTTTTCCTATTGTTTTTCCTCAATGCGACTGTCACCCAGTATGGCGACATCAATAATCCAAACGTTTTCCTTTTCCACAATCGTGATGTCTGGTGTATTGTGTTCCAAAACTTTGTCTATTATTATTATTATTATTATTATTATTATTATTATTATTATTATTATTATTATTATTATGGACCGCTGCCTACCTATGAAGAAAATCAGCACATGATAAATGATTGTCTGTATTTATCTTGTGAGAAAGATAGATGTCCTTTGTTCAGTTCACAGTCAAGTGAATGCAAACAACCATTCTCCGCAATGGGTCATTATAATCTGAATTCCTGTATTACATTACTACATTTTTAAGTTAAGCCGAATTGATCCTGTTTAACTGCTCTGTTTCCATCCTATTTCATATGCTACTATACGTTTCTATCCACCTTATTGAACCACCCTATCCTTTAACCAGTTTGCATAGTGGCCCCCTCTCCCCCACCTCCAAAAATTAGTCTGCTGTTGCTTTTGATGCTTGTTTATTATTGTTTATGCTATTTTATGCTATTTTAATTTGTTATTGTTCTGTTTTTAATTGTATGTTTCCTTGGGCTTGGCCCCATGTAAGCCACCCTGAGTCCCTTCGGGGAGATGGAGGCGGGGTAGAAAAATAAATAAACAACTTCTTCTTCTTCTTCTTCTTCTTCTTCTTCTTCTTCTTCTTCTTCTTCTTCTTCTTCTTCTTCTTCTTCTTCTTCTTCTAATGGGCATAAGAGTATTGCTATTTTGTAGATTCAGAATATTTTAGGACAATCTTGCTAGCTCAGGATTGGGTTGGTGTGGTTGTGAGGTGAAATCCTACTTCATTATATGAAAGGTATACCACACCCTTTTCCTCACTGAATCGGTCAATGGCCGTAGTAAATTACATAATACATAACTATCATACATTCCATTGTAAGTGGAGCTTTTGGAGTGTGTAGCCATTTTCAGAACCAGACTGGAGTACTGCTACTCCAGACTGGCCACATAATATTGGTAGGTATAGATGAGCCCTATGTATCCAATCCATCAGAAATATCTTTTTAGGTTTGAATCCTATTATAAATCCAAATCAGAGTAGATTGAGATTTATATTTGTGTTAAATCTCCATGTGGCAATTGATTCAATTGGCTTATTTTAGACAGAATAAGACAAGAGGATTCAGATTATATTTTATCTAGTCTGCCATGTCCACGGTATCAAAGGAGTCGGTTTACCAACTAAAGAAGACTGACTGTCTTCCCATAGGTTTGGCAGTTTTCTTGGTTTCGTCCATTTTGCAATTGCTGAAGTAACTGTTATTAAACAAGAAAGAGAAAAATATTACAATGATTTCAAATATTTTCTTAGTTAAGCTTCTAAATCAATTTACTATGTCAGCAATTATCCTGAGCTATATGATGGAATAGGGAAGCAATGGCCCTTGGGGTCCATTTGAGAACCCCTGAATCTCCCCCCCCCACACACACACACACACAGATACACATGCACATACACACACACAACCCCTCTTTAAATGAAATTCAAAACAAAAAAGATCCCAAAAAACCACACATACACAAGCCAGTCCCTCACCAATACCAAAATTGGCTGTCTTTTTGACTAGCCATTATATAGCAGGCATTGTTGTTGTTGTTCATTCGTTCAGTCATCTCCGACTCTTTGTGACCTCATGGACCAGCCCACGCCAGAGCTCCCTGTCGGCCGTCACCACCCCCAGCTCTTTCAAGGTCAGTCCAGTCACTTCAAGGATGCCATCCATCCATCTTGCCCTTGGTCGGCCCCTCTTCCTTTTTCCTTCCACTTTCCCCAGCATAATTGTCTTCTCTAGGCTTTGCTGTCTCCTCATGATGTGGCCAAAGTACTTCAACTTTGTCTCTAGTATCCTTCCCTCCAGTGAGCAGCCGGGCTTTATTTCCTGGAGGATGGACTGGTTGGATTTTCTCACAGTCCAAGGCACTCTCAGAACTTTCCTCCAACACCACAGCTCAAAAGCATCGATCTTCCTTCGCTCAGCCTTCCCTAAAGTCCAGCTCTCACATCCGTAGGTTACTACAGGGAATACAGGTTACTACAGGGAATACAGCTCCCCTTTGGAGCTGCCTATGCCTGCTATATAACAACTAGCCCCATGACACAATCTCTTCCACCAGCTGTTTGGCATTTTTTTGAAGGAGGGGGCTGTGTCTTTAGTCCAGAAATCTCCGTAATGATATCACACAATTCAAAACTGCCTGCTACCTGCCATCCTTTCCCCTACTGCCATGTTGCTGTGATGTTGCTGAATGTTTGGCAACACTGAAGGGAAATCTTGTTGGAGAATGCAAGGAATCAGTTAAAGTGTGTGTGTTAACTGTAAAATAAGATGCATGAAGCTGATTGGTCGCACAATGCCTGGGGAGATGGATGAGCCTTGGACTTTTGGATACTGTTACATTTTTGTTCAGGCTTGAGCTATTCAGGTGCAGAGAAAGAAGAAGAGAGAAGCAGAGAGAGACAGAGTTTGGAGTGTGCTCTTGCTTCATGAGCTGCTGGAAGAAGATTTTCCACATGGACAAAGAAAGACCATTTTAAATCTCTCTAAAAGGGCATTATGTGAGTTGATGCAATTGATCACATTGTACATATGTTGTTCTAAACTACAAAGGGTAAACTACTTGTTCTTTACTGTTCACCTGCATGGCATATTTTTGTTCTCTGCCAAGGCAGTGTGTGGGATGATGAAACATGAACTACATGTGGTTTATTTTACGTTACGCCACAAATTTTGGAATCATAGATACTAAGGAACTTAGGTCAGAGAGGAATAAGTGAGGAAGCTGTATAGCAGGCAACAAGCTAGGAAGAAAAGGCAATTGGGAGGCATAGGGATGGAAGGTCTAAGAGACAAAAATGTGATGAGAAAAAATATCTAGAAATTGAGGGACTGCTTTGCCTAGAACAGAGCTGGAAAAGAAGGGGCTTTGAAAACAGGAGAGATGCAAACTGGGCAGTCCAGGAAGCAGTTGAATCTAGAACTTATGACAGGTTAAGGAATGGTGCAGGTAATGTACTGCAAGAGCAGCCGTATTTTACATGCTTAAGGGCAGGTGGTGTGACATCTGTGAAAGGACATTTGATTCAACCTCCCTAGCTGAATAAGCTTTATACTTCTAGTATATCATGCTAAGTTTAAAACTAGAATTCTGAGGACCATGTATACTGACCTTCTGCTTCTTCCTTTCTTCCAGACATGGCCTCTGTCTCATTAGCAGTATCCAAGCCTTCAAGACAAAAGACAGACATAAAAAGACATTCTATAACTTTTGTCCAGTGAACAATATCTGAAGCTTGCCAAAATCTAACTGAACAGGACAAGCTGTGATCAGGGCCGGCCCTAGGTAATTTTCAAGTGTAAGCAAACAGCACCCCCCCCCCAAAAAAAAAAACCAATCACTGAAAAATAAAAGGTAGAAGGTGACACAGCTGAATAAAATCCCACATTTTCTGCTTTGAACTGGGATATATGGCAGTGTGAACCCAGGGCCCTTCCACACAGCCCTATATCTCAGAATATCAAGGCAGAAAATCCCACATTATGAGTGTGGACCCAGTTCAAAGCAGATATTGTAGGATTTTCTGCCTTGATATTCTGGGATATAGGGCGCTCTCTCTCTCAATCTTCCTCAGAGGAGCAGGAAGGCTGTCACAACAGCGCCCCCCAGGGATTGGAGTGGTAAGCAAATGCGTACCCTGAGTAATGCTTGAGCCGCCTCTGGCTGTGATGTGATCAGTATTACCAAAGCTAAAGAAGAGGCATTGGTCCACAGCTATATCACTAAATATTGGACATGGGGAAATAGAGAAGAGCATGTTCTAGAATGATTAACCTACAGATGCCACCTTTATTAAGGCAGAAGCCCTGCGCCTTTAGCAAATCTGTGAAGCCAGACAAACATTTACTGGCACCGTTGCCCCATCTTTCATGCAGCTATTTGTACAGTTGTTAAAGATACTGAGTGCTCCTCCAGAATGGCCAATAGTTCCTGTAAATGTCATGCTATTCAATTTTTGGATTTCCTCTATAGATGTTGCAGATCTATAGAGGACTAGGCAGAGGGCTAACCCACGCGTATACACATTTCTTGATTTCTTCTTCATTTATTACTGAAAAACATTGTTTTGCAGCATGGATTCTATGCATCTATATCAGGCATGGGCAAACTTTCTAAATTGGAGGCCTCATGCTAGCACTCCTTGCTAGGAGGACTGACTGCCCGGCGATGGAAGGAAAAAAGGAAAAGAAAAGAGAATGAGGGAAGAGAAAGGAGGAAGGGAGGGAAGGATGGAGAGAAGGAGAAAGAGAGAAGGGGGGAGAAGGAAGAAAGAAAGAAAGAGAGAAAGAAAAAGAAAGAAAGAAGAAAGAAGAAAAAAGAAGAAAGGAAGGATAAAGGGATGGAAGGAGGGAGAAGAGAGAAGGAAAGAAAAAGAGGAGAGAAGGAAGGAAAAAAGAGGAGGGAAGGAGGAAGAAAGAAGGAAGGAGGAGAAGGAAAGAAAAAGGAGGGGAGAGAGAAAGGGAAGGAGGAAGGAAGGGAAGGAGGAAGAAGAGAGAGAAAGGAAAAGGGTGGAAGGAATGGAGGGAGGGAGAAAGAGGAAGGAAGGAAGGAGAGAGGGAAGGATGAAAGGGTGGAAGTGAAGGAAGAAGGGAGGAGAAAGAGGAGAAGGGGGGAGAGGGAAGGAGGAAAGAAGAAAAGAGAGGAAGAAGATGAAAGGGGAAGGGGGAGAAAGGAGGGGAAAGGAGAGAGGGAAGGAAGAAAGAAAGGAAAGGAAAGGAAAGAAAGGAGGGATAGAAGAATAGGATAGGATAGGATAGGATAGGATAGGATAGGATAGGATAGGATAGGATAGAAAGGTGAGAGAGAGGAGGTCCTGAGAAAAGAGCCCAATGTGCCGCATCCAGCCCCCGGGCCTGGGTTTGCCCATGCCTGATCTGTACCATCCCTTGATGGTGCAACAATTAAGATTATGCAATGAACAAGCATGAGAAACAAAACAGCAGTTCCAAAGAGTAAAAATTCCATCTCTTATGGATGCCCTCTACGGTACTGCAGTAATGAAAAGTTTGGATTTATGCCATTCTGCTTGCATTCAGAGTCTCCCTGCCCCTACCATCAGGGCTCCTCCTGTGCATGCATACCATACCACAGCCATCCGTATTCTTTCAAAGACAGTGTCAGTCATCATTTCCACAGATCACAAGATGGTGAGGAAACCTCTTTAACTTACCAGAGGATATGACCTTTGTGCCAAACACTTGGACTTCACACAGCGTGAGCATCCGTACACCTGGGATGGTCACAGTTACATACTGCCCTTGCATTTCTCCACAGTCAAATACAGCTGTTTTCCCTTGCCCCAATGAGCTGATCGTAGCACACCTGGAATGGAAGCCACTCATATTTGTTAGAGTTTTTCCCTGGACTGAAAATCATGTTCAGGAAAAGACAGAAGGCAGGAAAAAATATTCAAATGTGATCCCTCGAATAATCTCACACTGATGCCATACCTTGGATTTGTGATCCCTCCCTTTTCTGGAGAATTCCCAATATGAATTACTGCCCCATTTAACCGTTCTGCACAGCAGTCTTCTCGATTTGTGATGCTAACTCTGGATATTTGAAACTCTGCTGTCAAGTCCACGGTCCACCACGGTTGAACTTCTTGCTCCGTGTGGGTGCAGTGTCCACGCATATAATCAGCAATTATAGAGCCATCAACAGCATTCTCTGGGTCTCCAAGTACATTATAGGTGCTGGATTGGAACACCTTCCCCTTAGGAGCCACATTTGGGACTATAAGAAAGGACAAAAAAGAGCCCCACCCCTTATGTTTAAACCACTGAACAAAAAAGTCAATTCACACAGTAAGGACATTACATAGAGTTGATTTGAATCAAATTATTTACTATACATTGTGCTGGTTGTATTGTCAGAGGAGATGTATCATACTTCAGTGACAAAGTGTTACATTTTGCAGATTGAAATCTCAAGTTCAAGTCTACCACCACCATCACTACTGCCCAACATTTCTAGTTGACAAGTGCCTATTGATTCATTTTGTGAAAAGAGTGAAAAGAGATTGCCCTGCATAGTTGTAAACAACCACTGACAAGGAGGGTGACATGCTGGGGAGGGAATGTCACAGCAGAACTATAAAAAGAAATGCTAGTGAACAAACAATGGGATTTGATGTATTGTCGAAGGCTTTCATGGCTGGAATCACTAGGTTCTTGTGGGTTTTTTCGGGCTATAGAGCCATGTTCTAGAGATGGGATTTGATGCTGAGCAAAAGATGGGGAGGGAAAGTTTATCCAATGTAGATTTATTGCGATGGGACCTGTGTCGTAAAATCTAGAATTTGGCCGAGATACTTACTGTTTCAGCCTGATTGCTCAGATTGTATACTGATTAAGATGGTTGCTTAGGATCTGTTCAAATTATTCATTCAAATCCACTTTGAAATATATTACAAAAGATATGAGAAGAAAGGGTGAAGCCCATTCAAAGTTAAACATATGTAGGCTCCAGATTTCTTCAACAGGACAGCTAAGGAAACTCACACATACTTGGCTTGTTCAGATTATGCTCACAATTAATCCTGTGTTAATTTCTCTGTATTAAGTAATATAATTCAGTGAAGTTACCAGACATCTGGAAATGTTCTCCTTTGTCAAGTTCCAACAGTGGCTGGGATGATGTGCTTCGCTCAGATTCAAAATCATCTGATAAAAAAATTGATTAAAAATCAAGATTTAACTAGGTTTCCATCAATAGTGACATATCTCATTTAAAATAATCTGAATTTTCCATTTTTTAAATTTAAGAAATATGTGGATCCTGGTGGTGCAGCAGGCTAAACCGCTGAGCTGCTGAACTTGCTGACCGAAAGGCGACTCAAATCCAGAGAGTGAGGTGAGCTCCTGCTGTTAGCCCCAGCTTCTGCTAACCTTGCAGTTTGAAAACATGCAAATGTGAGTAGATCAATAGGTATCGCTTCTGTGGGAAGGTAATGGCACTGCATGCAGTCATGCTGGCCATATGATCTTGGAGGTGTCTACGAACAACGCCAACTCTTTGGATTAGAAATGGGGATGAGCACCAACCCCCAGAGTCGGACATGACTAGACTTAATGTCAGGGAAAACCTTTACCTTTTTATCTGGACCAGTTAAAGAAATCTATCAAGCCAGCATGCAATCAACAATGAAATGACTAAGTATGAATCCCAATGAAAACAAAATACTGAATGCACATTCAGCAGAAGAGCTAAGGTTGCAATTAAAATATACTTTACACTGTTGGAATGACTGAACAACTGAAATATCTTCTTCCAGTATGGAAATAATGATATAATTGTTCTGAAGAGAATCTCCTTGAGGAAATCATACAGTAAGTAGGGTGCCACCACTTACAGGGTTTATACCCACCTAGCAGCACTTGATGGAGGCAAGGTTACCCTACCCTTTGACAGAGCAAAGCAGTTACATTAGAGAGCTTGTTTTGGGGTGTCATACAAAGGCAGAAAACAGTTGTACTGTCTATAATTGGGGGGTTGGGTATGGTGTGATTGCTAATTCCAAAGTCCTGCTATGAGCACCAAATTATATCTTGTGATGGGGTGAATTTACTTTCCCCATATAGATCTTTGTTTCTCTTCATTTCGTATTGGCATTGATCCCTACAGAAAGGTGATCATTTACCTATTTCCAAGCGGATCTAGAAAGTTAGAGCAGGATAAGTATGGTTTAGTGCAGGTATGGGCAAACCCAGGCCCGGGGGCCAGATGCGGTCCTCATCTCTCTCACCATCCTATCCTTTCTTCCTTCTCTCTTTCCTTCCTCCTTCCCTCCCTCCCTCCCTTCTCTTTCCTTCCCCCTTCCCTCCCTTCCTTACCTCCTTCTTTCTCCCTCCCTCCTTCGCTTCCACCCTTTCATCCTTTCTGCCTTCCCTCTTTGCTCCCTCCTTTTCTCTTTCTTTCTCTTTCCTTCCTTCCCTTTTGTCTTTCCTTCTTTCTCTCTTTCCCCCCTCCCTCCCTCCATTCCCTTCCACCCTTCCTTCTTTTCCTCCCTTCCTTCTCTTTTTCCTTCCATCTTTCCTCCTGGGGGATGTCTAGCTGGAAGAAGAGAAGGTAGAAAGGGAACATGAGAACCATGTTTTAAGATTTAAAAGGGTGTCCCATTGGGGGGGGGGGGGTGAAGAATGATTGACTATTAAGAATTTCGGAATGGGGTATCTGCTCCATCCTTGGGGTCTCTGACACATGCRATTAGGACTGAAGGATTTCAGCCTAAAGTCATTTCCTAGTTCAATTCTGTGCGCTCACCCCCACTGACTTCAAAATAGCTTCATTCCAGTTGCATGTGCCTTGGACTGCAATCTGAGTCTGAACAATGGATATGTCCTGTTTCCTTCCTGTATTTTGGTGTGTGACAAAATAGAAGACATATTTTTGTTTACTTACCAGAGATCTCAGTTAGCTGACCAAACACCTGAACTTCACAAAGTGTGAGCATTCCTCCCATTGGTTGGTTAACAGTCACAAACTGTCCACGAAAACCTTCACAGTGAAATCTTTGTGTTTGCCCTAGGGCCAAAACGTTGACTGTAGCACATCTGGAAAATAAACCATTTATAAGCTATTGTGTTACTGTTAGAGAACTGCTACTATTTGATTATCTGATTTTGCATTTTACCAAACATGAGCAAGGTTGGGAGAAAGAAGACAGTGATACAAACAGTGCATTGGGGCCACCACCAATATATCACTGGAAGCAAGCAGTGATCTCCCAATGCTAGATTTCCAAACACATGACTTAGCATCTAAAATGACATCAATAGAAATGTAACATTGCCAGCAAGTTTTCTGTGGCTTCATCCAAACAGGCCTAAAAACCAGGACCTGTCTCGGTTTTTATCAGAGGCATCTAAGGGTCCATCCAGACAGGCCCAAAAACGAAGACCTGTCTCAGTTTTTACCAGAGGTGTCCAAATTATTCCTCTAGTAAAAACAAACTAATTTGGAACAAACCAAAGTTTGTAATTAGATATCTATTTGACCCAGGACTACCTGAAAGGCCTGGGTTTAATGGAGTATTGGGCTTCCTCAGTCCCAGGATGTGTCTCCACTGCCATCTTGCACCTTTTGGGCTTGTTGATTGTCTTCCTCACCCATCCCATCTCCTCACATGTAATTTTCTCATGCCAGGAGGATGCAAGAAGAATCTTTATGGTGGCAAGGGACCTTTTAAGTAAGTTTTAAGGGCTAAATTTGGGGTTTGGGGTGGCTTCATGTCAATCCAATTTGTCTTGGGGCAGCATGTAGCCACTCCCCCGGGAAAGTCCAAGGTGAGTGAGTGGGGACAAGAACCCGTACTAAAGCAGGTTATTTGAATCAACGTGTTTTGCCACCATCTGGAAGCACCCTGGGAGAGAGCTGCTTGCTGACAGTGATGCAATGGAGGGTCCGTTTGCAATGGATTGGGCCAGGTCCAGTCTGATCTGATTACCCATATCTTTGAGACTACAGAATCATTACAGAAGTTTATGTGTTCCCTTGATATGTATTAATAGCTCAATGCAATGGCTATGCTGCAAATCCGGCTGGATTCTCTGCAGCAGTTCAGCAGTGAAGTCCACTTTGTTTTGGCCTCTGTTCACAATGAATATTGAAACTCTATTTCAGGAATTATCAACCTTATATTTAATCTAATACTCCAAAACATAACATCAACAATAACATAGGCTGGATGTACACATTCATGTAATGAAGATTGAACTGAATTGATCTGCATTATATGGGGCAACACTAACCATATAACTCAGCTCAAACTGCATTATATGGTAGTGTAGATCCAGCCTCAATCTATACAAGAATCCTTAATCCACTTTCAGGAAGCTTTGTGTGATATCTTAAAAGAAACCAGCAAAAACATGTAGAAGTGAAAACCAATATTCCACAATTAGGGACTTGCCACCAAAAGCAGAGGCAGAGTTCAATAATCCTAAACAGAATTGCTCTGGATCTGATAATACAACCTCTCTTATATACCATACAATGTCCTTGGAGTCCCATGCAGGGATCAAGCTGCAAATGCCATGGTTCCATAGCATCAAGCCATGGTAGTGATATCAAACTTCATCGATACTACAATGTAGAGCCACCTTAGGATGTTTCTGACTTTTCGTGACCTTATGGACCAACCTATGCCAGAGCTCCCTATCGGCCATCACCACCCCCAGCTCCTTCAAGGTCAATCCAGTCACTTCAAGGACACTATCCATCCATCTTGCCCTTGGTCAGCCCCTCTTCCTTTTTCCTTCCATTTTCTCCAGCATAATTGTCTTCTCTAAGCTTTCCTTTCTTCTCATGATGTGGCCAAAGTACTTTATCTTTGCCTCTATACCATATAATTAATGGAATTTGATACCATCTTAACTTTCATAACTCAATTCTGTGGAATCCTGGGAATTATAGTTTGGTGAGGCAACAGCATTCTTTGGCAAATAAAGCTAGACTTTGAAAAAGTACAGCTCCCACGATTCCATAACATTGAGCCATGGAAGTTAAATTGGTGTCAAATTGCATTAAATCTACAATGTAGATGCACCCTTACAGACCATTGCTCAGTTCCACTTATTGAATTGTGGATCTTGAATTTCATTATTGCCTAGTAGCTGCCATCATAACATATTACAAAATGAAACATGAGAAGAGAACTGGGATATTCCACTAACTATGGTCTACTGCCAGTCCTGCAGCTGCAGACCCCATCTACACTACCATATAATGCAGTTTCAGTATGCAGAACTGTGTTACATGGCAGTGGAGACTCACATAATCCAGTTCAAGGCAGCTAATCTGCATTCTAAAACTGCATTATATAGTTGTGTAGATCTAGCCAGTCAGCTAGCAGCAACCATCTAGCAATAACTGTTTCTATTTAGCAGTCATTACAAAATCCAACTTTCTTTTTTTTTTAAGAGTCTCGGGCTATTTAACATAAGTCACCTTGGCAATACTTTACACTAAGGGGTGAAATATAATTTCAAAATACGTTTACATACACTGTTGTGGTTTCTCTCAAAAGTTTACACTGAACTATTTTAAAGTCTTTTTAAAAAAAGAAAAAAAACTATTTTTTAGAAAAATGTAGCCTCAATTAAGCAGTTTAAAAACATTATCAGTAACAAGTGAAGCCACTGTTTCTGCAGCTCAGACTGTTAGATCTTTGTCTGGATTCCTTTTAGTCTGTTTTCATTCCTCTGTCTTTATCAGGTAAAGACCTGAAAAACAGCTATTTAATATACAGTACCTGGGATTTGTAGTGCCTCCATTTTCTATGGAATTCCCAACCCGGATTTCAGCTCCTTCTATCCGATATGAACAACAATCTTGTCGATTAGTGATACTGACCGAGAATACATCATATTCTGCCAGCAGATCTACTATCCACCATGGATTATTTTCATTATTTGTGTGGGTGCAGGAACCATTCGAAAAGTCACCTTCCAAAGAACCATCAATAGCATTCCTAGCAATTCCAATGGGATTATATGTGCTGGATTGGTAGGCTTCTCCTGAAAGGGCTACATTCCTAACTGGAAGGAAAGAAAAGATTTATCTTTTACTACAGCTGTGCTTAAATCTGCTTAGAAGCAAAACCACATTTTTATGTGATTTCAGCTTCCACAAGAGATGCAGGTTCGAAGCCTGGAATGTCTAGCCTCCCAGAAGACCAAATGAGAACACAATTGGGTATATTACAAAATCAGAGTTTTATTCTGAGTGGACAAAGAGGATGCCAGTGGAGAAGACCCCCTAAAGAAATGACATATTGCAGTGGTGAAAATATAACATATCGATTATATTTTGACAGCTATTAAAGACTCCTGTGCAAGCTCCTGATTGGTCAGAAATGTGTCCGGCTAGAATCCGCTTCCCTTCAATGTCACCATTGTTTGGTCTTTGCTGTTGGAGGGAAACTTTACTAAATTGTCACTGGATTATGTTTAAGAGTATTTCCATTTCTAGATCCTCTCCCAAAAGGGGCATGATCGAAAAGGAATGTAATTTTGCAGTCAATAATGGGCTTAATGGACACAGTTGACACAATGGGGTTAGACCAAGGTAAACAATGGGTGCTTTAGGATGATGACCATCTCAATGGTTGTTGCAAGAGTGAGTCTGGCTGGGGGCATGAGAAAGGATAGCCCACTGATATCCCAGATTGTATCAGCACAATATCCTGTGCTCTGATATTTAGAGAAGGTGGTTAGAGTTCTCAGCCAAAGAGCCCTGGTATTTCATCAAACTACAAATCCCAGGATATCATAGGATGTCATGGTGGTATAACCGTGTCCAAGGGTCTGAGGAGGTCTATTAAATAAATAGAATTTAAATTATGAGGAGGCCATCACAGTTTAAGTCCCATCAATCTCAATGGATGCAATCTAAGTCTAACTTAATCTGGCTCTGCCCAATGTTGTTGTTTGTTCTTAACTGCTATCAAGTCAACTCTACTTATGGCAACAGTATGAATAAGAGACCTCCAAGTTATCCTATCACCAACTGTCCTGCTCAGATCTAGCAGACTTGGGCCATCTTTCTACTCCAGCTTCTCCCTTCTGTCTTTCACCAGCCAAAATTGCCACCTACTTATTCCGCCCTCGCTCCCCCCCCCCAAAAAAAACCCTAGCCACCTTTTAAACCTATTCCCAGTGAATCCAATGATTGCAGTTTCTCCTTATATTTCAGCTTCTCCCTTCTGTCTCTCACTCACCCAAATTCACCACCCATTTGCCCCCAAGAAAAACCAGCCATTGTTTAAACTTGTCAACAAAGATAGTAGCCCTACATTAATCCTGGGTTGCCCCCTTCATGTGACAAAATCCTAAACGTGCAGAGATATGAAAAGTTCTGTTTCTGGATTTGAGAAAAAAGAAACAAATCAGGCAATAGCAGCTAGTCCCAGAGACATACCTTCGGAGGCAGACAATGCTGTCAGGGTGGCCAAAATCAGAGAGATAGAATGTCTCATGGTTCTTTGTGGAAATGCCATTTTTGAAGGATATCTAAAAATGGCAGTTAAGGCCCAGGAAAATCTCGAGTGCCCCTGCAGTATTTGATGAAGTGTTAATAAATACCAGTGGGTACTTACCACATCCAATCAGATCAGTTTAGACATAAGATTATGAAACACACTCTCAAATAATATTTGCTGTTGTCCTTACAAAATCACTCTGTACAATCTGATTAAATAAGCTAAAAAGTCTATTTAGAACAAATATGTACAACCAATGTGTCACGTAATGCCTCTGCTTCAGCTTCTTCTCCCATCCTATAGAGCCCTGACATTTGATGGATTCCAACAGTCGCTCTGTTCAGATATCCACTAATATTACAGAAATCTCATATTGTTTCTTATTTCCAAGGCTTTCAGCTGACTAGGTAAAAGAGTATAGTATACTGCAAATTTTAAACCCACAAATTGATTTCTGCATAGTCACATATATGAAATGGATATTAACAAGGTTGTGCTCAATTTAATCACAAAATGAAAGTGTAAACTATGCATTTATTGTGTTGTCGAAAGCTTTCATGGCCAGAATGACTGGGTTGCTTTGCATTTTTCAGGCTGTATGGCCATGATACAGAAGCATTCTCTCCTGACATTTCACCCACATCTATGGCAGGCTTGCTCAGAGGTTGAGGGGTCTGTTGGAAGCTAAGTAAGTGAGATTTATATATATGTAGAATGTCCAGGGTAAGAGAAAGATCTCTTGTCTGTTTGAGGCATGTTTGAATGTTGCAATTTGCCACATTGATTAGCATTACATTTTCAAGGCCTGGCTGCTTCCTGCCTGGGGGAATCCTTTGTTGGGATGTGTTAGCTGGATCTGATTGGTTCTTGTCTGGAATTCCCCTGCTTTTTTAGTGTTCTTCTTTATCTACTGTCCTGATTTTAGAGTTTTTTAATACTGGTAGCCAGTTTTTGTTCATTTTCATGGTTTCCTCCTTTTTGTTGAAATTGACCACATGCTTGTGGATTTCAATGGCTTCTCTGTGTAGTCTGACATAGTAGTTGTTAGAGTGGTCCAACATTTCTGTGTTCTCAAATAATATGCTGTGTCCAGGTTGGTTCATCAGGTGCTCTGCTTTTGCTGACTTCTCTGGTTGAAGTAGTCTGCAGTGCCTTTCATGTTCCTTGGTTCGTGTTTGGGCACTGTTGTGTTTGGCTGTCCCTATGTAGACCTGTCCACAGCTGCATGGTATATGATAGACTCTTGCAGAGGTGAGAAGATCCCTCTTATCCTTTGCTAAATGTAGCATTTGCTGGATGTTCTTAGTGGGTCTGCAGTTCATTTTATGTTATGTTTCTTCATCATGCAACACAACATACGCATTTCTCTATCAAATTGAGATGTTGTCCCTTCTCTGCTGTTCAGTCAGCTTCTGCCTGGAATGTGCTGTATGCCAAAAATGACAGCAAGTAGCCTGCAAGTCTCTATTTCCAGCCTTTCCATAAGAGACATCCTTATAATAAGGGTTACCTGGCAACTCTATCACCATAGAACTAGCCGAAAGGGAGGTAAGTTTCCTGCAAATGTGTTTTCAGGTTTACAAGGTGACTGGGTTAAGCCAATAATTGCAGTTCTAGCAAGCTAGTTTGCTGTTTTCCTTTCACCTACTTGCTGCATGAAGTACTGCAGCACTTATTGATTCGTTTAACCCCTTAATATCTATTTCAAAAGCATGCAGAACAGTCTTCATAATATCGAACACCAACCCACCCCACCTCACCCCCCGGTCAAATTTATATTAATATTCGAAGCCACAACGGAGCCCAGCTAGTCAACCGGCCGAGGGAACGGAGGAGCCTTGCAGAAGCTACCAGAGCCATGGATACATTCTACCTAAACCCCTGTCACGTTGCCAGGGCTCTGCCTTATTCAGGTAGAGATGAACCAAACAAATACCCAGTTTGTGTTGAACAATTTAATTAAAACAGCACTTGCTTTCTGGCTATTTTAATAGTCCAAAATTTAAAACATAAAGATTACACTCAGCCACAGAAGACTCAACATATACAATCAAATGAGACTTGAAATGTCAAACGTGTATAGTGCCTCGAAGGGTAAATGTACAGTTTTAAAATTGTATTTAGACTTTGATCACTCTGGTTTATTACCATAGCAAATTATGAGGGTCTTTTAAAAACCTTATAATGTTTTAATGTAAACTGCAAACATTACCTGCAAACACTGTTGCAGGTTCAAGATAACTCCGTAGTCAAAAGGTCCAGTCAAACGCTGAGAGTTCAGTAAACAAAATCCAGGGATCAAGAGTCTATACCGTAGTCAAAAGCCAGTCCAAGGTTCAAGGTTCCAGGATTCCAAAGGTTCAGGAGTCAGGTCAGGACACTGAAAAACCACAAACCTGGGGGGAAATGAGCAGCATCTACCACCAAAACAAAACAAATACTTTTCTCCTGAAGATAAGTCCCAAGGCTAGCTCCTTATATCCAGAAACATCCAGCTGCAACCCATCTCTTGCATACATCCACTCTTGATTGCTTTCACACATGAACTCTTTCTTACAGATTACTCAACCCTTTAGAACTAAGACTTACATTAATCCATCACCAACTGCTAGGCCTACCGCCACCAACCACCATCAACTGCAGAACATAATACATGACAACCCCCTTTCCCCTTTTATTATAAAGTAACCCCTTATTAAACATGTACTTTGGTGTGTTATCTTTATTTCTGATTTTTTGTGTGTCCTTTTTGCCTACTGTGTCTTCCTCTCCCCCTTTTACCTCTTGCAGCTTGCCCCAGTAACCGCTTGGCCCTCACAGTCCTAAAAGCGGGGCTTCCTCTCTTTTTCTCCCCAAAATATAAACCTTGTTTACCCTAACTAATCCTGAATCAACCCTTGCCCTTATGGGTGCCTCGGCTTCCACAATTGGGTACCCCGGTATCCACAGACCCGCTTTGTTTGTGTAACATATATTATTTTATGTTTTATATAAACTTTTGGAGATATGAAGCCACTGATCAAGACTCAGGTAACCTTCACCGGCACCACCTGACCCTGGAATTCCCTCCAGTGTTTTCCTGGTCATCACGCAGCAATGCAAGCACCCATCATCTCTGGAATCAATCCATCTCTATTGATTCCCTCCCTTTGTGCAGCCACATAGACACCAAAGGAAGATTAATCACCTGGCACTTTTCCCTGAAACCCGGAGGTCCTGCTCCGCTTTTCCAAGATGTCATTTCCCCTTTTCCCAGAGACAGATTCCATAATCCCATCACTTTGGAGAAAACCCTGACATGAACTATAATGGACATGGGCACCGTGGGTGCTTGACCCACCCTGATGCAAATTTGCACTCTCAATGCAAAGATCAAACCCATAATGATCAGGATAGAGACAATGTGATTCCCTCAGAAAAGTATGTATTATTTTGTCTCACTAATCATCCTGCCCCTATCAGCCATTGGAGAGCAGAAAATCTGCATTGGTAGCTGGGAATACTCCCTGATTGGGTGGAGGGTGCCACAGTCCTGCCTCACAGAGGGAATCCCTCCCAGCTGCTTGTGATATCAAGATGGGCTCTTCCAATCAGCGCAAAGCTAGCCCCAGATGGGTGTGAGTGAGAAAAACAAAAGACTGTACTGAATAAAAATATGTTTTACTTGTACCAAAGACATCAGTTTCTTTGAGCGGCTTACTACTGGCTGTCATTCTTTCTGGCTGGATCAAATAAAGTACCTTGGTGGCTTCTGCTTCAACTGGTGAGACTTCTTTGTTTGGGAACTTTGGGTTTTAGCTTTAAGCCTCGCCAGGCACAGGCTACGTTTTTGTGTTCGAGATCTCACTATCTGCAAACTGTCCTAAATTGCTCGATAACATTTAGACTCATTTTCCAACCCAACAGGAACAGGATAAACTTTTGGAACAAAGAGCAATGGATTGGGGCTCGCTTAATCCCACATTGTTTTATCTCGTTTAGCCAAAGATAACCACACGTTTGTGGCCTCCTGCTTGGGAGAAATCTATCCATATCTGTTGAATCTATGTCACAATAGGATTCAAAGATCACCCCCTCAGTTATCTGAAATGCCCATTACACAATTAGAATAATATTGAGTCAAAGCTAAGAAGTGGAAACTATTTTGAAAGGGAACTGGCTTTGCTAACAACCGGAGGATATGTAGGTCTTCTGTTATTAGGTAAAGGTTTTCCCCTGACATGAAGTCCAGTCGTGTCTGACTCTGGAGTGTGGTGCTCATCTCCATTTCTAAGCTGAAGAGCCAGCATTGTCCGTAGACACCTCTAAGGTCATGTGGCCTGCATGACTGCATGGAGCGTCGTTACCTTCCCGCTGGAGTGGTACCTATTGATCTACTCACATTTGCATGTTTTCAAACTGCTAGGTTGGCAGAAGCTGGGGCTGACAGCAGAAGCTCACGCTGCTCCCGGGAATTGAACCTGCGACCTTTCGATTAACAAGCTCAGCAGCTCAGCTCTTTAACCCACTGTGCCACCGGGGGCTTCTGTTATTATGTCACATGAAATAATAGAGGAAATTGATAGCAGACACTGGTCAGAAAAATTAATACTGGGGAAAGGATACTCCCCCACATTACACAAATGAAAATCAAGGCATGTGTTGCCACAAAAAAAAATACAGCTTGGTCAGAACCACAAAGTTTATAAATGAGGAATAACACACAAGATATAACATTCTGCAGCAGTTGACTTTAGCCTGAGACTACTGGGAAGGCTCTTCACCTTCCCTTCCTCTTCCCTATTGAATTAACTGAGTGTGAACTATGTTGTTGAAGGTTTTCATGGCTGGAATCTCTGGGTTGCTGTGAGTTTTCTGGACTGTATGGCTATGTTTCAGAAGCATTCTCTCCTGTCATTTCACCCCACATCTATGGCAGGCATCCAAAGAAGCTGTGAGTTACGTGGAAACTAGGCAGGTGAGCTTTCTATGTCTGTGAGTGTGAACTGCTTTTTCACTTTGAACTCAGTTTGCAGTCATTGATGTGATCATAAAAGTAGAGAAAAGGAAGGAGAAACTGGGATACTTTGAAAGTAGCTGAAAATGTGAGGTGACAGAAGATGAATTGAGACTATCCCTGTCAAATCAGAGAAGCTGAATCTGGAAGTCATATTGCAGTTTATAGTTTCATGTCAATATTGTGTCTTTAAATATATAAGAAGGGCTTGGACTCTCATCAGGACTTTCAGGATTTAGATGTATTGTAGTCACTGTAAGAGCTCTCCAAACCTAAACAGACATTGCACCACTGTGTTCCCTGTCTCACATCATTAGCCACCAGGTGAGGAAACACATCACAGTGATAATACCAGACTACAGTAGACCTTACAAAGCAGAAGAACTCTGTCTGCAGCAATTGAAGTAAACTGAGAACAAAGAGATAGCTGGAAGGCTCGGGGACATCATTAGGTCCCAGAAGGATGACACCCCACCACAATTCCTACAAAAAAAAATTCTCCCTCCCTGTCTCTCTTTCTCTCTCTGTTCAGTATCATAAAAAGTTTTTCTCTTGTCAACAATCATTTCCCAAAGGCTTGCTAGAATAGAAAGGTCCTTATCCGTTGCCAAAAAATAATCAAAGAAGAAGACTTCCTAGCCTTCTTAGGGTTGAGTTCCAAAGTCTAGGAGCAGCTACTGAGAATACTCACTCCTGCATTAACCCCAGATGAAAGCGGTGGGATAGAGAAAGGCACTCTTCCAAAGATCTTAGAGATTGGGGAGGCTCATCTGGGAATAGATAGTAGGTTGGATGTGACTCACATAGGGCTTTCCAAGTCACAGCCAACACTTTGAATTGTGCCCTCAGTGTTACTGCAGCTATTTTCAAAGCTGCCACAGAAAATGTCCAATAGAAAGATGGAAGAAAGGAGTTTCTGATGCCTTTCACTGTAGAGCTTTGAAACTGACAAGCCGAACTAAGTACACCTTGAGGACCACATCAAGTATTTGGTGTTTCTGGACAATGAACATGCCATACTAGCAGCTAGAAGGCATTGTGCAGCTTTTCTATCATTTTCTCCATCTGGAAGATGAACATTTCCTCAGCACTGCTATATATCAGCAATGAAATCAGTCTTCAAGGGGTTTTGATCCAAAACAGTACTTACAGAATTGATATGAATGAGTGTTCAAATGAATTGTTCATTGGTCTATTTTATTTAAAATGCATGAATTGATCATACAAAGAATTTCACCTTGCTAACACGACTACTCTACAAAATGAAGTATTATAGACTAAGCACAAGACATATGGGAGTTATGTTTTCACATCCTACAACTTGCTTTCCTTGTTTTCTTTGCAAAATATTGATCAAATACATGCCTCATGCTTGCTCCTGCTCATATCTTTATTTGTTGTTATTAGTCCTTAGGTAATACCTTCACACTCCCAGTGATTTTGTAGGATAAAGTATTCCAGTCAAAAATGTTTCCTCGTGGAAACTGACGGACCTGGAACACTTCCTGTATGTCATGAGATTTGAGCACATAATCCCACATGTAAAGATCTGTGATTTCTCCCACAAAACGCCACTCTTCCTGTTCAGTCATACTTTTCACCCCCTGATCCTGGCCCAGTATGGCAGTGCCCCCTGATTGAAGAACATGCCCCACATTGTACACCTTCCGAAGGCTTCTTTTTCCATCTATCCAAAAGGCCGTGAGACCCAACTCAGATTCCCAGGTCACACATATGTGACTCCCCAAAGTGCTCAGATCAGGGAGGACAAACACCACACTCCGACCCCCCATGTATAAGCCAAAGAGGCCCTTTGCTTCACGGAAAATCCTCAACTCATCATATTGAGAGTGATAGGAGAAGAGAATTACTTTGTGTTCACCCAAATCCCCAACTACGACCCGCATACACAATGTGAACTCCATCAGGCTCAAAGACTGCATTGGAGAGATAACAACAAAACTGCTCCTTGATTGATTGAGAAAACTCAGAACTCGGCCTTGCAGACCTGGAAGAAAGAATATTGTCAGATGCTTCTTCAAACAAATTAATGTATAGCCCACTGCGGTTATCCATTTGTTAATTCAAAGCCATAGTATACCCTCCAACATTTCCCACATGTGGTCAAGCAATATCAGTGAGGTCAAGATGGCAAACACTATTAATAAGAAAGAACACATTAATGAGAAGCTGCAGCTGATTTTTTTTTTTTTTTGCATCTGAACCTATTAGGAAAAGCAAGACTTCCCATCTCCCACCGCTGAGTTAACTGAGGGTTTTTTCCATGTCAGGAGCGACTTTAATAACTGCAAATCGCTTGTGGTGTGAGAAAATTGGCCATCTGCAAGGACGTTGCCCAGGGGACACCCAGATGTTTTACCATCCTGTGGGAGGCTTCTCTCATGTCCCCGGATGAGAAGCTGGAGCTGACAGGTGGGAGCTCACCCTGCTCCCTGCATTCAAACTGCCAACCTTTCGGTCAGCAGTCCTACCAGCACAAGGGTTTAACCCATTGTGCCATCAAGGGCTCCTAGTTAACTGAGTGAAAACTACTTTTAGGCTGTGAATTTGGTTTCCTGGTAGGATTGGGAGAATTTTGGTGTGTCCTGAGTCATTGGGAGGGCAAACCTTGCCCAGAACAATGCTATTTTTAAATTGAGAGTTGGAGTCTTTGCAGACACAAAATGACCAAGGACTGTCTTTGGCCCATGAGCCACATTAATATAAGCATCGCCAAAAGAGCACTGAGGTTCATATGTATTCCAAATGCTACTATGCCCATCTTAATCCACTGTTAGCAACCTGCATCTAAGCCTTTTTTTAAACTAAACCACCTGGAATCCATCAGTCAACATGATGGTTATAACATCCAAGCCATCCCTTTTGGTAGCCATCACACAATCATGTATAGCAAAATCCATTAACTCTGTAGGCATATTGCCTTTTGACTTTACTCTTCTACTGCTTCACTTCACTTCAGACTATAGTATTATGGGTGAGGAAGAAAAAATGCAACCATCTCTCAAATTCATCAGAAGGATGCCAACAATGAACCAACAGAAAGCAAAATGTAAAAAAGCATGTACCCAAATCTGTTTCACTGTCTCTGACGGGACTCCGTCCTCCATCATGAACTGCAAAACAAAACAGAATGCCTGAAATTTCAACACTTCTTAATGAAAGATTCATATTCATATACATAAAAATTATGTCACTCGGGGCTGGAATGGCAGTTGTGATGCCCCAGAAAATGAACTGGGAAGTTCATAGAAGAAATTGGAACTGGAGGCAAGGGAAGCCTTCTTTTACCCTGGAATTGGCTTGAAGGTTCCCTTGAGGACTGATGATGAGCCATACTTGGATTGCAAGGCTGGTTACAACCTCATTTGGGAAGAAACAACCTCTGGAGGGCTAGTTATTTTGTCGTAACATGCTTTTGTGGCATGCAGTCTGAGGAAATGTTCAGAAGCACCTTGCACTCTTGTCTAATGCCAAAGTACACTTGGCAATGATCAAGAGTACATGGTCAGCTATTTCAATGCACCCAGAGCTTGTTGCAATGAGATCACATTGGTCAATGCTGTAAGTGTTCCAGAAAATGTGAATTGGCTAAGTTTTCAGGAAAACATCCACTGTATTGAATCAGTCATTATCTAATTTAGCAGCTTTGTTTTGCGAGAGTGGCTGATGGCTTTCATGTCACTTGTTCAAGGTTACAGTCTGAACTTGAAAGGAAATCTCTCCAAACTACTAAACATAGTCAGCACTTCACAATCACAGAAACTCCAGAAAAGTGGGAAAACTATAAATAAAAAATCCAGCATTTTTTAAACTGAGATTGCACCTCTCTAGGGATCTCTAGCCGCAAATTTAGAAACATCAGGGAATCTTCCTGCTCTAATGCTAAAGTACACTCAGCAATGGTGAATAGCACATAGTCAGCTTCCAGTGAAACCTGAGCACAAGGTTGCACTGGAGGACCTAGAGATTCCTAAGGAGAAATTAATCAAATCCTCAAATAATCAACACTAAATACTGTATGTTAATCCTGCAGATACGGAATGCTGATTGTACTAATCCCAATAGGTTCAGCACCTTGGACACTTCCTTTAAGTAGGTTCAATACTCCATTGACATGTCGAATCATAGACCTGTTAATAATAAAAATCCTAATAATGAAAGAGCTGAAAGGAAGCATTTATTTGAATGCTGAAGGGAGGCAGATGACTTAATAATACACATTAATACACATTCAGTGTGGCTTAAATCTTATACTGGGGAAAACTTTAAAGCTTTGTTTTTAAATAATTTCAACTATAATACCCTTAAGTATTAATGTGAGTAGATCAATAGGTACCGCTCCGGCGGGAAGGTAATGGCGCTCCATGCAGTCATGCTGGCCACATGACCTTGGAGGTGTCTACGGACAATGCCAGCTCTTTGCTTTAGAAATGGAGATGAGCACCAGCCCCCAGAGTCGGACACGACTGGACTTAATGTCAGGCGACAACCTTTACCTTTAAGATATGATAACCTAATGTCACATGCTTCCCTTTCTTTATTTAGACTCTCAAAGAAAAAAATACTAATTTTAGAACATCTAAAGGGCTGTGCATTTGTCATAAATCAAGATCAACAATACTCGGCATAATCAAGAGACTATACTTCACATATCTCTAATGGCAGTGCCAGGAAGTCACTCTTTTATAATATTAGATTTAATATCATTTTTAGATGGAGCATAAAACAAGCATCTTCCAACATTGATTTTGCTGTTGTGTACACAACACATGATTTCTATAGTGATTTGAAAGTTCTAGAAAAAAACACAAGGGAGTTCACTAAGAGGCAACATATATAGTCCTAGATATTGTCAGACAGCAGAACCCATTGACTGTGTTGGCCAAGAATGATAAGAGATGAATTCCAGCAATATTTGGAGGGCCAGATATTTCTCAGCCTTGGAATAGCTCTTGTTCGTCTTGGGTCATAGAGATAACAGGGAGTTATCAGTCATTTGCTGGTTTGGCTCATCCACATAGCATGAAAACTATTTTTGTCTTGCTGTACATAAAAAAAAATCCATATGCAGATCTATTACTCACCAATGTGAAGCCATGGGTGTGCAAGCACTTGCACTTCACAGAGGGAGAGGAACTCATTTCTTCCAGGGATTGTAATGGTCACATACTGCCCTTGCATCCCGGCACAGTTGAAAGACATTGTTTCCCCACTCCCCATACTAGTGATGGTAGCACACCTGCCAAGGAAAACAGCCATTGCATGAATGCAGGCCAGAAGGTACATATAAAGTCCACCAATATTAGTGCTAAAACAAGCCAATGACTCATCTGTGATGACATCTCAGCCCAACATCCATTATTCTGGAGCATCGTGTACAACAGTGGTTCCCAACCTTCAGTCCTCCAGTTGTTTCAGACTTCAACTTCCAAAGGACCAAAGGTTGGGAACTATTAGTATACAATAACAATACAGGGTAAGTAATGTTACCTTCCCACACTCCTCACCATTAGCTATAGTGACTGGCTAAGTCTGATAAGAGCTGCAGTTAAACGAAATCATACATTCCCTGCCTCTGCTAACAGGGATCTCATCTTCTGCCTGTGGTTCCTTATGCAGCCAAAATGACCCACCTGTACCACAGAGCATGTTCCGTGGGGATAGAAATCTAATTGAATTTTGAGGGGGCATGAAAAGAAAGGCATTAGGGCTACGAAATGGGGTTCTGTGAAAAAGAGCATGGCTAGCTGGAATGAAGAATAGGATCGCTACATGTGTCAATGTCTGTTGCTGCTTTCAAAATAGCTCTAGCCAATTTTACAGAGTTCTCACAAACCCATAGAAATAAGAAACTTCTTGAAGAATCCATCTTATTAAGTGACACGAGGCTTTGAGTCTTAAAGAGGCCTATCCAAAATTAAATTCCACCAAAAATCCACTGAAACCAAGTTGTGCATACCATTCCTGCCATGTCTGACCTTCCTAGTTGAAAGAGAAGGTTTGAATAGCAACTATAATCATATTGAAATGACTACTGTTAGAGTCTTTTAACAAGAAGGGGAAACCCCAATTCACAGCTTGAAAGAGTGACAATTTGGACAACAGTTCTCAGAAGCCGGGAGTTGTAGTCCTAAAAAATGCATGCTTCCAAGCTTAGCTTTATTTACACTTATGCAGTTACATTTCAGCCTCAACCTTTCCCATTAACATATGAAGAGTGACAGAGAGGCATGCTGGACAGACAAGTACAGCAACCTGTACTCTTTGTTTATGATTTCTAAATCCTTTAAGTGAAGTTTATTTGCCCATACAACATGTTTGTTTGTTTGTTTGCCCTATCTATACCGTGCTTTTCTCTACCCCGAAGGGGACTCAAAGCGGTTTACATATAGGGAATTATTCAATGCTTTAAAACACATGATTTTACCACGATTTTCTTTTCTTTACACCCATGATTTTCTTTACCATGATTTTCTTTTCTTTAATAAAAACACTTAGAAATGTCACCTCTAGACTATCCTTCCCAGAATGCTCCAACTGTACTGCGCATGGGCTCTGTAACAGCTTGTCCAAAAAGTTATGATTTCAAGCTCTGCTTACCATTTCTATATTAAGTGTCAGGGACAGCAGTGCAAATACCTGGGATTCATTGTGCCTCCCTTCTGTGGCAAATCTCCAATCAGGATCTCAGCTCCTTTTATCCTCGACCCACAACAGTCTCCTCGGTTGGTGATCACCACAGCAGATACTTGAAAGGCTGAAATCAAATCTACCATCCACCAGGGCTCAAAGTCTTGATTCGTGAGAGTGCAGTCTCCATTAACATAGCTGTTTGCCAGTGACCCATCTATGGCCTTCCTGGATACCCCCTTTTCTTCAAATGTACTGGACTGGGATGATATTTTTCCCACTGCTATATTAGGATCTTAATGAGAAAACAAAATCGAGAACACACATAGTGCAAGAATATATGTGGGATAACAAGCTGAGGTTGAGGCCTTTTCACACTCCGCAGTCACAATTATAATTCCACATAAACTGCCATAGCTACATCCTGTGACATATCAGGGTTTGTAGTTTGGTAAAGCCTTAGAGTAGTGTTTCTCAAACTGGGGGTCAGGACCCCTGAGTGGGTTGTGAGAGGGGTTTCAGAGGGGTCACCAAAGACCATCAGAAAACACTTATTTGTGATGGTCTTAGGAACCCCTTTGGTGGAGAAGATCGCTACGCCTGTCCTTCTCTTCCTTTTTGGAAACAGACAGTGAATCCTTCCACCAAAAACACTCCTCCACTCTGCTTTGTCGGTCAGCCTCTCAGCCAAGGGAAGAGCTGTTTCTGAGACTCCAAGAAGGAAAGTGACAGCATGCATGCTCAGCACATGGCAGCGTTGGTGGGGTCCAAGGGGCTCATTGATTGAAGGTGAAGTATAAATCCCAGCAACTATAACTTCCAAATGTCAAGGTCTATTTTCCTCAAACTCCACCAGTGTGCACATTTGGGCATATTGAGTATTTGTGCCAAGTTTGGTCCAGATCCATCATTGTTGGAGTCCACAGTGTTCTCTGGATGTAGGTGAACTACAATTCCAAAACTCAAGATCAATGCCCACCAAACCCTTCCAGTATTTTCTGTGTGCCAAGTTTGGGCCAATTACATTGTTGGTGGAGTTTAGAATGCTCTTTGATTGCAGGTGAAAGATAAATCCCAGCAACTACAACTCTCAAATGACAAAATCAGTTCCCCCAACCGCCAACCCAGTATTCAAATTTGGGCATATTGGGTATTTGTGCCAAATTTGCTCCAGTGAATTAAAATACATCCTGCATATCAGATTTTTACATTACAATTCATAAGAGTAGCAAAATTACAGTGACAAAGTAGCACCAGAAATAATTTTATGATTGGGGGTCACCACAACATGAGGAACTGTGTTACGGGGTCACAGTATTAGGAAGGTTGAGAACCACTGCTTTGGAGCACTCCAGTTGACAATTCTAAATAGCCTCCCTAAACTGCAAATCCCAAGATCCCATATGTGATCGCCATGCCAAGCAAGCAGAGCTTGCCACTATTGCCACTATTCCACATCCACTGAAGTTAGGAGCACAGCACCACTGCAAAAATGGAAGAACATTTTAGAAAACACTTTATGGACTTCTGGGAGTTGTAGTTTGATAAGGCAGAGGTGGCTAAAGTCCTTGTTAATCTAGAGTTTCCATGATTCCATAGCATTGAGCCATGGCAGCTGTCTCAAACTGCATTATTTCTACAGTGTAAATGCACCCTATTTTTTGTATGCATGTGTATCAAAATATAGAAAACAGTTGTTGTTAAAATGATTTTTTGTGTGTGTGGGGAGCAACTTGAGAAACTGCAAGTCACTTCTGGTGTGAGAGAATTTGCCGTTTTCAAGGATGTCACCAAGGGGACACCTGGATGTTTTGATGCTTTACCATCCTTGTGAGAGGCTTCTCTCATGTCCCTGCATGGGGAGCTGGAGCTGACAGAGGGAGATCATCCACACTCTCCCCAGATTTGAACCTCCAACCTATTCGTCTTTAGTCCTGCTGGCACAAGGGTTTAACCCATTGCACCACCATTAGTTTAATTCCATTAGATTGTGGCCTCATCTACACTGCAGTTTGAAACTGCACAACCTAAAGAAATTAAACTACAGAAGTAAAAACCATTTAAAGCTTATTACATTTATATCATATTCTATACTGATATTATTATTGTCATCAAGGATAATGGAAGAAGGAGAGGTTTTTGTAGAAACAGATCAAACACCCAAGACTCAGCATTTACCTCCCACTGGGATGATGGAAGCGTCTACAAGGGCAACATTGCCACCACTGCCTGGAAAAGAGAACAGCAATTACTACTCACACAGGATGCCACAAGCCCAAACTGGTAGAAAGAAATGCCAGGAAAACATTGAAATTACATTGTTAGCTGAGGTACATTGTTAGCTGAGTGTGTCCAACATAGGCCCTATCCACACTGCCAAATTTCCAAAGCTTTTGTGGTCAATAGATTTGTACAGAATGTGTTTAATTGTGGCCCCAACCTATGCATTAAACTGCACTATATGAGTCTACACTGACCATATAATGCAGTTTAAAACTGCAATGTTGGTGGGGCCACCTTCTAAACACATTCTGTACAGTCTAATTTATATCACTACGTTGTTAATTAAAATGACAGTATGCTACTTACATTTATATGTCATGAGCCAATGCAGAGTAGCAATAATCAGCAGTACTGTTTTGCATGGCATGGCTGTTATTTTATTTGCCCTTTGAGATGCTCTACAGACAATTCAGCATCTCTGCTGCAGCACCTAAGAGATCTTTCCCTCCATCGATTTGCCCATCAGTTTCCAAGAACCCTCTGGCTGCTTGCACTCAAGCTGATCTCAGATCTTTGAAAGCCAAGAAACTCGGCCAAACCCTGCTGTCTTATAGCTGGGAGAGCTCTGTGCAGCAGGGCAGGTCTTGATCCCCGCATCTAATCTGGCAAGATAAAGATATAATGGGCTCACGGTGTAATTGCCTTTAGCGAGATTGGCCAGAAAGGAGCAATAAAATTCTGGAAGAGAAAACATTCATCATTGTTTGAACTATGGCAGGTACCATTCTGTACTTCCACGTGAGGATTTGACAGGACAATGGGCTTGAATGTAAACTGCAAACTGAAGAGCTTATTTCTTAAAATGGGAAGAGTGAAATCGGTCAGAATTCAGGCTTGAAAGATGTATTTGTTTATTTGTTTACAACATTTCTACCCTGCCTTTCTCAACCCCTAAGGTGGCTTACACTTAGGCAACAATTCAATGCCTTCCAAAACAATGTACAGACAAAATTAAAAAATCAATAGAATTATAAAATGCATTAAAACATTTGAACATATAAAACAATGCCTTCACTGTTAATCACGTTATCCAAAGTCATAGTCTGGGCCATTCCAATAGTAATTGCACATGATTCCATATCTATTGCTCAAGATCTTCAAAGGCTTGATGAAAAAGCCACATTTTTACTTTCTTATGGAAGGTCAGGAGGGAAGGGGCTGATTTAATATCCCTAGGGAGGGAATTCCAAAGCCGAGGGGCCACCACTGAGAAGGCCCTGTCTTTCATCCCCACCAAGGAGACAGAACAGAGAGCAGAGCCTCCCCAGACAATCTTAAGCTCTGAGATGGTTCATAGGAGGAGATTCGTTCAGACAGGTAAGCTGGGCCGGAACTATTTAGGGCTTTATAGGCCAAAGCCAGCACTTTGAATTGTGCTGGGGAGCAGACTGGCAGCCAGTGGAGCTAACATAACAGAGAGGTTGTACGCTCCTTGTAAAACTCTATTTTCTTGGTTCATATTAAGCTAAAATAGTGCAGCCAGAGCAGATTTATCAGCCAAGCTACACAATAGCCCAGAGCAGCACCCTTTCATAAGTCTGCATTATACTATTATTTATTTATTTATTTATTTCTTGCACTTATTAACCGCCACTCTCAGCCCTAGGGCGACTCGTGGCGGTGTACAACAACATAGAAAAACAGTTTACAATAAATCAAGACAATAAACACAATCTACCACTACATGACAACTACTTATACTAAAAATCCGCTTCGTCATATCCTGGGGTCATAATCAATCTCATAGTCATAGTCCATTCCGGTCGTCATTTCCAATAACATAGCACTCAGTTGAAGGCCAATTCGAAAAGCCATGTTTTCAGGCCCTTACGAAAGGCCATGAGGGAGGGCGCCTGTCTAAGTTCAGCAGGGAGGGAGTTCCAAAGCCGGGGGGCCACCACCGAGAAGGCCCGCTCCCTTGTCCCCGCCAGACGTGCCTGTGAGGCAGGCGGGACCGAGAGAAGGGCCTCCCCAGATGATCTCAAGGTCCTCGTGGGCTCATAGGCCGAGATGCGGTCTGCAAGGTATTTTGGGCCGGAACCGTTTAGGGCTTTGTAGGCTAACACCAGCACCTTAAATTGGGCCCGGTAGCATCGGCAGCCAGTGGAGCTGGGACAGCAGGGGCGTTGTATGCTCCCTGCGCCCTGCTCCTGTTAGCAACATGGCTGCCGCGCGCTGGACTAGCTGAAGCTTCCGGGCCGTCTTCAAGGGCAGCCCCACGTAGAGAGCGTACTATCTCTTTTTGTACAAACTGAGTTCACCCCTTGGTGAAATTTCAGGCAGAATCCTTGGCGAGATTCTTGGGCACATTCTCACTTTGTGGCAGAATGCGCTGTGTCTAGGAAAAGTAGGAAAAGAGGAAGCCTGTGTTAGAGATGGATTGTGTTGTCAAAGGCTTTCATGACTGGAATCAGTAGGTTGCTGTGAATTTTTCGGGCTGTATGGCCATGTTCCAAAAGCATTCTCCCCTGACGTTTCACCCACATCTATGGCAGGCATCCTCAGAGGTTGTGAGGTCTGTTGGAAACTAGGACAAGTGAGGTTTATATATCTGTGGAATGTCCAGAGTGGGAGAAAAAAAATCTCTTGTCTGTTTGAGGAAAATGTGAATGTTGTAATTGGCCAGCTTGATTGGCATTGAATAGCCTTGCAGCTTCAAAGACTGGCTACTTCCTGCCTGGGGAATCCTTTATTGAGAGGTGTTAGCTGTCCCTGATTTTTTCCTGACTGGAATTTCCATTTTCTGAGTGTTGTTCTTCATTTACTGTCTTGATTTCAGAGTTTTGATGCTGGACCACTCTAACAACCACTATTTCAAACTACATAGAGGAGCCATTGAAATCCACAAGCATGTGGACAAATTCAATAGAAAGGAGGAAACAATGAAAATGAACAAAATCTGACTACCTTTATTTTAAAAAACTCTAAAATCAGGATAGTAAATAAAGAACAACATTCAGAAAACAGAGGAATTCCTGTCAGGAAACAATCAGGGCCAGCTAACACCTACCAACAATGAATCCCCCAGGCATTGACCAGCCAGGCTTTGAAGCTGCAATGTCATTCATGCAAATCAAGATGGCCAATTGCAACATTCACACCTGCCTCTAACAGACAAGAGTTCTTTCTCGCACCCTGGGCATTCCACAGATATATAAACCTCACTTGTGCTAGTTTCCAACAGGCCTCACAACCTCTGAGGATGCCTGCCATAAATGTGGGTGAAACATCAGGAGAGAATGCTTCTGGACCATGGCCACACAGCCCGGAAAATCCACAGCAACCCAGAGATGGATTGGTTCCATAAAGGAAGTGATGGCCTTGAGTCTGCAAGACTGGCAAGTCAAAGCTGATTTGATGGCAAATGACAACAGAATTCCACCCCTTTAATCCTCCTCTTCCCCTTTCTCTTTCTTCTGCGTAACCTGTTTCCAGCATCCCTTGCAGTTGAACCAAGCATCTTTTGTATCCAGACACCTTGGTTATTCCTGCGGCCTGTGTATAGCATATGATGCTCAAGATTAGGAGCCATTCTTGCACTATGGGAACAAAGTGGCATGATGAGAGGGCAGACAGATAGTCTCTCAGTCCTGTTGGTCTTCATGCATTCATTTTCTGGGTAAGAGTCTTGCTTGTAACTTGGTGCCAAGTTGCATTCTGGAGTCCACACATGCATCTCAGTTGTTCTCTTTGCTCTGTGATCAAAAGAAGCAGCGCCACATTTATTTAATGTATTGGGTACTAACTGTTTAAGGAGCATTATCTCATATGAGTACTAGATGTTAGTCACAAGCCATTTATTTTTATGGATCATTAGGAAAGGTTAAGTACTGCGAGAGCCTGAATTAAATTTCTCACAGCAAGTGGTGACAGTTTCCGGTACCATTCCTTCCATTTTCTATTTCCAGATGACTCCAGGCAATGGTCTTATAGCATATAGTCTGTTTTTCCATTATTTCCCAGTGAGGCAGGTGCCACCTGTGAGTGGCCTGAATAAAATGTGACATCAGTAGAGAACAAGTCCAGATTCAGATCTCAATTTTTCCATTAAGAACATCTAAACCAATGTGGTATGCTGTCAGCCTTAAGTTTCCTTCACAGTCTTTTTAAGGGGGAAAAGCAGAAGACCCAGGCATGTAGCCTGGGGGGGGGGGGGGGGCTCGGGGGGCTTCAGCCCCCCCCGAAATTCTCATGGTGGTTCGCGAAAAGGCCTTACTGGTGCATTATTTAAACTGTTATGTTTATTCATATCATGATCTGATCACCATACTCAATAGATCCCATATGCATGGGGGTATTGGGGTAATGATACAAAAGGTTTGCTAGGGTAGACCCTCTTTCACTCAGACTCAGCCCCCCCCCCCGAAACTCAGCCCCCCCCGAAACCCCCCCTGAAAAAAATTCGCCCCCCCACCCCAAAACGAAATCCTGGCTACGGGCCTGAGAAGACCCATTAAGTTTAGCAGGGGAAAATGTTGGGACAGCGTACTGAATTAAACAAACTGAATAAAGTACTGAGTAAAACAAACAATGGGTGGCACAATGGGTTAAATCAGTGGTTTTCATCCTGTGAGTCCCCAGGTGTTTTGGCCTACAATTCCCAGAAATCTCAGCCAGTTTACCAGCTGTTAGGATTTCTGGAAGTTGAATGCCAAAACATCTGGGGACCTTCAGGTTGAGATCCACTGGGTTAAACCCTTGTGCTGCTGAATTCCTGACCTGAAGGTAGGCAGTTTGAATTTGCGGGATGGTGTGAGCTCCTGCTGATGGCCCTAGCTCCTGCCAACCTAGCAGTTCGAAAACACGCAAATGTGAGTAGATCCATAAATACCGCCTCATTGGGAAAAGGTAAAAAGATGCTACATGCAGTTATGCCAGCCACATGACCAGGTGGTGTCTATGGACAACACAAGCTCCTCATCTTGGAAATAGAGATGAGCACCTTCCCCAGACCCGAAATGAAAGGAGAAGCCTTTGCCTTTGTCTGTGTATTTGTGTTTATTGTATTTCATTGTAGCAAGGCAGTGAAAGTTTGCCTGTGTCTATTTATATGCTCTAATGTACTCTGAGTCACCTTGGGGAGAAGGGCAGAATACAAATAAAGTGTTGCTATTGTTGTTATTATTATTATTATTATTATTATTATTATTATTATTAGGGGGTCCCCGGTGGTGCAGCGGCGAGTTAAACTGCTAAGCTGAACATGCTGACTGGAAGGTCAGCAGTTCAAATCTGGGGAGTGGGGTGAGCTCCTGTTGTTAGCCCCAGCTTCTGCCAACCTAGCAGTTTGAAAACATACAAATATAAGTAGATCAATAGGTACCGCTTCTGCAGGAAAGTAACAACACTCCATGCTCATGTTGGCCACGTGTTCTAGGAGGTGTCTATAATAAAATAATAATAAAACGTTATTTATACCCCATCACCATCATCCCAATGTGGACTCAGGGTGGCTAACATGAGGCCATGCCCCAACAATTGCAACAAATCAAAATAAAATACTTATAGCAAATAAATCATCATATGAAATGTAAACAAAACAAATTAATACAAAATCAATTACAGGAAATGAAATAAGAAAATAAAAATGTGCAATGCGGCCATGTTCCAGAAGCATTCTCTCTTGACATTTCACCCACATCTATGGCAGACATCCTCAGAGGCTGAGGTCTGTTGGAAACTAGGCAAGCAGGGTTTATATATCTGTGGAATGTCCAGGGTGGGAGAAAGAACTCTTGTTTGCTTGAGGCAAGTGTAAATGTTGCAGTTGGCCAGTTTGATTAGCACTGAATAGCCTTGTAGCTTCAAAGCTTCAGTGATTCCAGCCATGAAAGCGTTCGACAACACAATTGACTTAAATTGCAGAAAAAGATATCCCACCTAGACATTAGGGAGAACTTCCTGATGATAAGAGCTATTCAAAGGGAAGCATGTTGCCTCTATTTAAAAACCTCTTCTGGAGGTTTTTAAATAGAGGCTGGGTGGCTTTGATTGTGTGTTTCTGCACGGAAGCATTTGGACTTGATGGCCCTTGTGCTCTTTTCCATCTCTATAATTCTGATTCTTTGGGAACATATCCCCAGACAGGATGACATTTTTTCAGTAGTCATTTTGGCCAGAGGATTTTTGGAGTGGGAGTTCCCCTGAAATATATTTTTCCGTGCACAGAACACATTTCTGTAACCTGCTCTGATAGCACTATGTAACAAAAGTTGGTGGGGGGTGGAATCTGTTCCTGGCTTGAAAGTTTTATTTCCTGTTTATTTGTGTGGTACTTACCAGTTGGAAAACATGCAAACGTGAGTAGATCAATAGGTATTGCTTCGTTGGGAAGGTAACGGTGCTCCATGCAGTCATGCTGGCCACATGACCTTGGAGGTGTCTATGGACAACACCAGCTCTTGGCTTAGAAATGGAGATGAGCACAAGCCCTCAGAGTCAGACACAAATAGCATTAATGTCCGGGGAAACCTTTACCATTACTTACCAGAAATTTCCTTTTTGTGGCTGCCACAAACTATGTCAAATTGGTTGAGACTCTATGAGATAGTCACAGAAAAACTATAGCAAAATATGCTACAGGATGTCCTGTAAAAACTGCAAGTGTTTGCAGTTTAATAAATTTTTTCCATGTTTTTATGATAGAGCCAATTAGGAAATGGCATTTAAAACCCTGGAACAAAATCGTGCAGACATGGCCAAACTTTGACCCTCCAAGTGTTTTGGACTGCAACTCCCACAATTCCTAACAGCCTACCAGCTGTTAGGAATTGTGGGAGTTGCAGTCCAAAACATCTGGAGGTCCAAAGTTTGCCCATTCCTGGTGTAGTGTAACACTTACCAAAGATCCCTATGCCCCCAGGAAGCATTTGGCAGCAGCCACTACAGGTGTCACCATGTTTAGTTTCCCCTCATGATTTTCCACTATTATTGTGGTGAATGGAAAGTGTGGGTGGTTTTGCAGACCCAGCTGCAACCCAGGCAAGAGGGGGATGGCAGTGTCAGCCTTTGCCTGGGCACCAAAGCCCTGGCAGCTCACCAAGGAGGCACCTGGCATGGTCCTTATCACAGGAACACATCAGAACAGATACTCATATTGGTCTCGCTGCACGAGCAGCAGGTGGCAAGTTGCAGCTTCCCAAAGCCCGTTTAAAGGGTGGCATTTTGAGGGAGCTGGGCTGATTGCAGGGATAAAACAGAGACAGAAAGAGACATCTTCCCCAGTGATGTCTAGCCATGCAAACACTTCTGGACTTGTGAGACCAAGGAGTCGAGGGTGCAGTCGTGAATGAGAAAATCTGCAAAGAACGATGTGGTGACTTTGCTGTGTGAAAAGTTCCAAAATACAGCAAAATAAGTATAGTCATATCTCTTTTCTCATATATCTCAGGCCCAGGCCCGTAGCCAGGATTTCAATTCGGGGAGGGGCTGAATTTTTTTCAGGGGGGGGTTCGGGGGGGCTGAGTCTGAGTGAGAGAGGGTCTACCCTAGCAAACCTTTTGTATCGTTACCCCAATACCCCCATGCAGATGGGATATATTGAGTATGGTGATCAGATCATGATATGAATAAACATAACAGTTTAAATAATGCACCAGTAAGGCCTTTTCGTGAACCACCATGAGAATTTCAGGGGGGGGGGCTGAAGCCCCTCAAGCCCCCCCCCCCCCCCCCCGGCTACATGCCTGAGGCCCCATCTACACCGGCATATAATAATGCAGTTTCAAAAGCAGTTTTAACAACATTACTGGGTTGCCGCGAGTTTTCCAGACTCTATGGCCATGTCCCAGAAGCATTCTCTCCTGACGTTTCTCCCACATCTGTGGTAGGCATCCTCAGAGGCTGTGAGGTCTGTTGGAAACTAAAGTGAGGTTTATATATCTGTGGGATGTCCACTGTGGGAGAAAGAACTCTTCACCAAGCACTTTACATGACTGAGTTTGATTATTGTTGTTTTATACCTGCAGCTATTGTTGTATTTTAGTGATTTTTTTCCCCAAGGGTTTTTCTGAAGTGAGATATGTATGTTGGCTGTTATTGTTTTATGTTATTGTTTCTGCAATTTTTGTATTTTATGTGGGTTGTTGTAGGTTTTTTCGGGCTATATGGCCATGTTCGAGAGGCATTCTCTCCTGATGTTTCGCCTGCATCTATGGCAAGCATCCTCAGAGGTAGTGAGGTCTACAGACCGCCTGTAAAGACCCCTGTAGACCTCACTACCTCTGAGGATGCTTGCCATAGATGCAGGCGAAACGTCAGGAGAGAATGCCTCTAGAACATGGTCTTATAGCCCGAAAAAACCTACAACAACCTAGTGATTCCGGCCATGAAAGCCTTCGACAATACATTGTATTTTATGTATTTGCATCTTACAGTGTTTTGTAAGCCGCCTGAGTCTCTCTGGGAGATGGTGGCGGAGTATAAATAAAATTTATTTATTTATTTACTCTGTTTAAGGCAAGTGTGTCTGTTGCAATTGGCCATTTTGATTGGCACTGAATGGCCTTGCAGTTTCAAAGCCTTGCTGGCTGAGGGGAATCCTTTGTTGGGAGGTATTATATTAGTCTACATTGCCACATAATGCAGTTCAACTGCCATCTATGGCAATGTAAATGGGGCTTCAAGCTATGGAAGCAGATACGTCCATATGAGCACTTTGTAAATTAAATACAGATTGAATAAACAACCAATTCAAACATACCTGCACTGTGCTAATAATACAATAGATTGTGTGGTAGTAATATAATATATTGTATTTACATATTACTTCTAATCCGCTCTGAGACCCCTTCGGGGTGAAAAGGGCGGCATATAGATATCGTAAATAAATAAACAAAAACATTTCAAAACTTCTTGCATTTTTTCCAGTTCATATAAAAAGGGCTATTTCTTTCACCAGCTCCCTTTTCTTTTACTTTGTTACACTTACAGAATTAGACTTCTTTAGCTGCATCTACACTGTGGAATTAACACAATTTGACACCACTTGAACTGACAGAGTTCCCTTGTTGTTATTGTACTGCGACGGTTCCAGCTATGGAGCTCTGGGAGTTGTAATTTGGGGAAGGCCCTGCACTCTTTGGCCTTGTGAAACTACAAATCCCAGGGTTCCCTGGCATTGAGCCATGGCAGTTTTGAAGTGGTGCCATTCATGCTGCACTCCGAGACTCTCCGGCCTAGGCAAACGCTCCGGATATTTGCCCCAATACCACCGCTCAGCCTCCACATTTCTTCCTCCTCCCATCTCATCCGGGTAAATCATGGACTCTTCTGCAAAGCAGAAGACAAAAAAGCGCGGGCATTCTCCCCGTTTGAAACCCACCAATCAGAATCAGCCTCGCAGTGCGTGCCTTCTGATTGGAGCGTTCTATCGCGGGGTTCTCTTGCCATTGGTCGAACTGATAAAGTGACATACAAAGGTTAAGCCACTCTGAATGCAGCCCCCAAATGTTTATGGGGCTCCAATCCTATAAATCCTAGTAAACTCTTAAAGATACTAGATCCCCTTTGAACGTGGAAAGCTAAGCAGGGTTAGCGTGGGATAGTACTTGGATGGGAGACCGTCAACAGAAACCAGGTGATGTAGGCGAGATTTCAGAGGGAGAGGTTGACAAGCCACTTCCTTCTTGAATGAAGGTACGAAGACACAGATAAGTGACAATATTTATGTGCCTTTCTGACTTTTGGCTTCACCGAACAACTCCCAGGACTCCCTATAGCATTGAGAAATAGCAGTTTAAAATAGTGCCCCCTTTGCAATTGTTTAGTGGTACGGAATCCTAGGAATTAGTTTGGCGCTCCATGTAGTCATGCCGGCCACATGGCCTTGGAGGTGTCTACGGGCAACGCCGGCTCTTCGGCTTAGAAATGGGAGATGAGCACCAACCCCAAAGTCGGACACGACTGGACTTGAATGTCAAGGGGAAAACCTTTACTATAGTTTGAGGAGGCACCAGCTGGCACCAGCAGGGAAAGTTCTTGGGAAACTTCAACTCTCGGGATTCCATAGCATTGAGACCCAAGGTACTTTAAAAGTCTCCAAATGCTATTGATTCACTTTCAAACATTATCTACATCAAGCATGGGCCAACTTAGGCCCTCCAGGTGTTTTGGACTTCAACTCCCATCATTCCCAATAGCCTCAGGCCCTATCTTTTCCCCCTCAGCCGCTTAAGCATGTTAGAATGTTGAGGCTGGCCAATCAGAAACTGTATGCAAATTAGTACGTCGAGATAACTCAGAGGGCCCAAGTTGGCCCATACATGAGCTATCTTGACCTACTAATTTGCATACGATTTCTGATTGGCCAGCCTGAACACTGCTAATACACAAGAAATAAGCAGCTATGTATTGATATGTACTTATATTCAATAGGATTTTTACGGCCCAATATTAGCGTATGCAAGGGAAGAAGCGCCTTCAGCTCCTTCGCCCGAGGAAGTGGTGGCTCTGAAAAGAGCCTTTGGGTCCGTTCTTTGTAGTTAGTGAAGGGTGCAGATGCGGGGGCGCCTAGGCCCTCTCCCCGCGGATACGGCGGGCCAGCTGGATGTCCTTGGGCATGATGGTGACGCGCTTGGCGTGGATGGCGCACAGGTTGGTGTCCTCGAAGAGCCCCACCAAGTAAGCCTCGCTGGCCTCCTGCAGCGCCATCACGGCTGAGCTCTGGAAGCGCAGGTCCGTCTTGAAGTCCTGCGCGATCTCCCTTACCAAGCGCTGGAAGGGCAGCTTCCGAATCAGCAGCTCGGTGGACTTCTGGTAGCGCCGGATTTCGCGCAGGGCCACGGTCCCCGGGCGGTAGCGGTGAGGCTTCTTCACGCCGCCCGTGGCCGGGGCGCTCTTCCTCGCCGCCTTGGTGGCCAGCTGCTTCCGCGGCGCTTTCCCACCCGTCGACTTCCGCGCTGTTTGCTTCGTCCGCGCCATCTCTGACTCTGAGAAAACAGAACTGAAATCTCCCGCGCCGATGGGTTCCTTTTATACACTGCTTCTCGCCTCTGATTGGCTGCTACTGCGAAGTCTCCCGTTTCTGATTGGTTCCACTTAGGCACGCTAGTATTTCATTGGACAGTTTGAAAACGCGCGCGGTGGTTTTTGCACATTGTGATTGGTTCGCCTTCTCGCTCTTGCGTGACGTAGCCTTGCAAACTCCTTTAGCCCCCCCCCCCCCCAGTGCCTCAGAGGGTTGGATCAATTGTTGATGCTATGGGCATCTATGTGTTGGGTTGTTGTAGGTTTTTCCGGGCTATATGGCCATGTTCGAGAAGCATTTTCTCCTGACGTTTCGCCTGCATCTATGGCAAGCATCCTCTGAGGCCATAGATACAGGCGAAATGTCAGGAGAAATGCCTCTAGAACATGGCCATATAGCCCGAAAAAACCCACAAGAACCTAGTGATTCCAGCCATGAAAGCCTTCGACAATACATGTATTATAAGATTGCGGAGGGAGAAAAATCCCGTTCTATTCCTACACATTGTAAATATCACCCTCCTATTTAAATAATAATCCATCGAGAGCTCTTTGGATTGGGGTCAGAACAGTAAAGGCGCTTTGGAAAGAATATTTTGTAGGTTTTCTCAATAATTATCAAGGTTTTTGTGTTTTTTATATAAGGTTGAGCTCAGAATTGGAGTTAGAACAGTAAAGCCGCTTTGGAAAGAATATTTTGTAGGTTTTCCTCAATAATTTTCAAGGTGTTTTTTTTTTATATAAGACTTTTTGTGAGAGCTCTGTAAATTTGGGTTAGAACAGTAAAACCGGTTTGGAAACAATATTTTGTAGGTTTTCTCAATTATCATCAAGATCTTTATATGCTTTTTTTGTGGGTTTTTAATATAAGGTTGAGCTCTGAATTGGGGTTAGAAAAGTAAAGCCGCTTTGGAAAGAATGTTTTGTAGGTTTTCTCAATAATTATCAAGGTTTTTAATAATTATCAAGGTTAAAAAAAAGGTTGAGCACTATTGAGGTTAGAACAGTAAAGCTGCTTTGGAAAGAATATTTTGTAGGTTTCCTCAATAATTATCAAGGTTTTTAAATATTTTTTGTTTATATTTTTTCTGTGTATATTTATATGTAAAAGGATGTAATATGTGAAATGCTCATAAATATTAAGGTTTTATATATCTTTTTTATGTGAACGTCTGTGGATGTAATAAGTAAGGGGAGAAAATCAGTCCCTTTTGCGCGCAAGTAGGCTCCCAGGCGATTGGATAAAAACCGCCTGGGAGCCTCCTTGAGTTGACCAATCACAGCAAAAGGCGGGAATTTCAAAATTGCATTTTTTTGCCGCACAGCTTTGGTTCAAAACTAATGATCTGCCAATCACAGGCGCTCTTGCTTCTTTATATGCATCTATTGCAGTATTATTTTGTTCTGTGGTTAGACAAGGCTTGGGTCAACTTTGGGCCATCTAGGAGTTTTGGACTCCAACTCCCAGCATTCCTAACAGCCTCAGGCCCTTTCCTTTTCCCCCTCAGCCGCTTAAGCGGCTGAGGGGGAAAAGGAAGGGGCCTGAGGCTGTTAGGAATGCTGGGAGTTGGAGTCCAAAACTCCTGGAGGGTCCGAGTCTGATATTCGTGGACTTTAGCATCGCTGGCTTGTAAAAGGCAGTGAATAATAAGTTTGTGGCCTTTTATTTTAACTTGAAGGCACAACAGCAACAAACGTGACGTCAGCTCTTTCTGGAAGCTGTGAGTGGCTCTTAAAAGAGCCTTTGGGTTCAGTGCGCGGGGCAAGGCTTACTTGGAGCTTGTGTACTTGGTGACCGCCTTGGTGCCCTCAGAGACGGCGTGCTTGGCCAGCTCCCCCGGCAGTAAGAGCCGCACCGCCGTCTGGATCTCGCGAGAGGTGATGGTGGAGCGCTTGTTGTAATGCGCCAGGCGGGTGGCCTCCCCGGCGATCCGCTCGAAGACGTCGTTGACAAAAGAGTTCATGATACTCATGGCCTTGGAGGAGATTCCCGTGTCCGGGTGGACCTGCTTGAGCACTTTGTACACGTAGATGGAATAGCTCTCCTTCCTCACCTTCTTGCGCTTCTTGTCGCCTTTCTTGTGAGTCTTGGTCACGGCCTTCTTGGAGCCTTTCTTCGAGACAGGCACGGACTTCGCTGGCTCCGGCATCTTGGACGCTGCGACGGACTCCGAGCTACTGCCCGAACAAAGGGAGGCAGCGCTTTATATATGAGCGTGTATGCAAATGAGAGCATTGCAGCGCTGATTTCCTATTGGATGAGAAGTAGACTCGAACGCTTGGGTCTTTCCTGATTGGGCGAACGTATCCCTAGTGTCCATTGGATGTTTTACTCCAACGTTTGGAGGATCCTTTCCTATTGGATGAGAAGTAGAGACTTATTTTCTTTTTTGTTGATCAAAGTGGTAATGCTAAGGTCTTATTAGGAGTGGCAATCTAACATTATGGAGCTAACAAAATTGCAACTATTCATCCATAGCCACCGAATATTTAGAATCATAGAGTTGGAAGAGACCTCATGGGCCATCCAGTCCAACCCCCTGTCAAGAAGCAGGAATATTGCATTCAAAGCACCCCTGACAGATGGCCATCCAGCCTCTGTTCAAAAGCTTCCAAAGAAGGAGCCTCCACCACACTCCGGGGCAGAGAGTTCCACTGATGAACGGCTCTCACAGTCAGGAAGCTCTTCCTTTATTAAGTTATTTATATTTATATACCGTTCCTCTCAGCCCGCTGGCGATTCGGGGCGGTTCACAGTTGGAACCAAGACCGTACAATACAATTAAAAACATTAAAATATTATAAAACCATACAAAAGTCAATAACAAACATTTCTCAGGTATATGACAAATTCATTTATGTCGTGAGGGCTGACTTATTTTCGACTCGAGCGCTTGAGTTCGTCCTGATTGGGTGAACGAATCCCTAGCGTCCATTGAGTGTTTTTAACATCAACGTCTAGAAGAGAGCAAATCAGAAGTCACACCAGCCTGGAGAGGAGACCACCCATTGGACAATACACCAAGGCCTGGAAGACAGCCAATCAGAAGTAACACCAGAAAGGAGAGGAGACCGGCCATTGGACAATATACCAACGTCTGGAGGGGAACCAATCAGAAGTCACACCAGCCTGGAGAGGAGGCCAACCATTGGACAATATCGAGAGGCGTGTTCATTGACAAAAATAAGCGCTTTTGACATTTCTTTGACATGTCTCCAACGCCAATAAGGGTCTGGGACTGTATTCGAAATGAAATATGTGCCATTGCGCGCCATGTAAGATAAAACGCGGGAATTGTGGGACAAATGAGTGTCTACAACTTTTGGGGAGATGTGAGATAGGGCCCTTCCTCCGGGTGTTTTGGACTCCAACTCCTAAAAGCCTCAGGTCCCTTCCTTTTCCCCCTCAGCCACTTAAGCATGTTAGAAAGTTGAGGCTATCTAATCAGAAACTATATGCAAATTAGTAAGTCGAGATAGCTCGTGTATGGACCAACTTGGGTCCTCTTTCCAGGTGTTGTGGACTTCAACTCCCGCCATTCCTAACAGCCTCGGGCCCCTTCCTTTTCCCCCTCAGCCGCTTAAGCGGCTGAGGGGGAAAAGGAAAGGGCCTGAGGCTGTTAGGAATGGCGGGAGTTGAAATCCACATCTAGACTGGGCCCAAGTTTGCCCACGACTGCTCTATCCACCAATCAGAAGGCACGCACTGGGAGGCTGGCTTCCGATTGGTTGATTTCACAAGCCGGGAGAAAGCGCCCGTAGCTTAGGAATGGTAGGAGTTGGAAGTCCAAAACGCCTAGTCTGGGCCCAAGTTTTCCCATGCCTGTTCCATACACCAATCGGAAGGAGCGCACTGGGAGTGCTGGCTTCTGATTGGTTAATTTCACAAGCCGGTAGAAAGGGCTTGTGGCCGTTAGGAATGGTGGGACTTGAAAGTCCAAAACACCTCAAGAAAGGGCCCAAACGCCTAGTCTGGGCCCAGGTTTGCCCATGCCTGTTCCATACACCAATCGGAAGGCGTGCACTTCGAGTGCTGGCTTCTGATTGGTGGATTTCACAAGCCGGGAGAAAGGGCTTGTGGCTGTTAGGAATGGTGTGACTTGAAAGTTCGAAGCACCGCAAGTTGTCCCATGTCTGGTCTGAAGTGATTTCGTATGGAATAGAGAGAACAGCTCTTTTCCGGAGGGAGTGGGTGGCTCTTAAAAGAGCCTTTGGGTTTTCTTCAAGGAGGTGGAAGAGGAAGCGGCAGAGGAAAGAAGGCCTACTTCCTCTTGGGCGCCGCCCGCTTGCCACCTTTCCCGGCCGCCTTGGCCTTCCCCGCCGCCTTGGGCTTGGCCGATTTGGGCTTCCCGGGCCGAGCCTTGGCGGGGCTCTTGGCCACCTTCTTGGGCTTGACGGGCTTGGCTTTCTTGGGGCTCTTGGCAGCGGCGGACTTCTTAGCCGCGGGCTTTTTGGGCTTCTTGGGGCTCTTCTTCGCCGCGGAGGCTGAGGAAGCGGCTTTCTTGGGCTTCTTAGCGGCGGCAGCGGGCTTCTTGGCCTTGGCGGCGGGCTTCCTCCCTGCCTTAGCGGGGGCCTTCCTCTTGGGCGCCGCCGCCTTCTCTTTCCCGCTGCCCTCGGCCTTCTTCCCGATCTTGAAGGACCCCGAGGCGCCGATGCCTTTGGTGTGCACCAGCGTGCCTTTGTTGACCAGGCTCTTGAGGCCCAGCTTGATGCGGCTGTTGTTCTTCTCCACATCGTACCCTCCTGCCGCCAAGGCCTTCTTCAGCGCCGCCAGGGAGACGCCTTTGCGTTCCTTGGAGGCCGCCACGGCCTTGGTGAGCAGCTCCGTCACGCTGGGGCCGGACGCCTTGCGAGGCTTCGCGGGGGCTTTCTTCGCCTTCTTCGCCGGCGCTTTCGGCGCTGCCACAGGCGCAGACGCGGCCGCCGAAGCGGTCGCCGAAGCGGCGGGAGCGGTTTCAGACATCACTGTCGCAAAACAGGAGCGCGAGAAGAAAAGAGAAAGCAAACACTCAACGACACTTCCAACAAGTGAGCCCAACTAGGTCAGGCGCCGTTTATTTATAGAGCGGCGGCGCTTCCTGATTGGTCGCCGCCAAGCCACGCCCCCTCGCGGGCAAGAAGGCGCTCCGCCATCCGCTCAGGTTGTGTTTCTTTGGAGGGAATAAAGTGCGAATTTCTCACCAAACACGACACGCATCCGCGCGGTCTTTCCACGCGAGGGAAGGGCGAGGGGTCCCCTGCGTGGGTCCCGCGCCTGGAAGGGATCCGTGGAAGGGATCGCTTTGAAAAGGGCTCCCGAGCCGCTCCTGCACCATCCCGGAGACCCTCCAAGGAGCGAAAGTTTTGTTTTTCTTCCTAAATTCAAGCTCTGCGAGGGGCAAAACCCACGGGAAACCCACGCAGGTGGCTGCTCTGGAGTGTGCCCTCGGGGACAGGGTGGAAAGCGAGCCTCGGGAGCCCTTTCCGTGGTCGCGAGTGGGGTTGGAAGGGACGGAGGTAACACAGGCTTCTGCAGAGGAGAGGCACCATTGCTAATCAGGCGAGGCCCCATTAAAGTGCACCAGCATTCATTTAGAGCAGGCATGGGCCAACTTAGGCCTTCCAGGTGCTTTGGACTCCAACTCCCAGCATTCCTAACAGCCTCAGGCCCCTTCCTTTTCCCCCTCAGCCGCTTAAGCGGATGAGGGGGAAAAGGAAAGGGCCTGAGGCTGTTAGGAATGCTGGGAGTTGGAGTCCAAAGCACCTGGAAGGCCTAAGTTGGCCCATGCCTGCTGTAGGCAGTTTGACACCACTTCTACTGCCACTTCTACTGCCATGGCTCAAGGCTATGGAGTTTCACAAGGTCTTCTTGAGGCTGGTGGTGTCTTGACCAAACTACAAATCCCAGGAATCCTTAGCACACCTATACATAGCAAAGAGATGTCCCAACTGCATTAATTTGACAGACAGCAGCTCCAAATCAACAACAATGTAGGAAAAGGTCCATTCATAAGCCTTAAGACAGGTGTATTCAGTATTCAGAGGAAGGCTTATTGAACTCAATGGGGTTCAAGATCGAAAGCTATATAGACCTTTTTCAGCACTGTTCAGAGAAAGACCTATTGAATTCAGCGGGACTTGCTCCCCAGTTTATAAAAGGTCACAGTGCAGCAAAATCTCTAATATTAGTATTATTTATTAATTAATTATTGTATCTATTTATATCAACCGGACTGATTGATAACTAGGAAATAGAGGGAGAAAATGTGGAGGCAGTGACAGACTTTGTATTTCTAGGTGCAAAGATTACTGCAGACGCAGACAGCAGCCAGGAAATCAGGAAACACTTACTTCTTGGGAGAGCAATGACCAATCTCAATAAGATAGTGAAGAGTAGAGATATCACACTGGCAACAAAGACCCACATAGTTAAAGCAATGATATTCCCCGTAGTCACCTACGGATGTGAGCGCTGGACCATAAGGAAGGCTGAGCAAAGGAAGATAGATGCTTTTGAACTGTGGTGTTGGAGGAAAATTCTGAGAGTGCCTTGGACCGCAAGAAGATCCAACCAGTCCATACTTCAGGAAATAAAGCCCGACTGCTCATTGGAGGGAAGGATTGTAGAGGCAAAGTTGAAGTACTTTGGCCACATCATGAGAAGAAAGGAAAGCTTAGAGAAGACATGCTGGGGAAAGTGGAAGGAAAAAGGAAGAAGGGCCCACCAAGGACAAGATGGATGGATACCATCCTTGAAACGACTGGCTTGACCTTGAAGGAGCTGGGGGTAGTGACTATTGACTGAGAGCTTTGGCATGGGCCGGTCAATGAGGCCACGAAGAGTCGGAAGCGACTGAACGAATGAACAACTACAAATCAATCTATATATAGTGTGTGTATGTATGTGTGTGTGTGTGTGTGTGTGTGTGTGTGTATATATATATATATATATATATATATACAGACACATATATATATATATATATACAGACACATATATATATATACCACATATATATACACACACACACATATAAACATACACTAGCCATCCCCTGACACGCATTGCTGTGGCCCAGTCTGTGTATATGTGTGTATATATGTGTGTACATTTGTGTTTGCATATATATGTGCGTAGTTTTGCATATGCGATGTAATGTATTTTTTGTTTTTTGCCTTTTTAAGTCTCTTCTGCTGTTTTTCAGTGTTTTTATGAGTGATCGTCACTCATTGGCCTGATAGGTTTATTGTGTCCAAATATGGTGTCAATTCATCCAGTGGTTTTTGAGTTATGTTAATCCCACAAGCAAACATTACATTTTTATTTATATAGATATATAGTCATAATATTTTATTGTTACTATATATATATATTGTATTTTCGAAGGCTTTCATGGCTGGAATCACAGGGTTGTTGTAAGTTTTCCAGGCTGTGAGGCCATGTTCCAGAAGCATTCTCTCCTGACATTTCACTCACATCCATGGCAAGCATTTTCAGAAGTAGATTATTATTATATCTACCACTGGTTTTGAGCAATCAACTCCAAAAGACAATCATTTCAGCAGCTTTGCAAACACAATCCCCTAATATTAGAATTAGTTATTATTATTATTATTATTATTATTATTATTATTATTATATCTATATATCATTTTATTTTTATTATATATATTTATTATTATATCTACCACTGGCTCCTAACAACCAACTCCAAAAGACAATCATTTCAGCAACTTTGCAAGCATGATCCCCTATTATTATTTTATTATTATTATCATTATCTATATCCATAATATTTTATTACTACATATGTGTGTGTATGTGTCTCTGAACAATCAGCTCCAAAGGTAGTCATTTCAGCGGCTTGCAAGCATGATTCCCTAATATTGGTATTATTATTTATATTATATCTATCTATATAAAGTATTAATACTTTATCATTACTATGTTGTTGTTGTTATTATTATTATTATATCTTCCACTGGCTCTTAACAATCAATTCCAAAAGACAATTTCAGCGGTTTTACAAGAACGATCCTGTAATATTAGTAGTATTTTATTATTATATATATATCCTTTATATTTTATTATTACTATATTATTATTATTATTATTATTATTATTATTATTATTATTATTATTATTATATCTACTACTGGCTCTGAACAATCAACTCGAAAAAACTATCATTTCAGCGGCTTGCAAGCAAGATCTCGGTTAGGGATTAAACCCCTCTGCGTCTGTTTTGTTTTTCAAGCAATTGGCAAAAATCAAGGCGGTGCTTTTCTCTCCGCAGCTAAAAGCGCGCGAGTTTTGAAACCCGGACATCCCTCCAATGAGAATCGTCGCTTTTTAGTTCCAGCCAATCAGAAGGCGGAGAGGGCTGGCTTATAAATACAGCCGCGCGCCGCCGAAGCTGACATTCCGAGTTTGGAAAGCATCGTGTGAGGAGGTGGTTTAGGGTTTGAAGGGAGAGTGATGGCGCGGACGAAGCAAACAGCGCGGAAGTCGACGGGCGGGAAAGCGCCGCGGAAGCAGCTGGCCACCAAGGCGGCAAGGAAGAGCGCCCCGGCCACGGGCGGCGTGAAGAAGCCTCATCGCTACCGCCCGGGGACCGTGGCCCTGCGCGAGATCCGGCGCTACCAGAAGTCCACCGAGCTGCTGATTCGGAAGCTGCCCTTCCAGCGCTTGGTAAGGGAGATCGCGCAGGACTTCAAGACGGACCTGCGCTTCCAGAGCTCAGCCGTCATGGCGCTGCAGGAGGCCAGCGAGGCTTACTTGGTGGGGCTCTTCGAGGACACCAACCTGTGCGCCATCCACGCCAAGCGTGTCACCATCATGCCCAAGGACATCCAGCTGGCCCGCCGTATCCGCGGGGAGAGGGCCTAGGCGCCCCCGCATCTGCGCCCCTCACTCATGACAAAGAACGGACCCAAAGGCTCTTTTCAGAGCCACCACTTCCTCGGCGAAGGAGCTGAAGGCGCTTCTTCCCTTTCATTGGGTCAAACGCTGTTGAGGCTGTCCAATCAGAAACCATATGTAAATTAGTAGGTCGAGATAGTTCATGCATGGGCCCTCTCTCCAGGTGTTGTGCACTCCAACTCCCAGCATTCCTAACAGCCTCAGGCCCCTTCCTTTTCCTCCTCAGCCGCTTGGGCCCTCCAGATGCTTTGGACTCCAACTCCCAGCATTCCTAACAGCCTCAGGCCCCTTCCTTTTCCCCCTCAGCCGCTAAGCGGCTGAGGGGGAAAAGGAAGGGGCCTGAGGCTGTTAGGAATGCTGGGAGTTGGAGTCCACAACACCTGGAGGGCTCAAGTTGCCCCATGCCTGATCTATACTGTAGTTTTAATGCATTTGACACCACTTCAAGTGGGACAAGCTTTTCTTTTCAGACCTAACACTTCCTCTGAGGAAGGAGCTGCTTTGCTCTCATATAAACAAAGTGTTTTGCATCCCAAAAGAGAACCTGAAATTGATATGGGAAACTAACTCGTTCTGGAAATCTTTTGTGGCAAACCATAGCACCTTAAACATGGAGAGTTTTTGTATTCTTTGCTGTTATAGGTATTTATTTATTTATGACATTTATATGCCAGTACTCAGAGCAGCGAATATACAGTGGAAGTGAAGAACAGATTTGAAGGACTAGATTTAGTAAACAGAGTCCCAGAAGAACTATGGACAGAAGTCCGAGACATTGTTCAGGAGGCGGCAACAAAGTACGTCCCAAAGAAAAAGAAAACCAAGAAGGCAAAATGGTTGTCTGCTGAGACACTGGAAGTAGCCAAAGAAAGGAGGAAAGCAAAAGGAAACAGGGATAAGGGGAGATATGCCCAGTTAAATGCGCAATTCCAGAGGTTAGCCAGAAGAGATAAGGAACTATTTTTAAATAAGCAATGCATGGAAGTGGAAGAAGACAACAGAATAGGAAGGACAAGAGACCTCTTCCAGAAAATTAGAAACATTGGAGGTAAATTTCAGGCAAAAATTGGTATGATAAGAAACAAAGATGGCAGGGACCTAACAGAAGCTGAAGAGATCAAGAGAAGATGGCGAGACTATACAGAAGATCTGTATAGGAAGGATAATAATATTGAGGATAGTTTTGACGGTGTGGTGAATGAATTAGAACCAGACATCATGAGGAGTGAGGTTGAATGGGCCTTAAGAAGCATTGCTAACAACAAGGCAGCAGGAGACGACGGGATCCCAGCTGAACTGTTTAAAATCTTAAAAGATGATGCTGTCAAGGTGATGCATGCCATTTGCCAGCAAATATGGAAAACACAAGAATGGCCATCAGACTGGAAAAAATCTACTTATATCCCCATACCAAAAAAGGGAAATGCGAAAGACTGCTCAAACTTCCGTACAGTAGCCCTTATTTCTCATGCCAGTAAGGTAATGCTCAAGATCCTGCAAGGAAGACTCCAGCAATACATGGAGCGAGAGTTGCCAGATGTTCAAGCTGGGTTTAGAGAAGGCAGAGGAACGAGAGACCAGATTGCCAATATCCGCTGGATAATGGAGAAAGGCAGGGAGTTTCAGAAAAACATCTATTTCTGCTTCATTGACTATTCTAAAGCCTTTGACTGTGTGGATCATAATAAATTGTGGCAAGTTCTTGGTGGGATGGGCATCCCAAGCCACCTTGTCTCTCTCCTGAGGAATCTGTACAAGGACCAAGTAGCAACAGTCAGAACTGACCACGGAACAACAGACTGGTTCAAGATTGGGAAAGGCGTACGGCAGGGTTGTATACTCTCCCCCAACCTATTCAACTTGTATGCAGAACACATCATGCGATGTGCGGGGCTTGATGAATGCAAGGCTGGGGTGAAAATTGCTGGAGAAACATTAACAACCTCAGATATGCAGATGACACCACTTTGATGGCCGAAAGCGAGGAGGAGCTGAGGAGCCTTCTAATCAAGGTGAAAGAAGAAAGCGCAATAGCTGGGTTGCAGTTAAACATAAAAAAACCAAGATTATGGCAACAAGAATGATTGACAACTGGAAAATAGAGGGAGAAACCGTGGAGGCCGTGACAGACTTTGTATTTCTAGGTGCAAAGATTACTGCAGATGCAGACTGTAGCCAGGAAATCAGAAGACGCTTACTTCTTGGGAGGAGAGCAATGTCCAATCTCGATAAAATAGTAAAGAGTAGAGACATCAGACTGGCAACAAAGATCCACCTAGTCAAAGCCATGGTCTTCCCTGTAGTAACCTACGGATGTGAGAGCTGGACCTTAGGGAAGGCTGAGCGAAGGAAGATCGATGCTTTTGAGCTGTGGTGTTGGAGGAAAGTGCTGAGAGTGCCTTGGACTGCGAGAAGATCCAACCAGTCCATCCTCCAGGAAATAAAGCCCGGCTCACTGGAGGGAAGGATACTAGAGACAAAGTTGAAGTACTTTGGCCACATCATGAGGAGACAGCAAAGCCTAGAGAAGACAGTTATGCTGGGGAAGGTGGAAGGCAAAAGGAAGAGGGGCCGACCAAGGGCAAGATGGATGGATGGCATCCTTGAAGTGACTGGACTGACCTGGAGGGAGCTGGGGGTGGTAACGGCCGACAGGGAGCTCTGGCGTGGGCTGGTCCATGAGGTCACGAAGAGTCGGAGACGACTGAACGAATGAACAACACTCAGAGCAGCTTACAAGATATATATATATATATATATACACACACACACATATACATACATACATACAATATATTATTCGCCTAGTACAATATCAGTATTATATAGTACTATATTGTACTATACCATTATATTGTAACATTATTAATAATATTACATGAAATATAAAATATATAATTATAATATAATAGTTAGGTATCCCCAACTAGCTGTCTTTGCAAAAAAAGTCATGCTACTTCCCCTTTTTTTGGAAATCAGCCTTTTTATTGACACTTGCTCTTTTAGAATCAGAGTGGGCCATCCTGTCCAACTCCCTGCCAAGAAGCAGGAAAATCACATTCAAAGCACTCCCAACAGATGGCCATCCAACCTCTGTTTAAAAGCCTCCAAAGAAGGAGCCTCCACCACACTCCAAGGCAGAAAGTTCCACTGCTGAACAGCTCTCACAGAAAGTTCTTCCTAATATTCAGGTGGAATCTCCTTTCCTGTAGTTTGAAGCTATTATTCCACATCCTAGTCTCCAGGGCAGCAGAAAACAAGCTTGCTCCATCCTCCCTATGACTTCCCCTCACATATTTATACATGTCTCCGCTCAGCCTTCTCTTCTGCAGGCTAAACATGCCCAGCTCTTCAAGCCACTCCTCATAGGGTTTGTTCTCCAGACCCTTGATGATTTTAGTCACCCTCCTCTGGACACTTTCCAACTTGTCTACATCTCCCTTCAAATGTAGTGCCCAGAATTGGACACAGTATTCCAGGTTTGGACTGATCAAGGCAGAATAGAGGGGTAGCATGATTTCCCTGGATCCAGACACTGTCCTCCTATTTATGCAGGCCAAAATCCCATTGGCTTTTTAGCTGATGCATGACATAGTTGGCTCATGTTTAACTTGTTTTCCACGAGGACTTCAAGATCTTTTTCACACATACTGCTGTTGAGCCAGGCATCCTCCCCCATTCTGTATCCTTGCACTTCATTTTTTATGCCCAAGTGCATAAACAATCTTGCATTTGTCCCTTTTGAACTTAATTTTGTTAGTTTTGGCTCATCTCTAATCTGTCAAGATCATTTCGAATTCTGCTCCTGTCTTCTGGAGTATTGGCTATCCTTCCCAATTTGGTGTCATCTGCAAACTTGATGATCATGCTTCTGACCCTTCATCTAAGTCATTAACAAAGATGTTGAACAGAACCTGTTTCCACTCCGAGCCAACCTTTGAAGAAAAGGGAAGACTTTTGCAGTGAGCAGGGGAAAGACATCATGGGGAAGAAGGCTTGTGTCTCCTTAGTGGAGAGAAAAAGCAGGATATAAATAAAGCAAATAATAGTCCTGGCCTATGGTGTTTTCTCATCCATTTATTGAAGGGCACCACACTTTCGGAAATACTTTCAATACTGCACACTCTCAGTTAAGTGACAACCCGGTGGCGCAGTGGGTTAAACCCCTGTGCCGGCAGGACTGAAGACTGACAGGTCTCAGGTTCGAATCCAGAGAGAGGTGGATGAGCTCCCTCTATCAGCTCCAGCTCCTCACGCGGGGACATGAGAGAAGCCTCCCACAAGGATGATAAAACATCAGATCATCCAGGCGTCCCTGGGCAACATCCTTGCAGACAGCCAATACTCTCACACCAGAAGCGACTTGCAGTTTCTCAGGTCACTCCTGACACGACAAAAAAAAAAACCTGACAACCCATGGGTATTGGTAGATGCCAGGTAAATGTAGTAGGTAAATGTAGTTTCTAGTTGCTTGATGTTCCCCCCAGCGACAGCAAGAGTATCCCTCTGGGCAGATAAACCAGGAAATCCCAATTGGATGCCCCCCCCCCCCCAGCCCAGAGTCTGTCTCCAGGGGCAAACCAAGAATGGGCAAATTGGAAGTCCCTGAACAGACTCAGAAGTGGAGTGGGCAGATCAAAAGACAACCTGGCAAAATGGTACTACCTAGAAGAATCCTCCACCTTGTGTAACTGTGGAGCAAAACAAACAACTCTGCATTTGTATGCTTGCTCACAATGCCCTGCCTCATGCACAGAGGAAGAAATGTTTAAAGCTACAATGAGGTCACTGTTGCCCGTTTTTGGTCTAAAATTATTTAGCCGCTTGTGCACCTTCAATTTTTTAAATCAGTTTTATACTAATTTATGCAATGCTTTTGACACAAAATAGTTGAGAATTATTATTTAAAATAGGCCTATTAACTATACCATAAACGCTTTATTGACTTGATATTAATATTGAAATACAGCAATTAAAAGCAAGTTAAAACACAAACTTTAACGTAACCATAAATAAAATATTTATTTTAATTTTTATTTAAAGCATTTTTATTTTATTTTTTGCTGAATACTTGGGAGTGCCAGTTAACTAAAAGCCTTTTCACTTCCAGGAGACTTTTCCACATTTGAGCATAGACAAAGGATTGTGAATGTTTATAATTTTTTCATTGCTACAAACATCATTCAATAGGCCTTTTTTCCACTCACCTCAGCAGGTGATATGATGCTATATCTGCCCCAAAATGCTGTCAGGAACTAAACTTCTCTGATGGCATGAACATACATTCCATGTCTGATACGATGTGCATAAATAGAATTGGCATTCCTTGCAACATCAGGTAAAAAAATGTTGGTCATCACAGGGAAAAGATTAAAAGTCATGTAGGTTGCTATCACATATGGAAAGGTGGCAGTGAAAAGAATTCTAAGCAGGTGAATCCGTACAGTTTCAACCAATTCTCCCTTTGGCTTCTATTTGAGTTACAGTTCTCCTCAGCAACAATAAAATGTGATTTAAATCATGTTTTCCTAAGTAAACAATGTGTTCCTGCATGAGTTGGTCTTTCCACTCCATCTGGCAGGCAGCCCATGTAAATAGTCCTCAAAGAGGAACAGTTTAGTTAGCTTAGAATAGTCTGATTGGATGTGTAGAATGGATACTTTTCTACTGCAAGCCTTAATCTTGACTTTAGCTTTTTCCATCTTTATGTGCTGTGTGCTTTGACATCTCTCTCTGCTTGTGTGTCAGGAGAGATGTAGTGATTGGTGTTTTTCCCCCTCTCTTGAAACCTTAGAAGACATGGGTGTTTGAGTAGCTCAGACCCAGTTATTTACTATGAAGAAATGTCATTATTACATTCTATTGTAAATAAACCTTTTCTTCTTTTTTTTTTTTTAATATATAATCTTTATTGAAAGTTTCTTTATATTACAAAGCATGTCATAGAAAGAAAAAAAGAAAACCAAGCAAGGCAAAGAAAAGAAAAAGCAAAAGGAAAGAAAATAGAGGAAAATAAGAGTAGGAGGTGAGAGAAAAAAGAAAAAAAAGTGAAGAAAGAATAGAGCTAAATAAACCTTTTCTGACTTTTATAGATTGGACTCTGCATCTCTTGCCTGCCTAAGTTCTTAATTCTTTACAGCCACATCACATGGCACTTGTGATGTGGCTGTAAAGAATTAAGAACTTAGGCAGGCAAGTTCTTAATTCTTTACAGCCCCAGGTGGCACAGTGGGTTAAACCCTTGTGCTGGCAGGACTGAAGACCGACAGGTTAGAGGTTCGAATCCGGAGAGAACACGGATGAGCTCCCTCTGTCAGCTCCAACTCCTCATGCAGGACATGAGAGAAGCCTCCTACAAGGATGCTAAAACATCAAAAAACATCCGCTGGGCAACGTCCTTGTAGAAAGCCAATTCTCGCACACCAGAAGTGACTTGCAGTTTCTCAAGTAACTCCTGACATGAAAAAAAAAGCTGTCAGCTAAATGCTCAACTTTTAAGTATCCTGTTTGTTTTTGGATACTCTGCTACTATTTGGGTAGTTTTCCCTATCAATACCAACCTAAGGGTTGGTATTGATAGTGATATTTATTTATTTATTTATTTATTTATTTGCAGTATTTATATACCGCCTTTCTCACCCCTGGGGGGACTCAAAGCGGTTTATATATTGATATCACAGACATCCAGTGTCTTCTTTTCCTCACAAATTACAAGTTTTTGAAGACATGCACAGAATCTATTTATTTCACACACAGAATATGAATTTAAAAAGACATGATTGGATACAAACCTATACTTGTTTCCCTGATGGAATCAAAAGAATGCTGTCTTGTATAGATTTTTTTCACATTAGGGATATTTTAGCAAAATAAAATAAATTTGTTGTCAGTTCCTCTAGCTACCTCTCCCCCAAAATATTGATAAAGATACTCTCAGTCATACAGAGGGTTGTAGTACATCAAATATTTATTCTCATTCATAAGACAATGATATTTCTCCTGTCAGCAAAAAAAATCACTTAAGTGACTGCAGGATATATATATATCGGGTGCAAAATGTCTGCATGCCACATATGCAAACAGTAGCCTACCCAACTCTAGGACAATGTGTAAACCAGTTATCTCACAAACTAAAAATCAGCATTACAAAATATTTACAGAAAGCCACCAAAAGAAAATACAACCACCTGATGATCAGGCCTATATGCAGGAAATAGTTTATCAGTATGTTTTGGTTCTTCGGATGTATTTTTTGCATTAACTTAAAAAAGTATTCAAGGAGACAACAGCTTTTCCAGGGAGGAGACACAAGTGAGTCTTAATAAACTTTCATAAGAGCGGGTGACAGTGTCTCTTTCTTTCTCTATATATAGTCGCCCCTTCCTCCAACTCTGATCACACGTTAACTGAGATGGAGGACGATTCCTTGTCATAAAATAATGAGCTCGTCAACTGGATGCCACTATAACATGGAACCCCTAACATAGTAATATGCTCATTTCAGGGTAGGCAAAGGTCAACTAGGAACAGGTTGTCACAGCAGCCCCTCCATTTCCTTCATGAAAGCTTCATATACATCATCCTTGGTCTGCACAGAAACAGGGGCAGAAGAGCCCATCTTGGGTAGGGTCTTAGTTATCTGCACGGATGGTTCATCGTCAGGCTTCTTTTGGGCAGAGGCAGGCGTCCCCTTGTTTTCTCTGCGGACCCTCAGGGCCGTGGGCACAAAGCGGGTGATCTCAGCCTTGGGGTTGGTGATCTGGGGCTTGGCACTGATCGTCGCAGTGGCTTTCTTCTCAATGGTGGCTGCGCTGGTATCATCCACCTTGGGGCGCTGAATCAAGCTGGGGGGAGCACTCAGCACCCCAGGGTTCGGAAGAGGAGCAGGAGGGAATAATCCAGGTGGTGGACCCAGGGGAGGGCGCAACATGCCTGGACGCGGAGGAGGGATACCTGCATAAAGAGAAAGGAGTTACCCTGCCCTTCTGCGGTGAAGAGCCATCTTTGCCTTTAGCAACTGACTGTGATGTTAAAAGATGTGCTGCTTTGTTGGGTTTTAAAAATACTTTTGTAATGAATTTTAAATTATTTTAACACTAGAGACTGTTCAACTGTTTTAAAACACCACTTTACTGATTATGCTTTTAATCTTTATTAGTTTTAATAATTTGCAATATCACTTGAGTCCCATTACTTGAAAAAAAATCAGAGCATATATTAATAAAATAGTAACAATAATCAACACAAAGAGGCAAACAATAAACGTTAAAACAACACTAGGTACAATCTGAGGTTCTCAAGAAATTTGTGTTGGAACTGTGTAAGTTCCTGTTCCTTTTGTTAGGCTGACTCACCAACAGCTTGAGAGTAGCCATCTTTATGTTAGTTTTATGACGCTGGAGTTTAAGAAAGCCCTTCCTGGCTTGTGTCAGCCATTTTGTTTGCTCCTTTGCCAGAGGAAAGGGAGCTATTTCAGATCACAGACCACCAGGGAATCTTGGAAGCAAGATGTGTCTGCTGTTGGTCACAGTGAGACCAAAATTTCAAGTCAATTTTATAAAACAATAACTAGTTAATCAACAACTAATTAATGCCTTGGGCATTGGGCGCCTCAGTGGCCCCTATATCAGAGACAGAGAGCAAGGAAAACTGTCATCTATTCTCCTCAGAAAACTCATCTATTCTCCTCCGAAGCATCCACATCTGGCAGCTTCAGGAACAATCAGTTACCTTTCAAATTTTAAGTATGGACTTTGTTGTGAGGAAATCAAGTTAGTGTCTGGGTGGAGATAGACCCAAGACCAGTTAACAAATCATTACTATTTCCTCAAAGCAACAGCGTGAACACTGATTCTATGGGGTTCCTTGCTCAAATACGAAGGCAATCCAGCATTCCCAAAGCAGACAGAAAGTTAGGACATGTTAATGCCGAAGGGACATTTAAAGCAGCCTGGGTGCGACAGCACATAATTCACTTAGCTCTTTTTGGTTATATGCATGTGAACATGCTCACACTAACAGACAACATCTGAATGAAATTCTAGCAGGCTGACTTAACAATTGATTTAAAAAGATAATCTAGCTATGTGTCTCATAAAAGTTTGAATTTTGAGTTCCGTACTGGAGACAATAAAAATACTATTTTGTGCTTCTGCAATTCAATGCAGCCTGTGGGTAAGTATAAAATATTATGCCTGACTTCCGTATGAAATTTCTACTAGGCTAATGTCACCTGCTCTGCATTTTGTCTTCTAGCTTAACCATCACTGGAGGGAGCAAAGGTACCAACTGTTCAATGATAGCCTTACCTGGAGGAGCTGGAGGTGGGAGACGCGGTGGGGGGCCCCTTGGAGGAGGGCCAGGTGGCAGGCCTGGAGGTGGACCAGGAGGAGGGCCAGGGGGGCGCCCAGGGGGAGGTCCAGGCGGCAAGAGGCGTGGTAACGGGCCACGTAGCCCAGGCAATCCAGGCGGCCTCAGGAATGGAGGAGCCCCTACAAACATTAACAGGCACAACAATTTACTTCTGAAAATGACTTCCTGCCAACGAACTGCTTGGTTAAAAATCAAAGAGCTAATGAAAACATGTTTTAAATATGTTGTTGAAGGCTTTCATGGTCAGAATCACGAGGTTGCTGTGAGTTTTCTGTGCTGTATGGCCATGTTCCAGAAGCATTTGCTCCTGGTGTTTCACCTACATCTAGTTGTCTAGTTTCCAATATACCTCACAACCTCTGAAGATGCCTACCATAGATGTTGGCGAAATATCAGGAGAGAATGCTTCTGGAACATGGCCATACAGCCTGGAAAACACAATGTTTTAAATACATTTCACTTTGAGGTACATGAAAGCGGTGCCTAAACATCAAAACACTTCACTTCCCTACCCACCACCCCTTAGTAAACTTTCCTCCCTCTGAACACATTCGAAGACAGAAAACACAGGCATAGACCAAAAAGCTTCCCTCATTTTGATGACTATCTTATTAGGTGGCTTAATAACAAAATTGAATTTAAGCCTTATGAAAAACATAGCCCTAGTTGCGGTACTTTTGTAGCCTCGATGTGAAGCATCTCAACTACATGAGCTATGTTTATCAAATTGTCCTTTTTCATTATTTCCGACCTCAGATGCCAAAGCCAGACCAAGCTGGAGATCCTTCAGACAAGATTAAGGACTCACCTGGAGGTGGTCCAGGAGGAAGACCAGTTGGTGGCCCCGGAGGCCTCAGCGGTGGTGCAGGAGGTGGCCCAAGAGGAGGAGGCCCAGGCATGGGAGGGGCCTGCATCTGAGTCGGGGGAACAGGCTGTGGTGGAGGCTGCTGTTGCTGCTGCTGCTGTGGCTGGGCAGTCTGAGGGGGTGCTGATGATGCATTCTCTGCATGGGACTCTTCTGTGCTCTGTTGCTGTGATGTCTCTTCAGCATCAGAGTCCTCTTCATCATCGTCATCCTCTTCTTCAGAGTATTCTTCTATCTCTTTACCTCCCTCAGGAATTTCCTGGCCTGTAGGGAATGAATGCAGGCTCTGATCTTTATTATACATACTAAGAGGCTTAAAGGGATACATTAGACAGTAGTCTAACCATAAAAACTACTACTGCATCAAAATGTAACTCAAAAGTCACTGTAATATAAACAAACAAATAGCTGAATCATGTTCTTTTTCCTATTTAGAAGTACATACTGGATAGTCAATGCAAAGCTTTTTCTCTAGGCAACCACACCTTCATTACATGTACCAAAAATGCATAGATTGCAAGGAGAAGAAAAATCAAAGTTTCTTTACCAGCCATCCGTAACATCATGGCTTGAAGAGGAGTAAGCTCCTTCATGTTCTTTTTTTTCTTTCGTGATTTTCCAGGAATGTCAGCAAATCGTACGCTGTGACCTGCAGATATATATGATAAAAGAATAGGGTCTTATTGAAAATCACCATTTTGATCAGGTTTTGGAACATTTGAACATAAACCAACATTCCAAGAGACAGGCAGTGAGGTTTTGGCATATCAACTGCCAAAGCGAAATATGAGTCTCACAGAATAGTGAAAAATACTTGTTTGCCAGTACAATTGGTCCTCTGCATTGGCAGGTTTAAGTTTTTTTTCTAATTTGATTATTCACAAATTTGATTAATATGTTCTCTAGGAATCTCTAGATCCTCCAGCATGATTTTAATGTCAACTTCATCCAGAGCTGACCATACTAGTAGCACTGGAGGACCTAGAGAAGGCTAGAAAGATGTTCCCTCAGCTAAAAAAAAAAACCCCAGTGTTATTCAAAACAAACAGAGCATATACATATATATATAGAGAGAGAGAGAGATTTAAAAATTCCTAAGACATCACCATAACACAAAAAGGTGATGGAGGAAAGAAAATTACATAATTCTTCTAATGACCAAATATAATAGCCACAAAGGGAAAGAGGAGCCAAGCTGTCATTGATCTGAGGGAAACCAGTAAGTTGGATTTCACAGTCCTGCCTCTTCTTTTGATGCAGCCTGGTGGAATACATACTATGCCATATGCCACCAGAGGGGTCAAGGGCAAATACATACTTCACTTGCACTATAAGGCTAAAGGCAACCAATGAAAACTAATAATAATTTATTTATTATTATTTACTATATTTATATATCGCTTTTCTCCTCCTGAGGGAACTTTAAGCAGTTTCCAATAAATAAAGGCAAAATTCAATGCTGAACATACATAGGTAAAGTTAAAGATTTTCCCCTGACATTAAGTCCAGCCGTGTCCAACAGTATTTCTATACCGCTTTTCTCATCCCTAGGAGGACTCATCTCCATTTCTAAGCCAAAGAACTGCTATTGTCCATAGACACCTCCAAGGTCATGTGGCCAGCATGACTGTATGGAGTGCTGTTACCTTCCCACTGGAGCAGTACTTATTGATCTACTCACATTTACAAGTTTTCAAACTGCTAATCTGGCAGAAGCTGGGACTAACAGCAAGAGCTCACCCCGCACCCCAGATTCAAACCTGTGACCTTTTGATCAGCAAGTTCAGCAGTTCAGTGGTTTAACCTCAAGTTGCCTCGGGGCTGAGAGGGGCAGTATACAAGGATAATAAATAAATAAATAAATAAATAACCCACTGCACCACCAGGGGCTCCCTCTACATACATGTGAAAACCAAAACATAATAGCTAAACAATAACGTATAACTATAATTTAAAAACCTAACCATATTAAAACATATTAACATAATTCAGAAGTAGACAGAGAAGTACCCTTAAGGAGAGAACTGTTTGTCAACTTAAATAAACTCCAACACAGAGTTCTTAGCAGTAGCTTCAAAGCTATTGTCCAGTACTGGTCCACTCTCCAAGCAACTTACCTGCTTTCTTGTCGTCACCTCCCTCCCGTTCAGCACCGTCATCATGATGCATGAACTCCTCCCCGTCACTGTCTGCATCACTTCTGTCACTATCGCTGTCATCAGTACTGTCATCGTGCTTGTCCTGATCCATGTCTTCAGGGTAGCCCTCATCTTCACTGGTACTTGAACCCTCTTCATCATGTCCTCGTGGCCCTAAGAAGTTCAGATACAAAGCCATGCAAAAAAAAAAAAAACATTAATGAAATACGTTCCATTTCCCTTTTCCCGACATAACATTTAGGCAAGGAAAGCCACTTACCTGTCTCGGGGCTATAGGAAACCTCATCATCTCTCCTCCGAGGGATAATGTCTAGAGTGAACCCTGATTTGCGACCATACATTTGCAAGACCTGAGGCGGGGGTGGCCCTGGCGGAGGCCCAGGAGGCTTTCTACCGGGAGGTAAACGAGGAACACCATGCCCAGGAGGTGGGAGGACTGAAACAGGTCGGATGGGAGGTCTAGGAGTAAAGATTTGGGGGGAAATACCTAATTAAGAACTTTTCAAACTTTAAGCCTGCACTTCTGCCTACTTTCCACTACAAATATGTTAAATTGAAGCTAAACATGAACAGGCCAATATGCCCAGAGTTTATGCATTTCCCCTTCTTACAGAAAATTCATGAGAAGAAAAGAAGTATTCACTTTTATTTCCTAATCACTACAGACTGCTATTATTTTTATCTAGCTCTGGAAACTGCTCAACTGACCCAAGCCAGGGTCAGTAGAGGCTTAAATTACAGCTTTAAACTAATATATGAAGCAGTTTGTTTGAATTGGGTTGAAAATGGAAGACAAGTCTCTGATTCCCTTACAGTTATACAACAAGAGAAGAGGCAGGCCATATCAGTTTGTACTGGGCACAAATGCAATCTCAACCAAAAAACTGATTGTTTTGAAAACAGACAACCAACATATGTAGATAACCAGCTCTTGACACCCAATTAAAATGCATCACAAGTGTGTGTGAAGCAAACCAATAAAAAGCTGAGAGGACTGTGTTAATCAAACATTCAGATATTAAGATGTTTAGCATATTCATAATATTCACCACTAAATTCAAACACTGACAAAGATAAGATTTTAGAAGTAAAAAATGAAAATGATGTGCAAATGCTTTAAAAGAAAATGCTCCCCTAAGACTTTAAAGGGGGTGGTCAATTGTGAAGGGTTAGGGCTTCTCTGGCCCACCTCAAAGGCATTTGGAAGATTTTTTTTCCAGAAAAAAGGGGGTTGGCCACTGAAGAAGCAGTGCTACGCAGGGATCACAATTTGCATGTTCCTGTTTTAAAAGAACAACAAAACATGAACTAGGAACACAAAGAAACAGGAAAATAGAATTACAAATACTCCCCATGCTGACATGGCAGTATATGAGCAATTTTTTACTGAGGTATGCTATGAAAGGTGTGCAGAGTAATTTTATACTTGGCACACCTTTCATAGCATACCTCAGTAAAAAATTGCTCATATACTGCCATGTCAGCATGGGGAGTATTTGTAATTCAGATCCACGGACAGCTTTCTTCATGCACAAAAAAACCTCAGGAAATGCCAACGACAGTTGCAGAAATCATACTACAACTAATTCATTCCATTCTATCTCTTATTCCCACAGCACAGTGTTGTCAAGGGAAGTAACAGTAAGGAAGAGGACCTCCAGGACATGTGTAGAAAGGAGTGAACTGCACTGGGATTATATTTTATTGCCAGTCAGCCGCAGAGAGCTGGATGCTAAAGCACTAGCTGAGCCTCTGTCCCAGTTTCTGTCTGCTTGTTTAATGTTTGCTGACAATAGGTCCAAGTAGGCTGCAGATAGCATTCTTCTCCACTGGCAAGAGAACCGCTCACAGCAAGGGCAAGAAGTTAAACACAAGTATAATTCAATTTATATTCCTCTAACGTCTCTGCCTCTGTCCCAGATTTCCCTCTAAGATCTCCCTGCACAAGCAGGCACTCTTTTCATGTGCCTTAAACAAAAGTAGTTTTCTCCAACCTGAAAAAATGTCTTAGATTAAAAATTTCATCATTTCCAGCCATTAAGGCTACTAAGGATGCTGGTCATAAAAATGTTGAAGGACACAGTCCAATGTAGGCAGAGACCACTGGATTAGAGAAATGCTGATCTAGATTTTGAGAATCACTATTCCACAAATATTAATTGAGCAAATACAAAAGGTCTATGATTAAAATACCTCTAAAAGCATTGCAATGCAGAAATCTAACCCTTTAGAATATCTGCCCTCCACTGCGCCCTTCCTTCTTACCCATAGGCTGATGTTTTTTTAAGAATGGATGGAGGCTGGGCTCCCGGCAGAGGGATGTCCTGAATGAGGATATTGGAAGGGGCATGGGGCATGTCTGGCAGAGGGATACTCTCCACTTCAACATGCTGAGCATTCTGTAAAAGATTAAAAGACCCCTTTAGTGAATATTCAGGATGTGGGAATGAACAACCTGTAAGCACCTGTGTAACAATAATCTTCTCTGCTAAGGCCCACTTCATACATGCAAACAGCAGATAATTCCTGTAACACAAACTGACAGAAAAAGCATTGCCACAGTCAACACAAATGAAATGATCCCAGTTATGCCAATCAACCCTGGAGACAGAAAATGAGAGGGAATTTTGCTGCGACAAAGGCACATGGGGGGCTGTTTTAGAATTTAAAAGATTACTGATACAATGCTTCAGACTCTACAGTGAGACAAGCCTATATTATAACCCTAATAGTGACTCAGGACCCTTCCAGACAGGCCCTATATCCCAGGTTCTGATCTCAGGTTTTCTGTTTATCCCAGATTATCTGGGTGGACTCATATAATCCAGTTTGAAGCAGAAAACCTGGGATCAGATCCTGGAATATCTGGAAGGAAGGAAGAAGCACCTAAGGAAGTGGTTTTCCAGTATCCAGTACCAGGAAGTAAAAAGTCAACATTACACCAATGCTTTCAAAACTGGTAGGGGCACATACCTTCACAGCATCAAAGTACTGGCTAAGCTGAGATCTCTTTTGCTCATACTCCACTTCTAGCTTGCGTAGCTCTTTATAGATGTCTGGATTCTCCTTCTCATAGAGCCGCAGGATACGCTCAAAGGTCTCACGCAGCTTTTTGCGCTTGTCCTTCAACACCTTCTCATTGAGCTGAGGTTGCTGAACTGGGTTAAACTCTGGTCCAGTATCATCAGCAGGATTGGGACAGTCATATAGAAGAGGAAGAGAGTTTTAGAAGCGGAACCTGCGTATTTTTTCCATTCCCTTCTTCCAGTCACACTAAGTTCATATGTAAAGGACAAACATGTGAAGAATTCAAGATTCCGGATGGAAAAAAAGAAGTTGCTAGTGCCAGATTCCTTCCTACAAAAAATTGCAGGTAATTCCCTCTGTATGTTAGGCAGCCTTCTGCTTCAAAAGAGAGGCTAGAAATTCAAATTATAAAAATATGCTGTGAGGGTACTAACTGGGACCAGTTATTGAGAAAACATTGGGCCAATGTTCAAAGAGTTTAATTGGTTCCAACCCCATTTTCAAACACAATTTCCTGGTAGTTTTCAAAGTGCTACATGACTTGGTATGCAAGCAGTTTGACATTAGTCAGCTCATGGGTAGTCTCTGGTGGTTCAGATACTCCCTACTACCTGAGGTTAAAAAAATTGTATAGCAAGAAGAGACCATTTCTGTTCTGGCATCCAAGTTCACAGGAAGACTCAGCTAACACTTGCCGTTATTATTTCGTGTCAAAAGAATTGCATTAAATGTTGTAAATCAATGTTTTTAGGATGGAAAGAGTAGCCATTTATAAGAAATGTTGCCCAAGGGGTCTTCAAGGAGGCTCTTTCCAAGTCACAACACTTGCCATGATACCAGGCTAAGACTAAGGTGAAGAATCTGCATTTAACTACATCTTTGGAACTTTGGAATTTGTTTTAATTGCTACTCTACTGGCTATCTAATCAGCTGTAAATGGATTTTATGAAATTATAGGTCTCTTTTTTAAACTCTTGAAGCTTGCCTGATCTGTTGATCACAATAATTTATTCATTCAAATGTTAGAATCTTTGAAGAGTGACATATCAGCCTTTTTACAAACAGGAAAACAGTTCTTTCAAATAATTAGATACATATTATCTAATGTCATCTTTTAAATCTGTTCTCCCAATCCCTCAGCCTTGAAGATCCATTTTCCCCATCTTCTTTCTTGACTCAAATTGCAAAAGGGATAATATTCACACTGACCCATTTCATCAAGTTTTTCCATGTCCCGAATTATTTGCTTGGGATCCTTCATCTTTAGCACTGCTGCTCGCACCATCATACGTTGCTTCTTGTTCTGAAGTCACCAGAAAATAATAATTTTCAAAATGAAAATCAGACATTTTAACAACCAATATAATAACAGTAATAAAAAAGATTTCCTAATTTTGACTCTGATATCGTCTAAGGGGAAAAGTACTTAACATTAATATTTTAAATGAAATGTGAAATTCATTTTATATACATACACACATATCTGTATATTTTACGTAATCTGTATTGTTTTGCGGGTTCTACTTTATAGTGATATAGCTCTTTTGATCAAACAGTGCATAGATATCTGCATTTAAAGATAAGACAGTTCGGATATATATAATTACAAAATTTTAATGGTCCCACAACACTAAGAAAATACTTTTTAAACAGAGTAAAATGGGTGGACAAAACAAGAGTTTTAAAGGAGAATGGGCTGATTAGCTAACACATGCAAGCACTAAATCAGGCATCCTCAAACTGTGGCCCTCCAGCTGTTTGGGCCTTCAACTCCCAGAATCCCTGACAATTGAACAAACTCATTAGGGCTTCTGGGAGTTGGAGGCCCAAACAGCTGGAGGGCCGCCATTTGAGGATGCCTGTACTAAATGATGGCCAGTCTGAACTTTTTTGTATTACAAAGGAATGATCTCTCACCTTCTTCAGCTCTCTCTTTCGAGCCTCCTTGCCTGCAAAGATACAAACAACCTGAAAAAACTGATCCATGTCATATTTACACAAAAGGAAAATCGGGAGTTCAAATCTAGCAGATTCTCCTCTTTGTTCTCTCCCTTTGCAACCAGGCCACTGGCCAGTGTAAGAGAGAGTTCACTTTACCAGCGCTATGAACAAGTTATTCACTTTCAGTGGAAAACTCACTCATGCACAATTTCAAATATTCCTGACAGTTAATTTTCCCCCTGAAAGAAGCCTTGCTTATATACAAGAAGATATGCCATGCACAAGCTTTAAGAGCATCTAGCTACAATGTCAAACTGATACTATAAATAATAATAACAACAACAACAACTTTATTTTTATACCCCGCCTCCATCTCCCCAATGGGACTCAAGGCGGCTTACACATGGGACAAAATGTCCACAGAACATCAAAGCAAAAACGATCCATTAAAAACAAAAAATCAATTAAAATAAAACACAGCAAAACATAATAATCAGATAAAATACAATTAAATAAAACATCGGAGTATAAAAACAGCAACATTAAAATTAGCTCCAACAATGCACAACAAAACCCAAGGTGATTATACATTTGTCCAATTTTCAGCCAATGGAAAGATGACAACATTTTGCTACAACATTAAGCCATCTTTTATTACATCATGCCATGCCACTTTGGCTGCCCACCCACTTGCTTAAATTAAAACATGTATAGATTTCTAGCATATATGGAAGGAAGAGTGGAGCTGTGTAACATTATTTTCTGGTTGCTATACTTCTCAAAACACGTCGATACCCTAATGCAGCCTCGCAAAAGCTACCACAAAACACACAGTTATATATTTAGAGTGCAGGAGTTAAGATATGCTGAAAACATGGGCATGATAGAGCAACTAGTTCATATATTTTAGAACTGTCTTGAGGATATAAAATATTAGGTTTCAATTTTAGAATATATTAAACATGACCAATTATGAATGTGATGGTGTTTTTATTTTGAGATGATGCTAAGTATCTGGCATATCAGCGCCCCTAACTACAATTCAGAAATGGAGGGGGGAAATCAATGCTACCATGAACATCTGCACGAGACACAGCATTCCAATTCAGATAACAATACTAATAAGGTTCAAGAAAAGTTAAACAAGTTACTGGAAGCCTTAACTGAACTAAACCCTACCAAATAAGAACTATGCATTAACTGACTTCGAATTTTTCCCTCCAAGTTGTACAGCATGTGCTCTTGAGGTGCAACTTGGGACAAAACTCTAACTTTTGTAACACTTCCAGCACACTGAAAAAGCTGGATGAAAAAGCTCCCAAAATACACAGGATTATTGAAACATACTGAAAATAACGGCAGTTTCCCCCTCAAAACACCCTAGATATCCCCACTACAAAAATTGAAGTTCAGTGTGATAAACATGGAATTCATTGGAAGACGCATCCATCTCTTGCTGAAATCAGGAAAGTGTTACCCACCAAAGGGGTAAAATTGTTCCCAGAATCTACTGTATTTGTCTATCTCTGAGAAACAAAAAAAAAGTTTGCCAAAATTTGAAAGAAAACTCTCCTTAAAAATCATTCACACCACCATCACATCATTAATATTAGATGCTGCTTCCATTCTGTCTGACACTGATTAATATTAAAATCATAGCATATTAAAGATGCAACCTAGCCTAAAACATATGGAAGTTTTAAAACAGTATGCATTAAGTTTTGAAACGTGTGGCACCATTAAATCATTGTCTGCCTTTAAAAGGAGGTGGTAGCTTCTCAGATACTTACGAGCTTGGTCTGTGGGATTCATGAACTTCCCACTCTTGGTGGAAGAGGTGGATCTTCGCCCCATTTTGATTGAGTGTTTCTTTTACAGTTTCAATGACTGACCTAGAACTAAAGGATAAGACATATTTCAGAGTACTGGCAATATTAACAAAATCCTTCTAGCTCTACTCCCGCCTCACACACAGTAGTAGCCATCTCCTCTACAAGAGTACCACTTTAAAGCACTATCTCATAGGTTCCAGTCTTTTCAAAGAACAGTCAAGGATTTCCCTTGTGCAATGCCATCACTTTACCGATTTCAGCTAAGTCACATATCTTTGTAAACCATTTATCTTTTGTAGGAATAGCTCCCCCCCCCCCCCAAATCTCTGGGCATATTTGATACTCATTGCAGTAATCATCTATAATAATAATCTTCCATGTTTCCTCTCTAACTGATTATCCAGAATTCCCAAAAAAAAAAAGTCTGGTTTCATCATGATTTTAGATTTCATCTGAAGAGTTGTACCACCATGCATTCAAGACACATAGTAGACCTTGGTATCTGTTGGGGGTGGGTTTCAGGACCCACGTAGATATCAAAATCCACAAATGCTCAAATCCTGTTATATATATAAAATTGTGTCTCTTATTTTTAAAAATGGCAAAATCAAGACTACTTTTTAGATTAAAAAAAAAACACTTTCAAGCCATGGATGATTGAATCCATGAATACAGAGGGCAGACTATTCTTACTTCATGCTTCAACCACAATCTCCAGTCTGTTTCCACCCATTGAGATAAAATCAAAGCCAACCTGAAAAGTATTTAAAAGCTGGGTATGGGAATGTGTGCATGATGACTGTCAATGAAAAAGAAGAACTAAAGACCACAGTAATGGAACTTCACTAGGTAACCTTCACTCAGAGTGCATCTCTATATGGAGGAATTAATGCATTCTGACACCATTTGAAGTGCCATAGCTCAATACTATGGAGTCATGAGAGCTGTGGTTGATTATTGTGTCTTCTCCACAAAAGAGTGCAGGTACCTCACCAACAGTGCCTCTAAACTGTAGAATTAATGCACTTTAACACTACTTTAACTGCCATGGTAGTCCATGCCTTAGTCACATCCCATCTCGACTACTACAATGCTCTCTATGTGGAGATAGTTTGGAAGTTACAACTGGTTCAGAGATCAGCAGCCAGATTACTAACTGGCGCACTGTACAGGGAGAGAACCACTCCCAAGTTGCGGCAGCTCCACTGGCTGCCAGTCTGCTTCCAGGCTAAATACAAAGTGCTGGTTATTACCTTTAAATCCCTAAATGGCTCGGGCCCACACTATTTGGCAGACTGCATCTCCATATATAAACCGGCTCAGGCATTATGGTCAGTGGAGGAGGCCCTGATCTTGGTCCCATCCCTGTCTCAAGGATGGCTGGTGGGAACGAGGGAGGGGGGCTTCTCCATGATCACCCCCTGACTCTGGAACTCTCCCCCTAAATAAATAAAAACTCCATCTCGTCTGTCAGGGACAAGAGACAGGGCCTTCTCAGTGGTGGCCCCTTGGCTATGGAACGCCCTTCCTAGGGATATTAGATCAGCCCCTTCCCTTTTGACTTTCCGAAAAAAAGTCAAAACCTGGCTATTCGAGCAGGCGTTTGAAAAGGCAGTGTAATTAGACATAGGATTATGGAACAATTGGACTATGAGATTGGATTATGTTTTTACCTAGGAGACGAAATGATTGTTTTTACTAGTGTCATGGTTTTAATTGATGTGTTAAATGCTTTTTAAGGTTTTTATGAATTTTTGCCTTGTGAACCGCCTCAAGTCGCCTACGGGCTGAGAGGGGCAGTACACAAATGTAGCAAATAAATAAATATAAATAAATAAAAACAGCCCCCTCCTTACTCTCTTCTAAAAAACAGCTAAAAGGACATTTATATAATTTAGTATAAAGAGGAGGTTTAGAATATTATGAGTAATTACCACCGACCAGAAATGGTGTTTCACCCTGGCTTTGTTGGCCGCATAAAATTTTAATAATTTTAAATGTATTTTTAGATTTGGTGAGATTTGTGTTGTGTTTTAATGTTAGATGTAAAGCAATCAATCGGTTATGTTCTTATTTAATTTTAGATTATGTGTTATAATTTTGTGTCATGTGTGGCTTTATTTCTGGGATTTGTTTGGGTTGTTTATTTGTTTTCGTTGGTTTATTACGGCATTGAATGTGTGCCATTCCTTTGTTGGAAATTATCCTGAGTGACCTCGGGGAGATAGGTGCGAGATATAAATAAAGTTTGATTATATTATTCTTTATTATTATGGCTGAACACTTTGGAATAATGGGGTGTGTAGTTTGCCGAGTCTTTGATACTCTTTGGGAGAGCAAGTTACAGACTTGTATAACTACAACTCCATGATTCCATAGCACTGAGGCATAACAGTTAAAGTGGGGTCAAAGTACATTAATTTTACAGTATAGAACAGGCATAGGTTAACCTCGGTCCTCTGGGTATTTTGGATTTCAACTCCCACAAATCTTAACACCGATTGGCTGTTAGGAATTGTGGGAGTTGAAGTCCACAACACCTGGAGGGCCAAAGTTTGCCAATCCCTGATCAAGAAAAATATTCAAAAGTAGAGGCACCCAAAGTCATAATTTCTCTGAGTTAAGTTCATTTCTTTTTATGGTTTATCCAGCAGGTTCGCTGGAGAGAGCAAATAATTAAGAGGATGTCCACATATTATGCACATTCTTGAAAGTGGAAGCGTTTCCAATGGCCTGGAAAGCGGACATACAAGATCCTACCTTCGCTACAACGAGGAACCCAGGAAACAGGCTCCCGCTCCTCCTTTTCTTTCGGCGGGGCAAGGCCGGGAGCATTAAGCAGGGCCGGTCACCCCCTAAATGCTCGCCAGAAGGACTCTCAGAGCCGGGCGACGGAAAAGCACGGCGGCTCCCAGCGCCGTGGCTGCAAGCGACCGAGGAAAACGGGCCTTACAAGCCCCGCTCCCCTAAACCTCCCGCCCTGGCCGCCATCTTGGAAAGCAGCACGACCTCACAGCAACGACAATAGAGAGTGAGAGGAAGAAGAAGGTCAGAGCGCCTCGCTTCCGGCGAAACGGGCGTCCTTTGGCCACATAGACTTTTTACAAAGATTCATAATTCAGTGCCTAACTTCCGGGTTAGTTTGTATCTGAAAAAATGTGACAAATGAGAACAAAGTAGTGGCTTTTCAAGCAGGAAATCTCACATGACAAAACTGCAAAGAAAAGGTAGCTTTGCTTTACATTTTAAGGCAGACATACCCCAAGACTTTGGGTGTATCTACACTATAGAATAAATGCAGTTTAGCACTGCTGTAACTACTATGTGTCAATACTGCGGAATCATTCTCTGCCTAAAAGTGCTGGTGACTCACCAAACTACAAATCCCAGGATTCCATAGCGTTGAGCCATGGCAGTTAAAGTGGGATCAAACTGGATTAAGGCTAAAGTGTAGGTGCACCTGTATTTCACATGGTAACCATTATTTCTTTTATTTTCTTACTATACTATATATTATTTATTTATTGAATTTATTAATTATCCCCCTCCCCCGCCTTCTCCCAAAGTTGGATTCAAGGTGGTTTACAATAATGTTGAATTGTAATTAATATTACAATTAATGTATTAATAACTCTATAGAGAGAGTTGTCAATACATTAATTGTAATATTAATTACAATAAAATATTATTGTAAACCGCCTGTGTGTGTGTGTGTGTGTGTGTGTGTATACACACTAGCCCTCCCCTGCCACGCATTGCTGTGGCCCAGTCTGTGTATATGTATTTTGTGTGTGTATATGTGTGTGTATATATGTGTATCTGCATATATGTGTAGTTTTGTGCATGTGTTGTAATGTAATTTTTTTTGGCTTTTTAAGTTTCTTCTGCAGTGTTTTCGTGTTTTTATGAATGATGGTCACTCGTTGGCCTGATAGGTTTACAATGTCCAAATTTTGTGTCAGTTTGTCCAATAGGTTTTGAGTTATGTTAATCCCACAAACGAACATTACATTTTTATTTATATAGATATATCTCTGCCGAAACAACAACTTAACAAATATAGAAATGAAATTAACTGTCTCACTTATTAAAAACAAATTTTACCTGGTGAAGAGATCTGGAACTCTTGAAGGTTTGTATGTAGTTTTGCAAAGTTTTTGTTAACCCAAATTAAGGTTAATTAGTATTGATTTAAAAAAAATCTGTTTGGCTTGACTAGGTTATGCATTTCTATTAGCCATTCAGTGCTTCTTGAAATATCTCATGTGTGTGACTGCTATTTCCTCCTGTCTCCACTTTGATGAGGATCAGCACCATATTTACACTCACTGGCTACAACTTGTTTCTTTCTCTCTTGGTATCTCTCCAATGACCTGATTCAGAGGGCTCTGATATCACTCTACAATAATATAGCGCTATGTTCCACTCTAGTTGCCATGGCAACATTCTGGGGAATTCTGAGGCTTGTAGTTCAGTGAGGCATTGGCCCATTCCCAGAATTCTGTTGTTGAAGCAGGTTTTCCTTGAAATATTCCTGGCTTTGTTTCCCAATTGAGACCAGAAACGAGGAGATTATTAAGTACAGAAGTTTTATTACTGCAGGAGAAAACTAAAGGGCGTCGTCTGGAATTGCCAGGTACCATACAAAGAACAAATTAAATGGTGCAATATTTATTTATAGGCTGGGAAGTAGCAGCCAAGAGTGAAAGGACCAAGGCAGAGACATCTCCAGCTCATCCCCTGTTTGGGTATCAGCCAGCACGTCAACGACTTAAATCAAGACATAGTTTTCTTAGATCTACAGAGACTCTCGCTGGAACACCTCAGCAAGCGAGAGTCCAAAAGTGGCAGGCCCAAACCCAGCACCTCAATCCATGGGTGATACCAGATGAGAGACTCCCCTCTGGGAACACAGAAGACTGGGCGACTTGGAAGGCGCTGAACAGACTGCGCTCTGGCACCACGAGATGGAGAGCCAATCTTAAGAAATGGGGCTACAAAGGGGAATCCACGGCATGCAAGTGTGGAGAAGAACAAACCACTGACCACCTGCTGCAATGCACCCTGAGCCCTGCCACATGCACAATGGAGGACCTTCTTGCGGCAACACCAGAGGCACTCCAAGTGGCCAGATACTGGTCAAAGGACATTTAACCAACTACCAAGTTTGCAAAATCTGTGTTGTTTTTTTTAATCTGTGTGTTTGTTTTGTTTTGTTAGAAATGTAATACAATGGTATGATTGCTGATGACACGATAAATAAATATAAATTTATAGGTCACAGACGATTACACCAAAACACAGTAACATTCTTTTCTTCTAGGCCTACCTCTCAATCCTTCTAATTCCACCTCCTGCCCCTCCCAGTAACCGCATTGAACATGTCCAAGATTCTTCAGACTGAGCTCTATTGTTTATTCAGAGTTTGCAACTCTCTTATCTATTTGGCTGCTTTTGCAGGCCGAAGCCTTGAGGTTCAAGAGTGACCCATTGCTGTGGAAACCTAGCCCTCCCCATATTCCAGCATCTCTTACTCTTACCAACTCCCCCTCCCATTTCTGTTGTGTTATTAAACCAACATTTCAAAATGGCAATTATTCCAGAAATTATCCTTCTAACTGAAATTGCCCAGATCCTGTTTCCTTTTTCACTAGACAGTCAATGTAAATCACTGGATATTTATTTTTTATTTTATTTTATTTATCCCTGGTATTTCTACCCCTGAAGGGGGACTCAGGACAGCTTACATTGGCAACGATTCAATGCCGCTACATATAAACAATTACAGTAATACAACAACAATTAAAATGCATAAGCATTAATTAAAACAGTGCATAAAACATTAATTAAAACAATAATATAATATCAGCTGTATCGTCATTCCAATCAATCACAGTGTAATCGTCTCCCTCGTGGCGGGACCGTGAAGAGAGTTTTGCAAATATAGACAACTCATCAGAAAGGAGATTCCACCTGAACATTAGGAAGAACTTTCTGACCATGCGAGCTGTTCAGTGGTGGAACTCTCTACCCCGAAGTGTGGTGGAGGCTCCTTCTTTGGAGGCTTTTAAGCAGAATCTGGATGGCCATCTATCGGGGGTGTTTGAATGTAAATTTCCTGTTTCTTGGCAGGGGGTTGGACTGGATGGCCCACGAGGTCTCTTCCAACTCTATGATTCTATGATACTATGATTCTATGAAACCACACAGAACAATACAGATTCTATTGAGGCACAGTTCGTATCTGCTTTTCTGAAACATCTCAGTATCCTCCGGAGCCTGACACCCTATTGTATCTTTAAAGGGGGCTTTTCCTGTTTGTCTTGCCTACCTGAGGGAATTTTCTCTTAGCAGGACCTCAAAGCCGTTTCACAAGCACCACAAGTCCCAACAGTTCCACAGGCACTAAAATAAAGTTAAAAGTTCTTCTGGGGGTGCTGGATTGTATATGCTTCTGCCCACACTAGTGCATTCCAGTTCCAGTGAATGTAATACACACACACACACACACACACACACACATACACATATATAGTCCGTCGTCGTCCCCCTTTGTTTATGTTTCATAAATATATCATAATCATGAATGTAATCATATGGGAAACTCAGAGTGCTTAGTTAGGGCAAAACTCTCTAGGTCAGGAGATTTGGAATTAGCTTAATGTTTTTGGAACATTTCCCTTTCAGATCCCCGGGGCTTTGGGCTTGATAGACGATTGATTTAATCATTTCAGGCTCTGGAAGGTAGCGGAGATGGATCTCTGCAAAAGACTGAACCATATGTCTTTCGCATCTGTGGAAGTTATATTAATTTAATAAAAATATATTCATAGACTGGTCCATGTGATCACGAGAAGTCGGAAGCGACTGAACAAATAAACCACAACATATTCAATAGGAATAATATGTTAAATACATTCTTTTGGGAGGGGTGGATGTCTTGAAAACACCCATCAGAGAAATGTACAATAGTAACATTTGAATATTTCCATCTTGAAAAAATGGTTTGCTTCTATAGCAAATATTTCAACTTTTCTGAGTGACAAGTAAAAGCTGTTGGTGTTGAATATGTACAACCTAGAAAACAAGGCAGAGTTACACAACTGATTTGCTTAATTTTAATTCAATATGCCATTTCTCCTAGCTCCTCTGATTTTGCCTATGAAGTCATTGCTGTGTTTTTGAATCATGCCAGCTAACCCACCTCATAGGCCTCTATGAAGTCACCATCTGTGCAAACATTGAAATCATTATACCAAGATGCCCTAGCTCCTATCTCCTTAATGTATTTTCCCCCTTCCCATCGTCTCTTTCCAAGGAAATATAATAAGCAGAGTTGAAGGTTTGAGTGGGATTTTTTTGTCTATTCATCCTTGCTTGGGAGCTGTATGCTAATATAGAAGGACGTTAGATTGATGTGTTTCTATGTATTCTGTCCTTGTGACCTTTATTGTTAAATCAGTTGGTATATAAAATATATTTGTGAGTAGTTACTTTGCAGAGAAGGTAATTAAGAAGGGAAAGGAAATGAAAAGGTAAGAAAAAGATCAAGAGAGGAAAAAGACAGAAACAAGAATTAGATCAGCTACATTTAAAAGCAGCTTCACAGCCTGAAATTTTAAATAGTGCATCCCCAAATCTGTTTTTGTGTAATAGGAAATGTTTTTGTGTAATAGGAAATATATACTGGATGCTCCGTACACAACTTTGAGAAGGCTCAAGCCTGTATGTGAGGTTGAAATATACATCAGAACTTACCTGGATTCTGCGATTTGTGAACCGAGGTTCCCACTGATAACTAAAAAATAAAATCTATATATGCTTGCACTAACAAAGAAGTCACATAGTGCATGTATTTACTTCTATATTTTAAAGCCCTATTTAGAGAATTTAAATGCAGTAATCATACATTGCTGAAATGTCTAATATTTGGTCCTAGGCTGATTTGGAATGGAACATGCACAGATGGCGTGAAGAAAACACAGGGTAAGAAACATTTTATTTATTTATTTGATTTATTTATTATATAATATATGTTCCTCATATATTTATAACCATAAAGGAGAAGCTTGTATTTATTTGTATAGCATATAAACTGTCAAGATCATGCAATTTCAACTATATTATCTCATGACATGTAAATCTTAAGATCACCATGAATTAATAATTTAATAACATAGTAAAGGTAAAGGTTTCCCTTGACATTAAGTCTAGTTGTGTCCGACTCTGGGGAATGGTTCTCATCTCCATTTCTAAGCTGAAGAGCTGTCGTTGTCCGTAGACATCTCCAAGATCATGTGGCTGGCATGCTGCATGGAGTGCCATTACCTTCCCGCCAGAGTGGTACCTATTGATCTACTCACATTATTAGATCTCATAATCTAATAATATCTAATAATTGAATCTAATCATCTTGATATCTAATAACCCTTTGCTATAAGTCTTTTTATGTATCCTTCTTATTCCAAACCTGTCCTCTGTGTCTTAGATTATTAATTATACTAACTCACAACAAGTTCTTAGGATAATAATAATGAAAATAGAAATGTATATACTGTACGTTCTTTATTGATTGAGTTCAGGTTTTATTCCAGTTTGTGTGCTAGAAAGATCTAGACAGAGAATGTGAAAATAGAAAGTGCAAGTTTATATTATTCACTTTGCACACTGACAATAAACGGGGAATATCAATTAATGCACTGTTTAAAAATAGAGCTATAACTAATGGTGCTTTTGTACTCTCTTTTTAATTCTTGAATCACTTATATACTGTGGGACAAATAAATAAATTTATTCTGCCTCACAGTATTTGTCCCACAGTGAAAAAAAGACTTTCAGTGTGTTATATTTTCTAGTTATGTGTGTTTCTTGTACTGTCCCTTATTCAGCACATAGAAATGTGGCATATCTATGCACCATAACATAATCGGGTGTATAAGATTGCTCTGTTTAACACTTGTAATTATTTTTTACTCCAATAATTATAGTTTTTTTTAAAAGTTTGCCTTTCTTGTACAGCAACTAAACTGGACTAAGCACATTGGCCCATTTCACAGATCTACAGAAACCGGTTATTTCTAACTTACTGCTTATAAATTACTTAGTACCCAGCTTCATATCACTGTTTGCAGAAGGCAACTAGCCACTTTAACAGCAAAAGGAAACTTGTGTCAAGTGCATTATGAGTGATAGCCATATATCATGGCACATGGTCACTGATGAGTAGGAGTATTTCTCTATCACATTAGCTCAGCATTGCCCTTCACCAGTGCACTTATTTCATTGATGGCACAGTGATATGTCTCAGAAGCTTCCCTAAATTCAATTAGATGGTTCTCATAACTTTGAATAGATGCTAGAAGTTGATCTCTTTCTACTGCCCCTAGGATGGCATGAAGAATCACATCAATTCCCAAAGCAAAGATAGGAATGGCAATGCCTCCAAGGACAGATATCCCAATTTGAGCAAGCAGAGCAACCAATTTACTAACTGTAACTATTACGATATTTGAACATATTAATTTTATACCTACGGCACCTGCAGAAGTAGTAGCCTCTCCAAGTATAGCAGAGAGAATTCGATAAGCTATTGCTATTTTCTCCAGCTCAGGTTGTTTGATATCATAAAGCTTTTGGTACATCCCTGGCTCCAGTCTCTCCTTCATTTCTTTATCAAGCTTCTGTACTTCTTGTTGAATAGACTTCATGGCTTGAATGATAATGTCACAGTTCTCTTTGATGGTGCCATTCTCTTTTATTGTAATGTTTGTAATCTTGGCTCCAAGATGTTCCTTCATTGTTCGAATCAATTCATTGGTAACTTTAAAATTAAGTTTCATGAGATCAAGGAGTTCCTGGTGCAGGTCAATCACATCCTGGCGTCTTTTTGGATTACTTGGGTAGAGGAGGTCGCTTAGCTTCATTCTGTGAAGATGAGCTGATAATTAAACTGCAAAGTAGATATAAGTGTTTTAAAATAACGATTAGTAGCAATTTTTCTCTCACGTCACCTCATATGGAATATAACAATTAACCGTATCACATTGAGATATATTTATATCAATATGCATCCCATATTTTTTAGGACTGGATGCATACCATATTCAGACGATTCTTACATTTTGAAAATACTCCTCTTTGAATCATCACACTACAGAAGGCTGGTTCCTCCCAATCAATTTGAATACCTCCCTATGTCATTTTTAAAAAAATCTAATATTGCACAGCCTGGAAGTTTTGAAATATCATTCCTGAGAGATTTTAGCTGATGGAATGGATACTGATTTTACAATCACACAAAAAACAGCACCTCAGAACCATATTACATCAAAAAACACAATTAGAATCCTGTGTAAAACATCCTGTGATGTTTTGCAGACAGATTCAAACAGATTACCGATGGAATGGGAAAAGCATTTATTTATTTACTTACTTACTTACTTCATCTTTACCCCGCTTTTATCACCCTGCTGGGAAATCAAGGCAACATTACAAACTCCAGAAAAAATAAATGCCACATGGACATAACAATAAAACACACCCCCTCAAATTACAAAAACAGTTAAAACATATGAGCAATTAAAATACATAAACGATGGAACAGATTAAAACCATATAAAGTGCTGAGTATTAATCTCATACTTATGCATAGCCATTTTCTAAAATCCATAATTATTATAGTTATAGTTATTATAATTATAGTTATAGTTATTATTCAGGCTATTGAAGTCTCCTGTCCTTTCGAAGGATGGTGAAAACTTGGCTGTGGGACCAAGCTTTCGGGACAGGGCAATAAAGCAGCAATAGCAAAGATTACCAGGCCAATTAGATTTGACGTGGATGACTAGGACAGTTTTAAATGGTGTATTTTAATATTTTGATAAATATTTTTAATGTTTATGTATGTATATAAGAATTTGTATCCCGGCATTGAATGCTTGCCGTATATATGCTGTGCTCCGCCCTGAGACCCCTTCAGGGTGAGAAGGACGGAATATAAATCTTTTAAATAAATAAATAAATAATTTCGTAATATCCTATTCGCCAGATGCCTGCATACAAAGCCAGGTTTTAAGCTTTTTTCTAAAGACCAGGAAGGATGAGGCCTGCCTGATGTGACTAGGGAGGGAGTTCCACACCTGAGGGGCCACCACTGAGAAGGCCCTCTCACACTTGCAAAAGGGGTGGGACCAAGAGCAGGGCCTCCCCAGCCGATCTTAAAGCTCTTGTTGGCTCATAAAGAGAGATATGTTCAGACAGGTAAACATAATGTGATAGGACCTGTTTGGAATCTTATTCAAAGAGCCTCAGAAATGAAGTATATCCCAACGTGATAAGGTCCAATCAAGAAATAAGGAAGGGGATTTGATTCTCCTGCATTAATGTCCTGAGGAACATAAGTGCCTTCTATACTTTCAGAGGAGACACCAAGAAGCAGGCAGTTTAGCTTTCTAGCTAAGTGAGGAACTCCAGATTCGTTGTGCCTCAGTCTCCCCATCTAATCAAGTGACCACACAGAATCAACTGAGTACAGTAGCATGTTTAGAAAGTTTTGATGCAATCTGACCAATACTAGAAAAAAAGGTTGCTAATTTATATACCCATGTTATGGTTTTTGATTTTTAAATATCTTTTCTTTTAAAAAAAATAGACCATGATCACAGTTCCCATCAGCATTAGAAGAAAAAATGTATTCCCCACATTATTAATAGATGTAAATACTGAAAGAGATACCTTTCTTCGTCCTGGTTATGTCATACTCAATCAACTGGGCAAATTGTCCAGATGATGGAGAGAATGTCAAAGACGTTTCCCATGAGGTTCAAAATAGTTTATTGGGCAGAAGAATCTGGAAAGTAAGTTTTAAAAAGCATAAATGTAATACCATTTTGAAACCACAATCGGATGTCACTTGGCCACACAGATCTGTTGTATCATAGACTAGTGGCTTCTTTATAAAAGAGAGAGAAAGTTAATTAATCAAATTGGTTTGACAAATCAATATAACGAAAAGATACTCTCATATCCTGAGTGATGTATTCTTTGCCCACAGTTTGGAAATGTTCCTTTTTGGACTAAAATTTCCAGGATCCACCTGGTAATGCAGACACTAGTCATGTTGGCCAAAGAATTCCAAAGTTACAGTCAAACAAGGAAGTTTTCCAAGCATTGACTCTTACTTTCTGAATTGCACACAGCTCTGGTAGTAACAGGGATAGAATGTAATCTATACTCCAGTCAAGAGCAAAGATGATAATGGCTGCTTTAATACTTGTCTAAACACCAGAGCAACACCAGGTATTGGCTAACTGCTGGAGAAGAACAAAGCCTCTTTCCTACCATTTCTCAGTACGCGTCAACTGTATTTAGGGACCAATGAGTTCTGCAGAAATTCGAAAGTTATACATTTATGCTTCCAGAGAGGTGGTGAAGCTGAAATCCTTGGCAGTGGAATCAGACAAGAAAGCCAAATAGGAAACTCACAATTCTTGCTAAAATGGAGGGTTCCATACCACGTGATTCAGCCACGAATCATATTCCATCAATCAGTAAATATCCAAATCTAAATTATCACTTCCTTATTATCTCCAACCACACTATTCCTTGTCACAAAACAATTTAGTAATAAAAACAATCTCACATTACAGCTTGACACAATTCATTTCGGTGCTCCTCCAAACATCCCTTTTTTGGTTGTCAGTCTGTTGATAGTGCGAATTAGGCATCATGTCGATGTCCTCTTGTACTGATGCTTGCTTGGACTTGCTTAGCTTAGCATTACAGATCACAAGGCCATGGTCATTGTGCTTTTTACTAAGCTCTCTTTTAGTGGACAGAAGCTCATAGAACTCGGCTCCAAATATATGCAGATTTTCTTTTCAATTGCTGACGTAATGTTCATGCCTCTTTCTGAATATACCAAAACAAATATGCTGCCAATTAAGCAAAAGTTCTCATGGCTAATAAACCACCTGTAAAAATGTTGTGCACATTTTGTCACTGCGTGGAACAAAAATGTGCTTTAAGCATGGCGTTCCAACTCATAATGCATTTCAAATGGTATCTTCATTGTTGAGCAAGGAAACACTCTTTATGGGAGAGGTGAGCAAAGTGTGGACTGCATTTTTTCCCTGTACTCTGTTGTCCACCATCATCCACAATTCCCATTTTCAATAGAACCTTACTAAAGCCCCCAAAGGCATAACTGGGCTTTGAGAAGGTGGGCCTTCTCAAAGCCAGGGCAATTCCTTTAAAACTGGTTATATGGTTTCTATATTATATTATATTATATTATATTATATTATATTATATTATATTATATTATATTATTATATTATATTATATTATATTATATTATATTTTGTATTATATTATTTAGTTTCAACAGTCAGCAATTCTACTGCTTTTTCCATATCATCCAAAACATAATTGAAGACTTATCTCTTCCGGCAGGCCTACCCAGCCAATTTCAATCACAAATTTTAAATGTGTGTCTTGTGTTTAATATTTTTTCTGTGCATTTTAATATACATTTTGTAGAAATATGTTTTAATGTGTGTATTTCATAGAATGTTTTAGATGATTATATTTTTTAGCTATGTTGTAACCTGCCTTGAGCCACTGTAAGAAATGAAATTATTCTTATTTTATCTACAAGGACATTCACATGTAGAGTGCATTATAGTAGTCAAATCTGGAAGTTTTCAAAGCTTTAAATATTGTTGCTGAATTGCTAGTTTTGGTTTAGGAAAATGAATAGTGGGCACCTGGTCCCTAGCACTTCATACCGGAGTCTCTGGGGTCTCCTAGGGGAGGGCAAGACATCATCTCACCTTTGGACCTCATACAGTGTCCAGACATAAATCTGGCATTTGTGCAACCTCAACTGATTCAAGTGGCAAAGAGAAATAGTTTTTTGTGGCTGCTAGTAGGAAGCCTGCCATTGGGTACTCAAAATCAGGTCAATAATGTAGGCAGTGGCATATGAATGCAGAATAGGCTTTTCACAACTTTGTGCTTTCAGTAAATGTTACACTGTAACTCATTTATGCAGTTAACTTTTTAATTATGAATATTTCCAATATTTATAAAACAGGAAACTGTAGAACTAAATATTTATTGTTTTATTCATCATATAATAGGCTTACTTCACTCTGGTTTTCTAATAAGTGCTGCTGATGGGATTTCCGAAGATATATGGCTGAGACAACCATTTGATTGATGTTCTTCCACTGAGTATTCTCCAGTTTGTATTTTTGTGGGACACATCCCATTTTTTTGAAAATGATGTCCTTTTTTGGTGCAGACAAGGAAAAGGCAAGACTGGTCAATGCTAGTCGTGGTCTATATGACTGTGTCTACATGTTTGTCTCTTGCACTAACACTCTATTCCGAATGTTCAACCAGTTCCTCAAAACAGAATTCCCGATTATTATAGTGAGGGAAAACCTTAGTATCAAGGAGAATCTTCAGCTCCTGATGAGTTCTCTGAGAGAGATGCAAGAACTCGTGGAGTCAAAAGATAAAGAGATCAAGGAGAAAATCAGCCATCCTTTGTATTCCAAGATTACTAAAGCTAGCTCCTCTTCTACGGATGACAAAATTAAACTTCTAAGGGACATGGCTGTTCAGTATAAAGGGGTTTATGACAACATCTGTGGTCCTGTTTCAATAATCTTATTGAAACATGGCAATCTCATAGAGAAACTAGAGGCTGCTATTCGGGACTCATCAAGCACTCCTGTGCTGTCTCTTCGAGTGAGTGACCTTCTGATGACTTATGAAGAAATTACTAAAGTACTTCCGGATGTCACCACAAGTGCATCTAGTGTATTGCTGCCAACAGACTCAAGGGCTCGCAGCATGTCTATAGGAACTGCAACTTTCTCACTTACCAGTTTCATGCGGATCCTAGCTGTTCGAGGACAGTCTTCTTCAAAAAATACCGTTGAAATAACTACGGATTGCCTGGAAGAAACTGTTAAAACACTGAGGCCTGTTTGTGAAAGTTTCCAAAAGACTGTTAAGATGGTAGAAGAATATGTCACATTGATAATTGACAAGCTGCAGTGAAGCAGAAGGTGATTGCTCGAGTCTTAGAAACCCGCTTCTCTTTATGCAGCAGGGAAATTGTGCAAATAAAAAAGAGAAAATGTCATATTTTCTTTATCTGCCATTTTGATGTAAAATATTAAGTATGCTTGATTTAGTTAATGAAATATGCATATATATATATATATATATATAGTTTTTTTGTCAGGAGCGACTTGAAAAACTGCAAGTCACTTCTGGTGTGAGAGAATTGGCCCTCTGCAAGGACGTTGCCCAGGAGACGCCTGGATGTTTTACCATCCTTGTGGGAGGCTTCTCTCATGTCCCCACATGGGGAGTTGGAGCTGACAGATAGATAACTACAGCTAAAAAAACAGATAATAGAAAACTACAGCTAAAAAACTTGGCTGTACAACAAACCTTTTGTTGAAGTTTTGTTTTTTTCAATTTCTGCATAGCTTTTTCAGATTCTATCACTGGCATAAGCCCTAAAGCACTGCACTATAACACGTGAACATGTACCTCAAAGTGTTATTTGGTCAGGAGAGCATTTGAAAATGTCTATTTCGAAAGAAAAATACCATTGTAGAAACTAAGTAGCCAACTGTGAATTTGAGGTAATTTGTGTATAAATAATGTGCATGTTGCTGTTCAGCGCATCTTTCTTGGGATTTAAAGAATTGAAGAGCGACTGATTTCTTTGCTCTTCACCATTTGGTGCATCAGATACTGGGAAGTCCAATTGTCAAAGACAACAAACAAGAATTAAGAGATATGAACTCCTGGGGCATAAATACAATAATCTTTTCCTAAATCTAAAATTCTACCCATATGTTTTCCTGCTACATTATTCACTACATGAAATTTCCACGTGGGGGCAGCAAAATCACAGAAATGTTTGAAGTATCAAAAAGCGAGTCTGATTCACTTGGTGTGTTTCAGCATAGACACAGACAAGGATAGTTAGTTACAGCAGGGGCAAAATATTTCCTCCTCAAATAACCATTTCTGTCTTGCTACATGAAATGAAATGTTTCATTTGAAATGTGCTGCTGAAAGAGAGTTGTATACCATGTGATTATCACAAAGATATATAAATGGACCTATGAGCAAATCAAGTCTGAATTTCCCTTACATTCAAAATGACTAAACTGAGAGTGCATCTGCACTGTAGGATTAATGCAGTTTCACACTTCTTTAACTGCCATGTCCCAATGCTATAGAAACCCGGGATTTGTAATTTTATACGGTCTTTAGCCTTCTCTGCCACAGAGTGCTGATACCTCACCAAACTCCAGCTCTCAGGAATTCCTAGTGTTGAGCTATGACAGTGTGTCAAATTGCACTAATTTTTCAATGTAGATATAGATGTACCCTGAGGCTATCATGGTTAGGACATAATCCTGAGACAACATGAGAACATAAATCCAGTAGTGTCCAACTCTTGGGGTTCATGCTCATCTCAATTTCTAAGTCAAAGAGCAGGCGTTGTCCGTAGACACCTCCAAGTTCATGTGACCAGCATGACTGCATGGAGCACCGTTACCTTCCCTCCAGAGCAGTACCTATTGATCTATTCATATTTGCATGTTTTCGAACTGCTAGGTTGGCAGTAGCTGATGCTGACAATGGGAGCTCATGCTGTTCCCCAGATTTGAACCTGTGACCTTGGTAAAGTGAGAAGCAGTAGAAAGAACAGAATTCTTATTTGGAGGCAATATCCCCATTTTACTTCCCTGCCCACACTATAGGTATACCTCTCTTGGACCATGTCAGTTCTCTGTCTTGCTGAGTGAAACATTTCCTCCTATTCACACATAATAGACATTGGACAATGTTTTGTCTTTTCTTTCTTTAATAAGTTCTTTTCTGGTAAGAAAAAAATACGGAAAGAGCAGGGGTGGACACTACAGAGTTAGAAATGTAAGAATAGATTTCCTGGACCTCCCATAAAATTCTGTGAAGAAGGCCAAATGGTTGTACAGGTTCTTCATCTGAGGCATGAAATGGCAAACACTGTTGGTTGTAAAGTTTTCTCTCCACAGGTAAAGATTAAAGATTATGCCCTCAAAGCTTCTGAAGAACATGGTTCCCTTGGATATTTTGCAGCAACACTGGGTTTCACAAGCACAAAAATGATAGAGCAGTGGTTCCCAACCATTACTACACTGTTGCCTCGTGGCAATGAGAGCAACTGGTCTCGCGAAACCCTCTTATAGTTCCAAGGCAACAGGGATGTCAGGTGGGGATAGGCTGACTACTACAAGGCATATGTTCTGTATCAGAAACTAGAGTTGATTTGGTCTATCCAATGCAATTTTCTGAATTAACACCCCAAATAACCAAGTTGATAAAAAAAACTGATTCGTAACCCTTTTGGTACTAATATTGGAGAGTGACCCCTAATCAAAGTGGTCCCTAGTCAAAAAAAGGTTGGGAACCATTGCTATAGAGTGTCCCATTGGGACTAAGGGTTGGTGGTTGCTTGGCCCAGTTCTGTCTGATCCACTCTACCTGCTCCCCTTCTCACAGAATGGCAATGACTCTCCAGCAAATGCTGTGGCTCATGGGTTGGTAACTTGTGGCCATTCCACACAGCCATATAACCCAGAATATCAAGGCAGAAAATCCTACAATATCTGTTTTGAACTGGGTTATCTGAATTCACACTGCCACAGTTCAAAGCAGAAAATGTGGGATTTTGTTCAGCTGCGAGAGGAAGGGGCCCCGCATCTTCCATGCCAGCAAAGTGGCAAATCCACTCAAGAGTTTTAGCCCAGACTTCAACAGAGTAATCCAGGGTACTCATTCCCATCTCCAAAACAAACACTACACCTCGTATTTAAAGTTTGTACTAAAACCTAAAGTGGGTTCATTTCATCACCAACAAGGCAGCTACTATCCAATTGTTGGGGGGGGGGACCTCTTTAGAAGAAAGGTGTAATGCAAATACTTTTTTGAAAATGGAGAGAAACAATTGTGTAAATGTTAGCCACATGCCCGGCGTCCAACATGCTGCTTCCCTTCTGCCCTACTTCTTGCTTCTTGCTTCTTGCTTCCCTGCTCCCCCACCCCCCATTGAATTTGCCCTCTGTAGATGTCCCTGCCAGGTAAGAACATGAAGAAAATGTCCAGTTTTAGGCACGTCCAAAGAAATGGCTGTAGGCTGCATGAAAGCCCACAACTTCGGAATAGTAGTCACAGGGTGCATAGTTTTCGCACTGCTCTTGCTTCATCTCCATGGGGGACTTGAACATCTCATAGTACCTGGGAATCAGAGTAAGAAGATACAATGCTGCTATTAGGGTGATTTTAAACTTTAAGACAGGAGTGCTCATCTTGCCTGCCCGAACCCTTTGGTAGATGAGAACATGCATGATTTCATTACTCCATTCCAAATGTGGTGAACTAGCTGGGCCCTGCTGTGTTGGTAGGTTGTCCTTCCTAAATAGAAGTCTGGCCTTTTGTCCCAGAAAGCCATGCTTTGATGACATTAGTGGCAAAAAGCCATACCAGAGAATCTGCCAGCTCCTTGAGATATTTCTCATGCAAAATATTTGGTTCACTTGGCAATGATAGGGTTGCCACATCGGCACCACCTCATTCCCTATGATTTCAAAGCCAAAACTCAAAAGATGAGTCTTGCTGATGTCACTAGGGAAACTAGGTAAGGGTTGAGAGGGAAAAGAAGTCCTCCTTTTTAATATAATTGTTACAGCATATGTCACTTGCAAACATGTGGGTCACAACTATGTTTATTATATCCAGTCCTTGCCATCTGCTAATCTTTGCATAGAGAGACAGTGTACATCTAATCAGGTTCATTATCTTCTAAAATATTACAATAACTCCATAGAATATAACAGCATATACCTCATTTCCCAAAACCTCCCCCTAAGGATGTTTGAATTAGTCTCCCTCACTGGCTTCATCTTAAGCTGAGAAAGTGTAACTTGCCCAGAGTTACCAAATGGATTTCAGTGGCGAAGCAGAGATTCCAGAGCACCAGTCCAACATTCAAGTCATTGTGCTGATTCTCATTAAATTCTTACCTTTCATAATATGGAGAAGACCTCTTCTGCCTTCTCACAAAGGCGCTGGCTACTTCCCTCTTTATCTTAATCCCTGTTGTACACACAAATGTTTTAATATGAGAATATGAAAACTGCTTCAGAGCAGGAACTAAATGGAAAGCTAAAATCTCTGACATGCTACAAATGCAGTGAGTGGATTTATGAAACACTGATGTTCAACACAATTTTGGGATTTCATTTAATGTTCTGGCTTTTTCTCCCTAAATAACCATTCAGGAACACTGCAACTACTGGAATATCTCCTCCAAGTAAAATATAACAAATAGAAAATGTCTACACTAGTTCTATGTCTGATGTAAGTCATTGCCTATAAAAAAAACTCTACCTTAGGTGCATCTACACTGTAGGATTAATGCCGTTTGACAGCACTTTTATTGCCATGCTTCAATGCTATTGACTCTAGTGAGCTGTAGTTTAGTGAGGCACCAGCACTATTTGGCAGAGAAGGCTAAAGACCTTCAACTCCCATGATTCCATCATCATAGCAGTTAAAGTGGTGCCAAACGGTATTCATTCAACAATGTAGATGTATCTCTATATAGCATATAATAATAATAATAATAATAATAATAATAATAATAATAATAATAATAATAAATGTATATTCCGCCCTTCTCCCTGAGGGGACTCAGAGCAGATTATAGTATATAAACAGACACAAGCAAACATTCAGTGCCTTGTTACATGATATACAATGAGACACAAATACACAGACAAGGGCAAAGGCTTCTCCTTTCATTTCTGGCTCTGTAGGCTCTCTAGGGGAGGTGTTTTTTCTCCATTTCCAAGCCAAGGAGCCTGCGTCCATAGACACCTGTCAGTGTAGCCGACATGGCTGAGCATCTTTTTGCCTTTTCCTGCTGCAGTGATACCTATTGATCTACTCACATTTGCATGTATTCAAACTGCTAGGTTGGCAGGAGCTAGGGCTAACAGCAGGAGCTTACCCCATCCTGTGGATTCAAACTGCCAACCTTCATGTCAGCAGTTCAGCAGCCTTAAGGTTTTAACCCATTGTGCCACTGCTGTCCTCTTTTTATGATCTTGCTGCTATAGAGCAGAGCTTCGGAAAAGTTACTTCTTTTAGACTTCAGATCCCAGAACTGCATCCAGTGTGATCAACTGCTTTGTGGCAGTGGAATAACTGGGAGTTGTAGTCCTAATGAGTAACTTTCTCAAACTGCTGTGGACTAGGGAGCTACGAATCACCACTGGTTATATTAACTGTAGTAATCCTAACCAAGAAATCACATAATCTACATACTATTGTGTGTCCTCTAATAAATGTTGCAACTTGACCCTTCTTAAATATTGAATGTCAAAACTAGGGATCTCAGGATAACACCTACACACACCCATCATTCAGAGAAAGATTGAGAAACTGCTAGAGAATATTTGCTAATAAAAATGCTGAACAAATCTTGGAAAAATCCCATTTCAGTTCTAACAGGGTGGCAAAACTGTACCTATCAAAGCAATTCCTGCCAAACTCCATTAAAAAGTAGAGCAGTCTTTACTTTGATCCATCTTTCCTTCAGACATCTCTTCATCAGATATGATCTGACCAATTTGGGCTCTGGTCCGTGAAAGCATGTACCGCAATACATCTATTAGCACTTAAGATGTTATTCTTGCTACAACACATAAACATGGCTACCCCTCGGGGGGGGGGGGGGGGGGGGGGGTCAGGAAAGTTTTCCCAGAATAACTGGGAAGAAATGGGCCAGGTGTCTAGCTAACAGGGGGCTTATTCACTGGTGGACTAATTCTCAAATTGCATTCATGCCAAGTCTCTTAAAACACCTAGACACGTTTGTTTTTCAAAAATTACTTTAAGCAGTGCCAGACATCACAAGCTTTCTTGTAAAATTCCTCCATTTTATTTGGCACTCCAGGAAATTCCAAAATCAACTTAAATAGCAATATTATTCATCATAATTGCTGTCCACTTGTGAGGCAAGGACGATTCAGTAGAGGCAAAGGTATTCATTTTCCTACTAATGGGTTTCTAACAAACCTGGCAGTTTGGAAGGGAAGAGCCAGGCCATAACTGAAAGAATGGGATGACGAGGACACTTCCAGACAGGCCCTATATCCCAGGATCTGATTCCAGGTTTTCATTTATCCCAGATTATATGGCAGTGTGGACTCATATAATCCAGTTTAATGCAGAAAACCTGGAATCAATCCTGGGATATAGGGCCTGCCTGGAAGGGTCCAGAGAGCTAATTGGTACGGTTCTTACCAAATCAGTGTAGTTGGAGAAATGTGATGATGATGACTACACAAAGTAGTGAGATAGATAGATAGATAGATAGATAGATAGATAGATAGATAGATAGATAGATAGTATCAGGTTGTTAATTAGGAGCTTTAAAAAGTAAAAGTAAAAAAGTAAAGAAAGATATGCCAGACAACGAAGAACACTTTGGAAGTTTGGGGGTGGGACCCTCTTACCAGTTACTCACCTTCATCCATGGCTCGGTTTGTATCTGAAAAACATAGAAGATAGCATAATACACCTGCTGCCCCACAAAGGATGCCTCTCCCCTTCAGATCACAGTGTTAATTTGCTTTTTTTCAGCCATCTCCTGAACATGTTCCACAAAATGTTTTCAGTGGTGCAGTAAAGCCAGGGGTGCAAAACCATTGCTGATAATGGGCTTCTAGGGAAATTTTTAAAGCTAAAGCTATGGGGACAAAAGTAATCCAAGAAAACATTTGTCTTTCCTGCGGTGTCTCTTGACACACACAGGTTTTCCTGTGAATCAGTTCAATCTGCCACACACACCAGACTATACTGGTTTCTTCAGCATTCTTCCTATTTTAAAACATGGGTGTAGATCAGTGGTTCCCAACCTTATTTTGAGCAAGGACCACTTGAACAGGGACCATTCTCCAACATTAGTACCAAAAGGGTTTTTTGTTCAATTTTAGATTCAGTTTGGTTATTTGGGATGCTGATTCAGAAAATTGCATTGGATAGACCACGTCAGAATTAATTTCTGATACACAACATATGCCATCCAGTAGTCTCCATCTGCTCACCGACAGAAAGCCATAATTAATAATCTAGAGCTGATGTGGTAGTAGTAATCTTTTGTGGGTAGTCAGTCTCTCCCCTCCCAACATCCTCATTGCCTCGGCACTATAAGAGGGTTTCGTGAGACCGATTGATCTCGTTGCTGTGTGGTTTCAAGGCAACAGTGTAGACCTCACAACCTCTGAGGATGCCTGCCATAGATGCAAGCGAAACATCAGGAGAGAATGCTTCTGGAACATGACCATACAGCCCAGAAAACACACAACAACCCGGTGATTCTGGCCACAAAAGCCTTTGACAATAGTTTAGTAATGGTAAGGCCACGGACCATATTTTCATTCTTGGGGACCACTGGTGGTCCATGCACTACAGGTTGGGGATCACTGATGTAGACTAAGGAGTATATTGATGCTTTTAAGATGGATAAACAATCTATCACAGATGTCAAATTTAATCAGAGAAAGTGGACTAGCTAAACCTTTTTGGCATTTCTGCTTATTCAACATTTTCTATTTTTGCCCATAATTCAATTTAAAATGAGGAAGTAAAAACTCAGACATGTTTCTGTATTACAAAAGATTGAGTTGTTGTAGGTTTTTTCAGGCTGTATGGCCATGGTCTAGAGGCATTCTCTCCTGACGTCAGGAGAGAATGCGTCTAGACCATGGCCATACAGCCCGAAAAAACCTTCAACAACCCAGTGATTCCGGCCATGAAAGCCTTCGACAATACATTACCGAAAGAGTGTTTGAAGAAATGGACTTGTCCCTGGCATACTGGAGGAATAAGCAGAACTGTCCCAAATTGAACTGGCCAAATTGGAAGAGTTGAGTAGAAGTGTCAAACTCCCAGGAGCCCTGACCAGCTTGGAGTCAGGGGCTTCTGGGAGCTGACGTCCGAAACACCTGGAGGGCCACAAGTTAGACACCACTGATTATGTGTATATATCCAGGCTCCTGGTAGAAACAATGTAGCCATGTTTAAATTATTATTCTGTTATGATTATGTTTATTTATTCTCCACTTTTTCTCTTCACCAAGGAGACTCAATGCAATTTAAAATCCACAAATATACAGACATTAAAGAAAATTAAATATCAATGGTATTAAAAAGAATTACAGATAAAATCCATTGAAATGGATTAAAACATATTGAAAGCTGAACCCACAGCATACTATGACATGGTCTTTAAAACCTTCTTGTTGATTATGCTAATTTTTTGTGTCCTATTTTGGATTCCAGCAGAATATTCTTTTTTGCCTAGGGGATTTTGGAAATTGTAGATCCAAAAAGTAACTTTTATGCATTCTAGTTTACACTGAGTTAAATGACTATGATTCTGTTTATTAAACAAAAAACTAAGTCTTCTTTGTCCGTGGCTATGCAGAAGTTATGGGGCTTGGGTGATGCTACTTGTCCTGCCCCTAAAAGTATCTGTGTGTGAGGAGGTCATCTGGCAGGATGGGGACCTATAAAATATGAAGGGCTAAGGCAAGAACCCCACACTTTAGTGAATGGGAAGAGCTCAAAGCTATTTGCTAATTACATTCCAACTCCTCTCATGAGACAAAGTTTTATTCTCTCACAGAGGTTGGATCCACACTGCACAATATCCCAGGATCTGATCTCAGATTGCCCTCTTTGAACTGGATTATATGAGTCTACACTGTCAAATAATTTGAGATAATCAGATAATCTAGGATCAGATCTTGGGATATAGAGCAGTATAGATCCAGCCTTAGGACCCTTCCATTTTGCCCTGTATCTCAGGATCTGAATCCAGATTATTTGCTTATCCCACATTGTCTGGTGTAAAGATCCCTTACCTTACCAGCCTGGGTGGCAGGGCCTAGGAGAGACAGGCCAGTTGGTTGCAGCTTTGGAGGGCCTGGCAGAGGGCAGCAGGAGCCATTTTAGTTTAGGGAAAGCACCATTTCAGAGAGGGGGAGTGGCCTAGGCCTGAGCCAGCCTTAGAACAGCCAGGATTGGTTTATTAAAGGGGGGCGGAGTTAGACTGTTTGGAGGGAAAGAAGAGGGCTTTTTCAGTGAGTCTGTTGATGTTAGAGTTTAGAGCAGGATTACAGAAGTTTTAGGAGTTCGTGTGAAGAGTAGGCAGTTTGCCTTAAGTTTGCCAGCGAAGTAAGCTGTAGCAAACTGGGTACAGCTATTTAGGGAAGAAATAGCTGGGTTTTGTAGTTAGCTAGGCCACGGTTGAGGGTAGCTAAACTACAGTTGTATCTTGGCAGAGATTCAGCTCCTGTCAAGTATACTTGGTTTGGTTTTAAAGAAGAAAATCTCTGTATTAGTAACAAGGAAAGAACATTCACATGTAACCATTACGCTTTAAAGACAAGCCAGAAAATCTCTGTAACCATCAAGCTTATTAAACAGCATTCACTTCATTCTGTACTTCATCAATAAACTTTTCTTGATTATTTTTAAAACCTAAAAAGCCTGAGTCCCGTGTGCCTTTGTGGCTAAGAGTCTCTTTCCCAAACAACCTCGAGTGTTTTTTTCTCCTTAAAGAAGAAATAAGAAGACGCAGTGTTTGGTGCTCTTTAAAAAAACCCTTTTATTATTTTGAACAGCTAGAGTGTTCCTGTACAATGGTTTATGGTGGCAGCGGAAGTTAAATAGAGACATCTCCTCAAATGTTATATAGGTGCCAGTGAAGTCTTTATATTGGAGGGACAGTTGGTGGGATCTGTTTGCCCCCTGTCAAGATATATTAGTGGTGCCATATACGAGTCTTTATATCTGGCAGCGTATACTCATATAATTCAGTTCAAAACAATCTGGGATCAGATCCTAGAAAATAGCACAATGTAGATTCATCCCAAATCTACAATGCCAGATAATCGGGGATGAACTGATAATCTGGAATCAGATCCTGGGATATAGGGCAGTGTAGATCCAGCCTTTGGGCCCTTCCAGACAGGCCCTGTATCTCAGGATCTAATCCCAGATTATCTGGCAGTGGGGACTCATAGAATCTGGTTTAAAGCAGAAAATCCCAGATCAGATCCTGTCTGGAAGGGCCCTTTGTCACTTGTTGAAAGAAGGTATGAAAAGTAACAGAAAAATGGCATTACAATTAGAATATTCCTATCAAAATGCTCTCCAGGTGTCTTCAAATCGTATAAAAAATCATTGCTTGTTACAATAGACTGTCTTTGTCCCCACTTGTTATATTATTTTAACATGTAACTTTGCTGCAACGTTGTTATCCAACAACAGTTCACTGCAGGTAACTACATTTCACTGGTAATTCATTAGTTTCTCTGGCAGAGATTGCTCCCACCTGGAATAGTCTTACCTGCTTCGCAACAGCAGGGGGCTGTCAGGAGGACCACGGCAAACAACAGCACCATTAAAAGGTTCTCCATCTTCTCCTGTACTTAGAAAATGCTTTTGGTGTCTCTAACTTGTCCTGAAGATGCGGATGTTTCTCAGGAGCGTTTGCCTTTCAGCCGCAACATATATGCTATCACTAACTGGAGCAGGCCCCAGGCCAGGGAGTCCCTGACACTCTGCCATTCTTTTGTCCTGGTTCCAGTTCAAAACTTTCCATTTGGGTCAAAAGACATCTGGTTCTGGCAGCCATATGCACATCTGCCGTAGGCCAGAGGAGCTTCTGGCATTCCCAAAGGGCTGTGAGGACTCTTGCAAATTCCTTGCAAACAAAACAGCTCAGTGACAAACATCTCACTGAGGAGGGGAGAAAGCCTCATTTCCAACTGAGTTGAGGAAAAAAAACACAATTGTAGATCCAAAGAGTTTTGAAACGGTCAGATATTAAAAGGATATACAATAACAGATGGGTTCAGTCTTTTCACTCTCACTCCTGGGATCCATCATCTAGTTAACTGCACTGCAACAGATGCTACAGCTGCAGGAGCATAGATGACCATTGTGAAGATCTGAAACAGCTGCTCCGTAGATTAAGCAACTATTGATGTGGAACAATTTTACCCTCTGAGTACAAAAATAAGAGGTTGTATCAGCTGGTTTTTTATTTTGACAACTATGATAGCCATCAGAACCAACATGAAGCATGTTGGAAATGCAGAAATCTGCAAGGCAGCAAATCCCACATTATCTGAGTGTAGACTCAGATAACCCAGTTCAAAGCAGATATTGTGGGATTTTCTGCCTTGATATTCTGGGATATAGGGCTGTGTGGAAGGGCCCTTTGTTTTCTCTAGATTAACCCTGAAAACAGGGGTTATCAAGCTCGGTAATGTGCATATCTTGACCTCAAAGCTTAAATATGTGTGCTGTGTGAAGCTTATTTTTCCTCCTCCAAAATCTTGTTCAAAGAAACTTTTGCAATTAGGTCAAATATCTGGCTGTTTTACACACAAAATGTTGCCAACTGGCTCTCTAGTTATTGTTGAACTCCATTCACTAGCAGCTTTTGCCAGCCTGGTCATTAACACATATGATGGAAAGAGTAATTCCTTAATCTCTGGATAGTCAGTATCCCTCACCCTTGCCTTTACGTTTTTCGATGACATGCTGCTTATTTTATCTGTAGTAACCACATAGCCAAATACTGATCCATGGGTTTGCCTTAGAACTCATAGCAACCTAGTTGTCATTTTACCAACAGCATGCACAACTACCATGTCAGACTACACAGAGAAGCCATTGAAATCCACAAGCATATGGACAGTTTCAACAGAAAGGAGGAAACCATGAAAGTGAACAAAATCTGGCTACTAATATTTAAAAAAAACCTCTAAAATCAGGACAGTAAATAAAGAGCAACACTCAAAAACACAGAGGAATTCCAGAGAGGAGTCAATCAGGGCCAGCTATCACCTCCCAACAAAAGATCCTCCCAGCAACCAGACAGGTTTTGAAGCTACAAGGTAATTAAGTGCTAATTAAATACTAATCAAGGTGGCCAATTGCAACATTCACATTTGCCTCTATAGGAACATGATTAAGAAAAATAAATTTCCAATTATTACAAGTCCCAGAATCCCTGTCTAAAGAGAAAACCTTGCTTGCCAAGGGCTGCTGCTGATAGAGAAAGAATAATTATTTTCTGTGTTCCTTGTTCAGTCAGACACAAGCAGATGCACTCCCACACTCCCACACTCGCTAGAATTCTTTTTGCCATGGATAATCAACTTGCAGATAGGCAAACCACAGCTCAGGGTCAGACATTCAACAGGATCATTAATAGGCTTTGACGTTAGAAACAGAGCAACCAATCAGAAGTTGCTTACGTGTTGTTTTTACCAGTTTGATTATAAAACATTGTTAAGTGCGCCACAAAGCGTGAATAGTTTTTTGGTCTTTGACCGGGAATGGTCAAAAGCTATTCATGTCATTTTGATCAACTTGAAATAAAGCCTTGTTGAAAAACCTCATCGGAATCTCATCTCCTCTCTGCTTCTGGGCCTGTCACCCTAAATTCCCAGTCTCTAATACCTCAAGCAGACAAGAGTTCTTTCTCCCACCTTGGGCATTATTACACAGATATCATTATTACACAGATATTTAAACCTCACTTGCCTAGTTTCTAACAGACTTCACAACCTCTGAGAATGCCTGCCATAGATGTGGGCAAAACATCAGGAGGAAATGCTTCTGGAACATGGTGATACAGCCTGGAATGATGATGGCTTAGGGTTGATCTGCGTGGCTAATTTTACAGCCAACACTGGCTCATTTTTTCCAAATTATTTTAGAATTTTGGATGTTTCCTTACTTGTCTGGCTTAAGAACTGCTGCATCAATTGTTCATCGAATTCTCAAAAGATGTTTCAGGATATTCAAATGCAAGCTGGGCTCATGTGGAAGCCTATAAAAATTCTAAATGCTGATACCACTGGGAAAATAACACAGTCATGTGAATTGGTCTACAAAAAGGTCATTCAAAGATGTTGACCTTCATTGTTTTTTCACGTTTTCTGATACATTCCAACCTTCTCCATTTCTTGATTTGTGAAATTCTTATCTAGCACAAACAGTAGTTTGTAAAGAATGACTGATATGAGAACAATAGTTAGGTAAGAGATCAGAAGGACTATGTACCCCCAGCCAAACCATTGGGCAGCATTCAGATTCTAAAGCCATGCTTCCCCCTTCTGCCCACAGCATGCCATCTAACTTTCTGAGTAACACAGGAGATTGGAGATACTATGTAATGTGGTAAGTTGCGGTACATGACTCAAAAGAACCTCCTCAAATCAGATATATGCATTTCTGTGAGGTGTACTTTGGAGGATGTCTCTACCTGATTTATAGAGATTCCCATCTTGTTCCTGCCCTAGGCAAGGCCATATTTAGCATAATTCTCCAACCAATTGGGAGGGCTGATCTGGATGCCATGTATAGTAGCAGAAGAAGTGTACTTCAACCAGCTCAGTACCATGCTGAGCTCAAGAGAGTACGGTATATAATTGGAAGCTAGTGGCAGGATCTTTAGGTGAGAAGGAGGGCCCTTCCACACAGCCATGTAACCCAGAATATCAAATCAGAAAACTACACAATATCTGCTTTGAACTGGCTTATCTAAGTCCACACTGCCATATATTCCAGTTCAAAGTAGAAAATGTGGGATTTTCTTCAGTTGTGTGGAAGGGCCCTGATTGTATTCCCCTTGAGTTTCTTATACTGTGGAAAGGAAAAGCTAAAGTTAATCAGGTACACATTCTAGACTTTCAAAAAAGAAAACAGTGCTTCACCTGGGGGAAATGGAGCGGATAATCCCAATGCAGTACAGAATAAATAAGTAATTATGAATATATGACTAAAAATTAATTCAAGTCTCCAGAGCCAGATGAACTACATCCCTGTTTATTAAAAGAACTGGCAGAAGCAATTCGAGCCTCATTTGGATTATATTTTTGTTATTTTTGTTGCTTCGTGTTAATCCACACAACATTCAGAAACTGGGTTGTTGCAGGTTTTTTGGGCTATATGGCCATGTTCTAGAAGCATTCTCTCCTGACGCAATCTCTCCATCTATGGCAGGCATCCTCAAAGGTTGTGTCTTCTGAGGATGCCTGCCATAGATGCAGGTAAAACATCAGGAGATAATGCTTCTAAAACATGGCCATATAGCCCGAAAAACCTGCAACAACCCAATTCTCTCCTGACATTTTGCCGGCATCTATGGCAGGCATCCTCAGAGGTTGTGTCCTCTGAGGATGCCTGCCATAGATGCAGGCAAAACGTCAGGAGAGAATGCTTCTAGAACATGGCCATATAGCCTGGAAAACCTACAACAACCCAGTGATTCTGGCCATTAAAGTCTTCAACAATACATTCAAAAATGACCTTATACAATCTTTGAAATTTGCATTCCAGAAAAATGAAACTATATTCCTTCTTTGATATATAATAATCAAATAACCCCTGTTTGATGTGGCAAGCAAAACTGCTGTGCAGTTGCCAGCCCTGTGCTCCAAATTAAGTTATACTTACGTTATAATATTCTTATTTACACATTTGTTCATGACGACATCTGATGAATTTTAGCAATTACTGATGTTGAATACATAAAAGATTACTATTTTGCAGATGATTTCCACCTCCTAAAAATTAGTAACAGACCACAATTTTAATTCTTGAAACATTTTTTTCTTTAATTTTGTATCAACTCAGCATCTCCAGGCCATTGCAAGCTCATTTGTCTGGACAACAAAAGCCATCTAACATCTGATGCAATATTTCAAGACAGGGGAGGCCAACTGGCAGCCTGCAGGCTAAAACAAAGCAAACTTCCCAAAGCAAATTAAACTGTTCTCTTGCAGTCTTTTGCAGATTCAGTCATTCTGTGTGTGCTAAAATGTCTGTTCACATTTTCAGCCCTTCGGGAAAAGAGAATCGCTTTCAAGTTGCATTGGAAAGAATTGTTTGAAGGGGAAAGTTTCCATAGTTTAATATGAAAGTTCTTGGGTTGCTGTAATGAGGGGCTTTGACACAGGTGGAAGATCATTAAGAGACAACAGCAATGGCACAATAGTTGCACAGTACTTAAAAGAGCTTGTTGTTGTTGTTCATTTGTTCAGTCGCTTCCGACTCTTTGTGACCTCATGGACCAGCCCATGCCAGAACTCCCTGTCAGACGTCACCACCCCCAGCTCCTTCAGAATCAAGCCAGTCACTTAAAGGATGCCATCCATCCATCTTGCCCTTGGTCAGCCCCTCTTCCCTTTTCCTTCCTTCCATGTTCCCAAGCGTCATTGTCTTCTCTAAGCTTTCCTATCTTCTCATGATGTGGGCAAAGTACTTAATCTTTGCCTCTAATATCCTTCCCTCCAATGGTCAGTCGAGCTTTATTTCCTGAAGTATGGACTGGTTGGATCTTCTCGCAGTCCAAGGCACTCTCAGAACTTTCCTCCAACACCACAGTTCAAAAGCATCTATCTTCCCTCACTCAGTCTTCCTTATGGTCCAGCTCTCACATCCATAGGTTACTACAGGGAATACTATTGCTTTAACTATGTGGATCTTCGTTGCCAGTGTGATGTCTC